AAGCTCGAGCCACGATGCGACCCTCGGCTGCTACTGCTGCTACTACTACTACTATTGCCGTCGTCGCACAACTTGCAAATAATTGTTAGCCGAGTCTAGTGCGTGCACACGCGGTCGGTGCGTGCCAGTACGAGCTCGAATTTGTTTCATCCGATTCGGATCGTCGTTGATTAAATTCCACAACTGCAACAGCAGTAGCAGCAGCAACACAGGTCGCGCGCGCGCGCGCGAGTTTGTCTAAACAGGCTATTACGTGTCCGCATACCGGTCGGCCGACTATTTTTTTCTCTCGTACGTCTGTTGTACGACTGCTAATTATTTTTCTTTTTCTTCTTTTTTTTGTCTCATCCTCTTCATTTATATCGCGTATCAACGACCTTTGTCGATGTTGGAGAATTACGATCGATCCGAGGTCTACAGAGTACATAACGCACGTAGCCGTGAAAAACCTTAGTTACGATCCGAGCCAAAAGGTCTATATATATAACACGTATCGACGATCAAAGGCGTCGCTGCTAGGGCTATTTTTGCACCAACGTTCTCTGATGTTGCTGCTGCTACCTATACGGCTAATGTTGCAAATCTTGTCGACCGCACATTGTCCTTCCATCAGGGTCAAAACTCGCCGAGTGACGATGCGACCATTCTCTCGTCTGCATACAACATATACCCACCATACATGTGTGTCCCTTTATATACACATACTTCGGTCACAGGCGCTGGCTGCACCGATAAACGCACCGAACATTCGATGCGCTTCAACGCCCGCCCTTTGATGAACGCGTTGGGATGCTCCGTCGCCCTTTTTTTCCTTTCCTCTTTTCTTCCTTTTTTTTACAACAAGCGACGTGTTATATACGGGCGCGGCTAAAGCTCGTTTGATTAGCTGCGCTGATTTTCTTCTTCGGCGCGCATACCTGCCCGAACGATGTTGCGGCTGCTACTGCAGTGACGTTATTTATAAGAAATCGCGCTGCGCACGCTCTCTATCCGATAAATATGTCGCGGCATTGAGCCTTAGGATGCGTCAGTAGCTTTTAATCGTGATTTATATAAATAAATAAATTAAGGCTCGCTCGAAACGACCGACAATCTTTGAAGTATTGTTGTAATGAAAAAATTAGCAATGCGCTCGCGAAGCGTAATGCACGATTTGGAGTCGGTCGAGCTAATTCTCCCTAAAAAAGCACTAGTTTACCGTTGCTTGGATTGCACCTGAGCTCGAGTGACTCTGAAAAATTAGTACATCGTTGTTTCTCGATGTAAATTATACGTAGGTCTGCTTATCTTTCTCGTATTACGTCTGATAAAATGTTATATCAATACTGAAATCAACAACGGCTACTACTGCGCTCCCATCTCCCACTCCGCAGCGTAGACGCCGCCGCATCGAGTGTATATAATAAACCTCCGTTCTATTATCGAGAAACAGAGAGAAAGAGAGAGAGAAAAGACCGCATACTCTTAGAGTCGCGCAATTTTATCGCATTTAGACACGCGAACCTTGAAAATCGCTCAATTCCGAGTGACAAGTGAAGCGCGTCGCACGAGCTCGCGCAATTTTTTTTTCTCTCTGTCTCTCTCGATCCTCTTTTTTATTTAGAAAACGTTTTTTGCACGTATGCACGGCTCTCCTCTCAACAGTGGTGCGCGTAGCGCGGATACATCCGCTTATAATACATAGACAAATACACTCACACACAACAGTTACATCCGGACGTTTTGCAAATTCTTGCGCCGCGAACGCGAGCGAGCCAGACAATTGTGCCAATGAATAGCTGTGCGAGGAGAAATGGATATAATTCTGCGGCGCAAAGTGCGCCGCCGCCGCTCGCGAGCTCCTGGGAGTGGTCCGGCGAAATTAATGGTGCGTTAATACACATCTATTGGAATTACCCTCCTTTATTTTTTTCGCAACTATGCACTCATACCTAACTCGCAACGTTGCGCTATGAGCCGTACTGCGTGCGTGCGTTTACGCCGGGTGACTTTTTTCCGGACTAAAATCTCAACGGGATAATAGCTTGGCTTGATAAATATTCCAACTCGCGCGAGCTACTGTACGCTGAATGTAAAGAATAAATAAATATGAGAGCAAAAAAAAGACGTTCCGCAAAAAAGTCGCTATACGTACGAATTAAGTAGCCTATAGCCATACATATATATTTTATGGATAATATAACTGTAGCACGTCTGCGCACCAAGGTGAACTTTTAATAATAGCTCCTTCCCGTGCGGATATACACGTACGTCAAGACATGTAAAATAGATATTAAATTCGTGCACATTTCTATAACTTGCACGCACGCGAGAGTCCAGTCATATGCTAAACTGATGCGATCCACGCGCACGAGTATATCTATACACACATAACACGCTTAAAGTCATCGCACACGTAGCGCGCCTGAATATGTGCTCTCGCACGTGTGCAAGAGATTCGCGTTCGAAGCTTTAGCCCAAGTGGAGAGAGAGAGATATATATCCGTTTCAAATTCATACGACTCTAGAGAGACGCAGCCGCTCTAGTGAGCAGGAGCAGCAGCTACTAGCCATTTCCGCGATCCGCTAAAAATTTACGAAGCTCCGATATAATATCAATGAAAACCCACCCGAAATAGTCGAGTCGATTTTTTTTTTTATTTTATTTCATTTTATTTCAACCGATTCCGTGCTTTCGCGTTTCTGCGAAGATTACTTACATATGTAAGTAGGCAAAAGAACTACTGCTGCAGCAGTAGCGTCGGTGCTGGCGCAACTCTAATATATATATGCATGTATAAATCCGTGGGCTTAGTTATACACGTATATACACTTGTTTAACTGGGATCTAAAATTCAAATCCTCCTCTCTGTGGTGGCGTCTGTATATATACTTAACTATATGTACAGAGCGCGGCACAAAGCTATGGAGAGACGCGCAGTTACCTCACCTTGTTTCCTATATAGGTATGCTATGTGCCACACGGGGTAAAAGTTTAATTTAAAAATTGCAGCAAGTGTACGCGGCTATCTAGTATACTCGGCTCCATCGGCCGCGCGCTTGCGCTCGTATCAAATTGCTCGTGAAAAATTGTTACACCGGCATCGTCGTATTATCATGCATTCTGGACTGCTCAGCTGCCGCTGGCTGCTACTGTTTACGAGCTTGAAATTTTTCACCGATGTCACCCTTGAAAAATGCCCTCGAATATGAGAGCGCGCAGCGAAGATAACAAAAGTTCCGCAGAGCTACGTACGTATACGTACCGTACGTATAGCAGATTGGTCGCGATTCGAAAATCACTTTTTTTGAGAATCGCGTCTCATTAATATTGGACCTGTCGTCGACGAAAGGGACGAGAAAGAGAAAGAGAGATAGAGAGAAAGAGTCGTTTTTTTTTAACTCTTGCTCGTCGTTGAAAGCATTTCTCTCTTTCTCTCTCTCTCTCGTCGCAGCTCGTCGTGGATGACATCTATTAATTCCGAAAGCACGCCTTTTCTTTCGCACTCGCGCGCAGTCGTCTCTGGAAATCCGAACTTTTATTTCATATACGCTCGAGAAAGAATAAGAAAAGGATACGTACGTAGGAAATATTTTTAGATGGATTCAAGCTCGGTATGTAGAACGATATAAGCCATTTAAAACGAGATGACAGCTGCCACATATAATAATGCCTCGCTTGAATTTTACCCGTGTGCGTGTATGTATAAACTAGGTATGGTTACATTATAACATAACGGCACAGAGTCGCGTACAATCGTTACGTACCGCGAGGCAGGCAGTAAACGCGGCGCGCGACTATCGCCTCAATGAAGATGCCGGAGACAGACGTACACACGCGGATATTAATATCGCGCACGTGCTCGCTTTATTAATGGCATTAAGCATGCAAATATTCGTTTACTTTGTCAGCTGCTGCTGCTGCTCTATGCGCGAGAGCCGCGCGCGTATCTCATAAGACGCTCGCGCGCGCACTTGCGACTTTTCATCATTTTGCGCTGCAGCCCGGTCATTTAAAGATCCTGGGAAAGTTCCAAGAGGAAAAAGGATGCGTCATTAAGCGCGTTTCTTTTTATAATTACACAAACGGTATTATTAATATATATTTTTTATTCGCAAAGGAATTTTTTTTAATAAACTGCAGCTAAAAAGTATTTAATCTTTTTTTTTGCTCTATGAAAAAAAGCGTACATATTTTAGTAGTGCGCGGCTCGTGGAGACTTTATTAAAAAAATTTCAACGAAAAAAGGTCAATTTGAAATAAAAAAAATTATCAAATTTTTCGACATCGCGGATTTATCGATTGGAACTTCCGTATATATGAGCTTATACCGTCAACGAAATTACTGCGCATCAATATATCTTGTTGACGAGGAGTTTCGCCTTTTTGAAGAGAAAAATTTTTTTACATGTTACCTTGTTCATATTCATTTCATCGGGGACGAGTTTTTTCAAACTCTGACGAAACTGATATTTTGTTTTTTTACGCTCTATTTATTTTTTACCAAATAGCTCTCGAAAGAAATATTTATTTAGTATCGCAATTATATTGTTCGTCATTAGATTCTAATTTAAAATTATGAATCGCTCTTAAAACCGAGGTAAAAACACGATAAAAAATTATCAAGCGTAACAAAATAAAGAGGCCTCGTCTATGTCGTGGTTTTTCATAATGGAAGTCGGTTTCGTTCCCTGAGCAAGAGATGCATTTTATACATAAAAAGGACAATCATGCTAAGTAATAGTTTTGCAGAATAAAAGTGCATCTCTTCATACAGCCTTATTGTCATTTGACATTTTTCTTCTAGTTTTACATGGGTGAACAGTGTACTGCAAAAAAAGAAACAAGAAAAGAAAAAAAAGACAGTGCAATTGTTACTCCGAGTAAAAAGAAAATGAAAAGCGTGTCTCCGCGTAACAATCTCCCCGCGAATAAATTATTATTGGAAGCGCAACGTACATACCTGTATACATATACGAAACGGAATCGAAAAATTAACTTTTATCTTTTATGGTTTCAGCATCGGGTTCGGGCTCGGTAATCGGACGGGATCCGCTGCCACCGAGGGCCGTCAGCACATCGCAATTAGCAAACCAAAGACAATCACCGGCGCTAGCCACAACGAAAAACAACAATTTGAACAACGTCTCGCAACAACAGCAGCAGCAGACGTCAGCCACGTTGCCGCATCAACGCTCACTAGTGAACAACACGAGTATGCTAAATGGCATCCAGCATCACAGCACGCCTCTAAATCATCATAATCAGCAACAGCAGCAGCAACAACAACAAAAGCAGCAACAGCTTCATCATCATCAGCAACAGCAGCATCAAGTGCAGTACCAAAATCTCACGCCGATTCACAAGCAACCGAGCAGCTCGCAGTCGACCGCGATGCTGTCGATGCTGGGACACGATCATGATCGGCAGCTTAACGGCGCGAACGGCGGTAGCAATTACGCCAATCATATACTGAGAGCAGCGAGCAGCGGAGACGTCAGAACGTGAGTGTGTTGTTCGCTTTTCTTCTTATGCCCCGGCTCTCTCTCTCTCTCTCTCTCTTTCTCTCTCTCTCTGTTTATAAAAAGCCTTTTACCGCGTGCGCCGGAGAGACGGAGATGCCGGGAAAAATTAATATTCCCCAAAGGAAATGAATAGACTAATTTTCAACTCCGCTGTTTACTGTGAGCAAAATATGCGCGCTATGTATAAGTACACGCGATAGCATCCGGTTTCGATCTGATCTGCTGAATTGATTTAATTTTCATATAGAAAAATTTCAGAAACTACTTACTTACTACTGAAGCTGTCTGAACTTCTACATGATTCGCTTCTATATGTTCCAAGACCTTTGCTTTTTCTCTTGCGATTTCATAGAGTTTGAATATGCGCCATCTAACAGTAACTTGGCTACTAATTAGTGTTTATGTTGGTAATGACAAAACGAACCAATGTCTCAGAGGAAAAAAGCCATTATAGTCTCGTGCTTCACTACTCTCGGACTGCACATCTCAAACAACAACTCGCGCCTCGACAGAATGGCTACTTTTCAGCGTAAATCTCGACCGTTAAAAATATCTGATTAAACTATAGAATCAAGAAATCATTATTAATGTGTAGATACTTGAACGCATCCCCGAATGAGCATCTCCCGTTGGTCATCGATCGATTCGTTGAAATTACAAAATCGCCGACTGAATTGATGTCCCCGAGTGCTACCGTATAGCCATACTCGAGCTTTAAATAGCCCAAGTGCGCGAGAAGCAATTCATTCGGCAATTTATCCTTGTGTTGCTCTTTTTTGTATCTTTCTTGCGCGTACATACAGATCGGCGATGTATACTTTTTTTCTGGAAGAACGCGTGGACACGTCAGCAACATTTTTGCGCGACCCTATTTTTTCACGTGTCAGCGCTGCTTTTAGCCGAGATAAGCGCCCTGAAAATGTCGATAATAGAGTGCCGCCCCACGACGCCATCATATAAAACTCGATGCACTTACGGATTTGTATAGCAATTCAAATTATTTGAATGAATTGGGGGAAATGTATGAGCGTTCGATACGTCGATTCTATGAGCGGATAATTTTTTTTTTACCGTCGTGAGCCTATTGAGAGCAACTAATTAAACTTGAATTCATCATACAATCTAACGCTCTAAAGAGGATCATTCGAAACTTCAAAGCGTGGAGACGCGCGTCAATCAATCATACCATTCAAAATAAGCGCCTTACAGTAGCCCGGGCTTAAGAAGAACGTTCCCTTATCGTCTTATTTATTTATTATTATTATTACTTTTTTTTACAATAATCCAATATATGCTTTTTTACAGATACAGCAACGAGTATCATCGCGACCCAAGAATAGCATCGCCTTGTTCTGCGCAGCGTCTCGTCAGTCCGACGAGCCACTTGAGAGTCATCTCGCCGATAGACCCTCGCATATCCAGCCCGAGCGATAGCGAGCGCCTAACGCACAGCATCAGTGAGTATATGTGCTTTCCCTTTCTCCAATATAAGTAATAATGGCGCGTTATTGATGAGCGGAAACTCGATGGACAGAAATTTATTATTGATGAATTAATATTGGAATTCGGCCGCAGCAGCGCGACTGCGCGCGAGTGTATATAGCACGGCTGTACATCGAGTGCGCGCACAAAGCGCAGCGCACGCATACCAGTCCGCAAGTGGAGTTCACATCTACTTATGCGGATTCGCATTCCGCGCGCGGTAGCAAGTTAGCGAGCGCACCGCCAAAGCTCCGCACAGATGAATATATTTAGGCTCCTAGTTATATAGATTGAAATGATTATAACTTGCACATCGGTAGCTACTGTAGAATTCGAGCTTCGTTCCGATGATTCGCGCAAATTCGAACGAATTCATTATTGAAATCAGTGCGCGAAATTATTGTACGCGTATATAAAGCTCGAAATAAGTGAGGTTTTCGTTCGGCTCGTTTTCGAAAAGTGACACCAGCTCTGCTGCCCGGGTAAAAACATTCGAATCGCGCAGCAAACTCCTGCCGAGGTCTGCAGTCGAGCGTAACGCATCGATCGATTCTCAATTAGACTTATAAATATATCGAAGCATCCAAGTACATCGAGAGGGAGAGAGAAAGAGAGATAGTCTTGCAATAAGCCGATGCGTTCTTGCTCGACGAGGATAAATGAAAGGTCTCTTATTCGAGCCTTTTAGCGCGCGGAATCTTTCGAGAGAGTAAAATGGAAGAAAAAAAAAAGAAAGAATAAGGAAAAAAAAAACGTTTCTTCTGTATTCTTCTCTATCAATGCCGTGGCAGCCGTAGTTGTAGTTATAGCCTAGTCGTAGCGAAAGTGACCCTAAAAAACCCATCAAGTTAGTAAAGTAGCTATAGTAGTAGTCTGCGCGCGACCGATGAATTATTCACCGCAGAAGTAGTAGTCTCCTCTCTTGCAGCCAGTGTAGTATTTTTCTTTCGTCGAGTCATCGACTGCTGCAGCAGGTAGTAGTAGTACACTCGATGTTACTATAGATAGAAACGTGTACCGTCTCTCTCTCTCGAACACGCTGGGCACGAGTTAAATTGTTCTTTCGACTCGCGATCTCGTGTTTGTAATGCGCGGAGGCTGCGCTCGCAGATCTTCACCGGGAGAAATAAGCCTTGCCATTAGATCAAATTGCTTTTCTAATTGCTCGAGCCCAGGAGCTCGCCGAGTTTGTTTATACGCGAAACGCGCCGTGTCTCGCGTTTTACAAGATATACGAAAATTGTGGTATTATCGCTCGTCGCGACTTTTACCCGTGGAGCGTAGATATCGAAAATTTTAGCGTGCATTATGTAGCAACAACGAATTGCATTACACAACGAGAACGCGTGTGTGTTTTTTACAGGCGACCGTGGCATGTCCAGCCCATTGGCCAGGGATCCCGAACGTGGCAGTAATCCAACGCTCAGGCAAATGCAGCGCGGCGTTGGCCATCGCCAGTCCAACGACCTTCTGCACAAGAGAGTGAGTAAACACGGCGTAAACCCGTGCACATACATACATATATCTATCCACCATATATGCATTCGATACTTACCGACGCGTATATATATATACCTATACGTACATGTAACGTGTACGCATTTGACTTTAGAATAAATATATTTGTTTGTACACGCACGACATTTGCTCCGAGGCAAAAAGCGAAAACAGCGCTGAAAAAGGGCACATCTGTCTGCAAAGACCAAAGAGAAAATATCGAACCTTGTTTATTATTATAAGCAGCTTCATTTTATTTTGTCATTGCTATATTGTATCGTACGCAGATATGTTTCATGAACGATTTTAATTTCGATGGGAAGTGGAAAATGAATGCATGCGCTACGTGGAGCTTTTAAATGAACCTTTATGAAATTCGAAGGATTCTACTAATGTAAATCGAATTTTCATACAAGAGCTTTTCAGCAAATACCATTAAAGTTAGTTAGCTTTAAGAAAGCTCGTTAAAGCTTTATTGTAAAGCTCGATATGTACTGTGTAAAAGCAAGTTTACGAAAGCTAATTCGAAATCATGCGAGAAAGCTCGCTGCTCGCTTTGAACGAGAAGACGATGAATGGGAAAAAATTTTGGCGCGGTACAATACAAGTTTGAAAGTCGCGAGATCAAAAGCGATACTAATCAACGCGATGAAACTCTTACCGACAGTTTCGCTGTGCACGCGCGATGGAAGTTTGATACATAGTGATTTTTTAGCAGTGTTCGTTACAACATTGTTCCGACCTGTTTATTTAATTTACTTAATTTGCGGTTGATAATCAATATTTCTCGTGCGATCGACACAAGTGAAATCGACGGCAATTAAGAAGCCTAATAAGTCGGGCGTGTATACGCAGCGCGGCAATTATTAGCGAGCGCAACAACAACGACGCACACAGAGCCGGGCATGCTACACAAAACGTCTAGTCACTTTTGACAAGAAAATTACCAGTCGCTCGTAATCCCTCGGCAAGATCCAAGCGAGCTTATCGGTCGGCTCGCGCGCGAGAGAAGGCGAACATTTTCCATACTCTTTCCTCGTCTTCCTCTACTCTTCTACTTTATTTTTTTTTCGCTATTTTATTTCCCTCTCGCGCGCGCGCGCGAGCTAGCGCAAAAGTTGCGCCTGGCAAAACTTTAGCGCGCACTGGCGTATACAAACGAGTATATGAGTAGGAAAGTTGCCTACTCGGAGCAGCAGCAGCAGCACAATGGAACTAACGTCTAGGTCTCTCAGGCAGGATAGTTTCTAAAACGCGATAAGTACCAGAAGTTTTCAGCTGCGCACGCGAAAAGATCTCCGCGGTGCTGCTGCTGCTGCTCTCTTCGGCCTTTCTCGTAATCGTCTTTCTTGTACGTATAGTTCGGTGCGTATATATGTATATGTACATACATAATACGCGAGTTGCGGGATTACATATAATCGTTTCACACTTATTATTATACATAAATGCTAGACGCTGGTACACGCGGGATATAATATAATGTACGTGGCAATTGCGTGCGTAAAGTCGACTTTTAACGGATCGCTTGTTTCATTACGCGACGTTATATTCCTGTTCGCGGCTTTTTAGATAGGGTCGACGACGCACTCGTGCATGTATATAGGAATTATATTGTACGGTCGCACGCATGGTTATAAATTCGCAATTATTTATCGCTCGAGCGTTGAACGAGCAATCGAAAATCCCAATCCGTGAGCGCGTATAACAATCGCGTGTGCGGGGGGACGCGCCGCGTGAATAGTATCATCGACGCGCGCGAACACGCAATCGACATTTTGGAATTTCCGATTCTCCAATTGGTCCACGTGAGTATTGTCCTACCGACCCCGTTTCCTTTTCTTCGATAAATGCGCGAGGAAAAATCAGAGTTACCGAGTGTGTGTGTGTGTGTGAGTATAACCGAACATCCGCATGCCGAATCTCGACGAGAATTCATAAACAACGAGCGGAGCGGCAAAGAAAAAGAAAGAGAGAGAGAGAAATGCGCAAAGGTCGCAGTGCGCGTGAGACCCTGTGTGTGTGTGTGTGATGCAGCTGTGCACACTCAGAGAGAGATTGGTTATTCCAACATTTTTGTACCTTGATCCTGTCGCTGATTAATCGCTCTTCCTCCCGCATCTTCTCAACTCCTCTCGCGCTTGATTAATGGACTTTAATTAACTGACGTTGGAAAAAAATGACCCTTTATTATTACCAAAGAAAAGTATAGTAAAATTGGAGACGATTCGTCGTCGTGCAGTCTAGCGCACATTCGTGTGCACTTAATCATCGGCTTTCCGAGCCAACGTCCTTTCCGAATAAATCCGATTACTTTCACTCGAACTTTTTTCCGCAGATGCGAATTGAATGTTATCGCACATAGGTAGTATACAAATGTGATTTGCTGCCAGCAGACGAGTGAATACATATAGGGCACCACCACTACATAGGATCCTATGCACGCGCGTCCAAGACACAATTCCTCATTGACCTTATTACACGTATATTACGATATAAAATACGATATAAAAAAAAAAAAAATAAAAATCTGACATGTTGTACGGTATATTGGAGCGTCGAGCTTGCGGGGTACTCGCCAACCAATGAGTCCCGTCGGTGTAATTGATCGCTGATGCATAGTTTCGCTTGGCTACATACATATTAATATATGTGTACGTGTGCACTATACATATAGACGTAACCACCACTGACAAATTCCAGTTTTCTCTCTCTCCATCTCTCTCTTTTGCGGGCTGTATAGCATCCTTTTGCCACACAGTTCCTCTAATGCTGCTCTACATTTTACGAGTAGAGTTGCGCGCAAAATATAACGGTGCACACGCTGCTCCGGCACTGCGCTGCAGCTCGCGCGATAGCTCGTGTGTAGTGATGCACAAATCATACTTATCGAGAGCTGCTGCCGCTTAAGTGGATAGAAAACACGGATATTGTATTACTCGTATTGCCACTGCTGCTGCGCCTGTCTCCTGTCGTTCTGTGTTGCTGCGCGCCACGTGTGTGCACACACACACACACACACACACACACAAACACACTTTTTGCCTCCGTCCCGATATCAACGCAAGATTTATTTATTGTGCATATGTATTATATAGGCAGCTATGCACACAGGCAGAATGCCGTTACGCACTTATCACGGATTATGATTAGGGAAATGACGCCGCTATTAAAGCGCGTCGCGTGTTATATGTGTACGCGGAAAAGAAAATTTGCCCAGACTCGAGGGCTCGCGCCGGACTCCATTGCTGCACATGTACACGCGGCGATTACCGGTAGTAATGTCTCGGAGTCGACCGAGTGCTGTGCAAAATACACACATATAATACATGTTACGAACAAAGGGAACAACGGATAGGCCGATGAATGAGGAATGGAAATGAAACAATAGGGCGAGCAGGTATATATAAATGTATAGAGCCCAAACTTGCACCCGGTGCAGGGAGAGAAATAAAATAATCCACTGCAACGAAGCTGTAAGTATAAGCCGAAAAGATGGAATGAATTGGAGGGAATAAAAAGAAGGAAAAAGTAGACGAGGGAGCCGAGCCCTGGGCTTCGGATTCGAGCTATAGTGCGTCGACTGCGCTCGTCGATATTTGAGTCTTAATGCATGCAACGCGCGCGGCGCTGCTCGGCCAAAGTGAAAGAAAAAAAATGAGGAGGAAGAAGAAGAAGACGAAGAAGCAGAAGCAGATAAAATGATAGCTGGCAGCTCTACGAGCCAAACGACCAGTTCGAACTACGCACGTCCGCAATGCAAGTGTAAGAGAAGCAACAAAAAAGGAGATAGAAGTGCACGCGTTCATGGTTGCGGTTACAAAACAAAAGGGCGACTCGCTGCGGAGAGGAGGACCACACGGGATGAGATTCAAAAAACGATCCCTTGATTAACACGTCTTCTCGAGTTTTTGCTTCTCGCTACGTGTGTATACACACAGTCTCAGCCGAAAGGCTAAATGGCTATATTGAGATGTTCGAGGCTCGAATCAATTTGCATTTCAATTCAATTTTCTTTTCGATGGCAAAAAAGCGAAGCGACGAAAAGGACGCCACGAATATATTTCTCGATTAGGCCCCTCGCAAAGATGGATAGCAAAACATTAGCTCGTAAAATTTCGGCAAAATCGACCTTCGTGCCACATTCGGGTAGCTTTAACGATCGCATCGAAAGCGATTCGGAGCGCGCGGGCCCGCGCGCGCCAGAAACGAATAATGAGCGAGAAGAAAGAATAATTCGCAAAAAGTCGAAGAAAGAGAAGATTGAAAAAAAAGGAAGACGGAGAAAAGAAGAAGAGCAGCAGCAGCGGCACAGGGAGTTATACGATCGAAAAAGAAAGCGGCCTGTGTCCGCGGGCGGAGGAGGAAACGCGCCGCGCACTCCGTCGACTCGTGTGTGCTGTTGCTGCAGCGAAAGAGAAAGGGAGGCTGTAGTGCGCGGCGTATTATATAGGTAGGTACGAGAGATACAGTGAGCCAAGGGCCCCTCGCTCTCCTATACACATCTTATATAGGGCCATCGAGAGAAAGAGAGAGAAGAAGAAAAGAAGAAGTCGAGAGCTTCAGTGCAGCATCGTCCGTCCATACTAAAACATCTCGTGCGCGGCGTCCTCGTCCCGATCATCGACGAGTGCTAGGCTGCGTGCAACAATACCGATTTTCCGCTTTCAACGCCACAGTTTACGCGGTTGCGCTTGTTTTTGTCAGCTCTGCGATCGCGCGTCTATGTGCTTTTTTCGTGATTTATATGAAGGACCCGACGGCGAATGAAAAAAAATTGCACGAGAGCAGCAGCAGCAGCAGCAGCCAGCTCCTGCGGATTCGCTGAGATTCGATTTTGTGTAAGTGTGCACCGTGTGTTGTTAATGTTGTTGTTGTTGTGTACGTATCGTATACGTGTGTGCACGAGTGTGTGCGTGTGTGAGTGGGCTCGTGCGTTGTTGTTGTTGTGCCTCGAGTGTTTGCGCACGTTCGAAAATCAGCCTGCAGAATACATCGCCGTAATGGTTTTTGATTTGTGGTTTTTGCCGCATATTACGCTACCTTTTACCGAGCGATTATGGTGTTGGTGTGCGAGTATATGAGGGTATTGGTGGCTGCTTACTTACTGGGCGCTGTGGATCACGACGATGATGGCGATGATCATGATGATGATGAGGCACATATACGCGAACGCCTACAGCAAGCGCAAAACTAGCAGTTTGTTTTCGTAGAGCTATGTTCATGCGTACGTACGTATGCATGTGCGCATATATTACACCCGGATGTTATGGGAATATCACGCCTTATGTAGGCTACCGCTGGAGCTGGACTTGCACGCGTAGAATTTTTGAACTTTTCACGCTTGTAAATGTACGCGGCTTGCGGTATACGCACCCACTAATTTCAAATTCCCAGATGTTTTCATTTCATCCACGTATGCGAAGAGCAAAAAATCTCTCGTCTAAGAGTATATTGACGACACGTACGTATACATAACATTGTGTATAGTCCTGTAGAGCCAAGATCCAAATCTCGAGGCTCTGACCCCGAAGTAATGTGCAGTATACGGTAGACGTCATATACAGGAGTCGCTGTATTTAAGTCAGCCAGTTAGTCGTCCGGACGCGATGTCTCCTTGTATTCACAGCCCCCGCGCACCGCAGCGGCTCGATATTATAATCTCGCTCCATTTTCAGTCGCTCACGACTTTGCTGTCCCTGTGTAGTGCCTCGACGTTACGATGATCCGCGCTCTAAACGTTCCAATAATGCGGCGTTGGCGATGGCGCGTCCAACACGCAAGCACTCGATGGTCACGCTCAAATTGCCCGCTACCTACCTGTTTGTATAACGAAACGCACTCGAAGAATCGATTTATCCGTTACACAAGTACAAAGTCCACCCATGATTAAACGAGAAAATTCCGAAAGATCCTAAAACAGCAGCAGCAGCAGCAGCGGCAGTACTTGGCTCAATTCGAGCCTGCATGTTCTATTTATCGTTCACGAGTCATCGGCTTGTTCGTCTCGTGTGTACGGCAGCAACAGCAGTAGTCCCTATAGGCATGTTTCTTTATATTGCAAATAAATCAAAACGTTTTCTATATACATATCAGCTAGCCGAGCGGGTACATATATAACTGTTAGCTCGGCTCCTATTTTCCGTTACATATTATACACGAATACTTAATCAATGAAATTGCTGAAAAATATCGGCGTAGCATCGCAGCCGAGAAATTTACGTTTAGCATCCATCCTGCAACGGTGCGCAGTGTAGTGCTCTGGTGAGTTACTCCGTATAGTAGCCGAGCTTACTTACTCGCTGGTACATATTCATCATCATTGCGGAAAAGCCGAGCATTTCTCCTAAAAAGATCCTTACGGATTGTGCGCGCAGCTACTACTTCGTATACATGTACGCGTATACGCGCGCGAGTTTGTACCGCGCGTTGAAAGAGAGCAAATTTATGCACATAATTTTCCTTGGCACTGATTCGACGACGACGCGTTGTGCAGCTGCTTTGATTCGCGCTGCAGACGTACAACGCAGAAAAAGAGAGAGAGAGAATACCTGCATTCGCGAACAACGGAAATATTCAATTAAATCCAGGGGAGTCCAGTGGCAGCCATGTATCGTTCGGGCTCCGAAGAAGCAGTTCGACTCTGTGTTAAGCTAGTGCACGTGACGACGCGTACGCCGCTCGAGTCCTCGCGTGTACAGTGCGTCTTTTAAAAGGAAGACGTAAGTGCGGGTCATTGGACGCATAGCTGTCGTGTCATTGCCAAGAGTTACTCTACACACAGGCGGTTTTCTGCTGTCGCGGACGATTTTGATTTAGGCGCAGAGGCTGGTCAGTATTTTTGCAGCTCGTCGCGCGATTATTTCGCACTCCACAAAGATAAAACGTTTTCTTTCGACGCGCGCCTGCTTCTTACGGCAGCTGCTGTGTGCAGCCTTTTTTGCTGCGCGCGCCAACTCGTATTTTAGCTGAAAAATTAAGAAAATCGCAGCTGCACCGGCCGTGCGAGATCATTTCGAAGATAAAGCGCGCGTCTCATTAGGTAGAAAAAATTGCGGCGTAAAACCTACTTTCTTCCTCGCTCGCGCGCGCGCGCGGTGACTCTGGAAGCTTATGTGCGTGCAAATACAATTTTGTCATTGCCAGACTCGAGCTCTGCACATTAGATGGTCAGAACAACAGCGTCAGCAACAGCAAGTGGCGTGCACATATTATATTGTGTGCAGTGCACATGACAAAAAAGGCCTGATATCGCGTCGACTATTCTCTCGCAGCTCAACTGCTCTCTGGCACTGTACTACCTTTCGTATGTATACTGACCACAAGCTTTCGCCGGGCTATTAATCTATTCTTGCGCATTCTCCTCGGCCCGCGTTGTGTTCAAGCAGTTTCTCGCTCAAAAATATCCCGGACACTTATAAGAAAGTTTTACTTTAAGCCTTGATTTTGCCGAGTCAAAGCTGTGCACGCGCACTTATTTCTGTATGCGCGCGAGTCGTGTGTGTGTGTGTGTGTGTGTGTGTTTGTTGTTCGTCGACGAAGGAGGTGTGACTTGCTTGGAGCGCGTGACGTTTCCTTTATACACATTATATGGTAAAAGCACACATATATAGTAACTTGACGAGCGCGCAGGCAAGGAACGCACGACGTACGCCTCGCGCGCGAGCATCTAGTTAGGGACACGAAAGGGTAATTTATCATTTATAAATTTCATACGCCGACTGAGTGTGACCTTAATTAAGGAATCTATGTAAGCGCGTGCCACAATGTGTGCGCTGGCTTAACTCGAGCATTAAATATACGACGCAGTCCTATTTTTTCTTCTCTTTTTTTGTTATTTTAATTTTCTCGTAGATTGTGGTGCGTGAGTCTCTGTGCAAGCGTTTGAAACAAATTACCCGCGATATAGATATAAATGTTGATTGACATATTATTGTATGAAAATTCAATCGATTCAATTCTTATCTACGCCGAACGCAAGTTAATGCATCGAGAAAGAATAATGAAACATATCTGGTACGATAAAATATAACATTCAATTTTCGTGTCAACTATTTATAGGCATTATTATTATTATTATTAATTTTATTTTACGTATAACTGCATACCGCGCAATATCGTTTAAATACCCGCAATATCAGTGGATGCGATCTGCGAGGTATTTAAAGTGCCGTTGAATTGTTGTTCTCTCCGCATGACCGCAAACCAAACCCGAAATTTACAGAGCCAATCGTCGAGCCGCATACGCGACAGCAGCAGTCGCATCTCGGGCGGCCTCGTCCAGGTATCGGCCGGTGAACTGCTCGGCCGTACCCACGAGGAGCTTGTGCTCCTGCTGATCCAGCTACGACGCCAGAGCGCCACGCTCTGCAAGGCAATGGAAACATGCCATATGGAGATCGAGGCTCAGGTCCTTATACACAAAATACAAATTCAACCAAAACAAAAAAAATCATTTTCTTTATACTGCATTGCCTCACATTGTTCATACCTATACGATCATTTAGGCATCGCGTGGCTAATATCCATATGGCTTCTGGGCGCACCTTATGTATAATAATAATTATAATATTTTTTATTCGATATAACGAAAGGATGAAATTTACCCTTTGAGATTTTTAAATTGGTACCTGGATTAGAGACAAATCTCAAATCGATATATTTCATGCATCGTTGTAATTATTTATTAATCCCTTTTAATCATTAATTTTTGACAACTTGTTGATGGTAATTTTTTAATGCTATAAGATAGTTTTATCCGTATGAACTTTATATTACAGCGCTTGTATTTTCATTGCAATTTTTAACAGGTACTAAGCGAAGACATAACGCTTTGGTGATGGTCTCTAAAGGCGTGTTTCGCCTGATTAATTTTGCTCGTAATAAATTATTCTTAATATAATATAATTCCTCTTTAATAGGTACTTCAATATCATAGATGTACATGAAAATTATATAAATTACTGTAAATGAGTACTTCTGCTTGCGTAAATGATACCTAAATACGGCATGCAAAGTATATAATTTTATAATACGCTACTCTCGCAGTACATAATAATGCTTAAATGAAAAGCGACGTTTTCGAAGTATCGTTTTACAAAGCAGCAAAATTTAAATGGAAAACATTTATTACTTTCTCGTGCCTGTATCGAAATTATTTTCAAAGTTCTGAAAAATTCGACGAATTGACACACCGCGCGTTACTCTCTCAGACTTGCAGTCGATGAAGGTTCAAACGGCGTGGAAAAAAGAAAAAGCAAAAATATCCCGATTTTCACCCAACTCTAATGTAGGGGGCATACAAGCACATCAAAACTTTTCTACTTACACCATTTACACAAGTAAACAGACTTTTTTGGCACGTAAAACGCTTCGAACTCATTAAACATCCAATCGTTCATCTTAGTTTTTTTTCTCTTTCCACACTTTTCGACTTGTAGGCGCCACATAGTCACAAACATGCACACACAAACCCGCTCACAGAAATACGGCAAAATTTTTCCTTGTACTTCTCTCACCCGCTCGCTCTCTCGAAGGCTCTCCGGGTTCATACAGAATTTAGCTGAAGCATGAAATGGGCAGGCCACGACAATGGGAGCTTGATTAATTCGCGACCGCAAAGTTGGCCTATGCGCCAGCGTTTTCGTTTCTCCTAGCCGCGACTATATAATGCAAATTGAATTATGCTCGTACCGCGGGGGAGTTTCTCTCTCGTCTCCGACTGAGCTTTGCGAATATATATGAAGCGTATATAAAGCTTCACAAGCAGCGAGTACGCGTCTCGAGCTTCCGAATTTCGTGAAAATTTCGGCAAAGTCGCTTGGCGCGTTGTTTCGAAAGCGAATTTCTCCGACCGAGTCGTTGCCGCGCGACCATATATCCAATCGATCGGAAGTAGACGCGGAGCAATTAGCATACAATAAGGCACAAATAGTAAGGATCGAAGCGATCGAGCGATCAATCCTACACGCGCGAGCGGCTCGTAAAGGAAAATTCGCGTATAGCGCAACAGTCGCAACGATTTCGACGTCTTTGCTAACCCGATACGTATACAGACACAATAATATGAAAAATAGAAGGAAAAAATTCGACACGAGCGCGCGCGTCTATTTCGCAAAAGTGGCATATAATATTCGCTGCACATGGCTCCGTGTGTATGTGTGTGTGTCGCTGCACTTATATACACTTCGCATGCATATTATACAGAGCTGGGCGAGCGAGCGAGCGCGCGGGCGAGTCGGGTTTCCCATGTAGTCTCGCGCCGCTGCGCTTCTCTGCTGCTGCAGCAAGCACACGCAGCGCGGATAGTGTATATGAGCAACATCAGCAGTGTTGGCCGCGCAGTATCGGTCCTCGTCTCACGACGCGCGAAGCCGTTGACGGACGGTTTTATCATTTTTAATTCTTGTGCTTTCGTCGCGTTCGCGTTCGTTATACAAGTGACAGAGAGAAAGAAAAAGAGGATCGAAATCGTAATTTTGCATTTATCTCTCGGTGATCGGGATCGTGTCGCGCGCACTGCGCGTCCTCGGAAGGATGTACGCTAGACGGACTACGCCGCGGGTAAGTGCAATTATCACGCGGCTCTTGTGCATGTGCTGCGTCGTCGTCGTCGTCGTCGTAACATTAGCGAGCTTATCTCGGTGCGTGCGCGCGGTTCAAAGTGTCGGCTTAATGGCCCACTCTCTTGTACTCGAGCCATTCGCGAGTAGTAGTGCAAACGCGAGCGAGCTTTTTTTCTTGTTATTTTTTCTTTTTTCATCCGACATCTTTTTAATCCAATGCAGCGTCGCTTACTGTACTCGATCGTCGTGTGCGCATAATTCAATGTTTTTAATGACGAGTCGATCTGTGAACTTTTAACTGAAAAATTAACCTCGTGGCAGTCAAACCCTCTTCACAACTTCTGCCTTCTCCTCCTTCTCTTCTGTCTCTTTACATTCTCTCATGTAGTATGCACTCGAAAGGCATACACGTGACGGCACAAATAACCGTGGGTTGTGTATGCATTAATCTTTGTGCACTCGTCTGTATATTAATTCGTCGTTTTCATGTAAAACTATACATTCATAATACATTGCGTTTTGGGAATGCATTGGCAAAGTTTCTCGAGAGGTTTATATGCGTGCGCATATAATTCACTCGCTGTATACCTATTAAACTACATATACGAATCGCTTTGCAGTATACGGCAGTACTAAATTTTTGCTCTTTTTTTCTTTTTCCTCTCTCGCTTAAATGGGACATTTTGGCGCACCACAGGCTAGACTCGTGGAATTGGATACACCGCGACGATTGGAGAATCTGCAAAAGTTGGATGAACTGAAGAAGCACTTGATGGATCTTGAGAAACAGGTGAGAGCTTTTGTTTTTGTCTCTTTCAAAAATTTCAACTCGTTTCTCGGTTTTGATAAACAATTGCTCGTTTGGCTCGGTTAACTGATTGTACCTTGAGACTCATTCAAATAACGCGACAGCTCTACAGACTCGCGCGGCAACGAGGGATATCGGGTTACATCCGCATATGTTGATAATAATACATAGTCGCGCGTTTATTTGTTAACGTCCGAACGAATTATGACTCTGTTTTTATTGTGCGTTACAGTACGAGAAGGGCAAGCCACTGGTGAATTTGGTCGACAACATGGTGAAACTCGGCTCGCTGTACAACTGCAATCGGCTGAACGGCGCGGCCAGCACGACGAGTCTCGGTGGCTCGCGCTACGATCTCGGACACCAATCGGACGGTGCCAGGGATCACAGAGACCGATTGGAGTTCAATCAGCGCGTCCAGGAGCAGAGGCTACTGGCCGAGGAGAGGAGGGACTGGGATCGACTGAGTCCCGATCACGGACAACTTCAGGTACTACGATTTTCCGATGCTTCTCTATTGTACAATATTATTCTCTCTCGACTATCTACACTTTTCAAGATTATTATTATTTTACTCAATCGCTGTGCTATACGTGTGAATTTAGGCTGTAAACTCGCTCTCTCAAGGAAATCTGTATCAAAGCCGAGGCAACATACTGTATCCTGGAGTTAAGAGGGAGTTTTTCCTCAAGATCGCTCCGAAGGTTAAAAACGATGAGTGCATTCGATAAAGTGTGCTTTTTTCGCATTATGATTAATTCACTGGCAGCTAACTGAATGATTCGTCGACTTAACTCGAATTAATTCATTTAACTTTCACGCGCGCCATTATTAACTCGATAGAAAAATTATAATATCAATAATATGTGAGTTACATTTGTATGTATTACATCGGGGAGGGGCCAGAGGCAAAAAAAAAGAAAAAGAAAAGAAAACATTTACACGCACCGTCCATGCAAAAAATATCACGTATCGCGCGAGCGTATAATGTGTGCCTCTATGTCCGCCGCGCGGCGACTACTGTAATATCAGATGCGGAGATACGATAATGCCATGCGGGATTACTCTTATATATACTATACTACTATATAGATACGCGCGCGCGCCTTTCGCTGAGATCTGCAGCGACTTTCCAGCGCGCCGCGAGGACGCGATATCGGGCAAGGTTACTTTCTATATCCTGCAGCCATCGAATTCCGCGCGACGAGATGCGTACCTATACCTACATACCGTCTGGCTTTTTTCTAATGTTCTAATGTCGTTCGAGAAAGAGATAAAACGAAAATGAAATATAAGGCGAGTTCGGTGCGGCATCTCGCGTTGAATGAAGCGCGTACACGCGAACGCTTTTATAATATACGAAGGCTAAACTTACGGCGCAACTAATAGAGCTTAAACGGATTTGATGCGTGTATGTACACATGCGTTTATATATGCGCATCGCAGAGGGAAGGGAGTATATACGGTAGCCAAGCGCGCGCAACGCCATACTGTGTGCACGAGAGAGAGAGAGAGAGAGATAGAAGAGCCTCGGTATAAGACCATAATGCGTTTAACATCCCACTTCATTGTCTCTCTAATTTCATATCGAGTGTAATTGAAAGGAACTGACCTAATTCGCCGAGATTGAACTAAATCGCATTTGACTCGATGAAAGTTTATCTCGCTTCCTCTGTGTGGCTAGTCTTTTTTTTGTCTACACGTGTTATTTAATCTAGCTCGCTCTTTTTCTCTCACTCGAATACCGTATATATATATATATATATCAGCGCGTATGGTACGCAGACGTATCAACGTTGACCATTTAATGCTTCATTCGTTTTTCTCTTTCATCTCTGCCTTCTTTTCGTTTTCTCAATTATAACGATACAATTTCTAGTTATATATTTTCTTTTCTGTCGTTGCAAAAGTAACCCACCGTCGCGTCATTAGAAAAGCTGCCGCAGATATCCTCCAAGTCCTTCTAGCAAAAATAAAACATAAAACTCGTAATGAGGGCGGCAAAAAAAAATGAGTTATCTCGTTTGTTCTCGTTTCAGGCCAAAGTTCAGCAGCTCTACAAGTTGGATCAATTACTGCAAGAGGAGTCCGGCACCCTGCACAGTCTCCAACAAAATAAGGTTCGTCACTCTTTTCTTTTTTCTACGATCGTTAACTGCGAACTGGCGAAAAGATTGGAAAATCGCGAGCACGGGGGCGCGCCCTCCAAAGACGTGTAATAAACGAGACCTATAGCTGCTCGAAGCTTGTGCACGTATATTATATGGAGCTCTTTTTCTCGGACGCTCGAATTATATAGTTACGCGAGCGCGAGAATCCCGAGCTTCTGCTCGGAAATTATACGGCTCGAAAAGATCGGTAAAAGTTATCGTCGCTACCGATCGTAGGTTGATTTTTATTTCGCCTTGCCGGGCAAAGCTCACACTCGCGTAACTCGTGTTCCGTCGCATTTACTGTATACGTCGCATTGCGCGACGCGTTAGATTGAAAGAAGCATTAGACAAGCAACTCACGAAGCGATGCGTATTTTCATGTATGAAATATTAAAGCCGATCGACGCTTTTTTTTACGCGACTCCCGGGTCTTATCGTTGTATTAAACGCGCGCGCGCGCGAGAGCTGCCGTCAATGTCGAACGATGAATAAACAACTGCGATTCCGACTGCGCTGCAATATTTACGTTTTTCTATGCGTATGCTTATGCATGTTCGTGTGTTTACGTATGTGTGCGCACAGGAGCTGCTCGAGAAGGCACTGGGAGGCTTGAGGCATAAAATGCAGGGCCGCAACAATAATCCAGCTGAGGTCGAGCGCTACCGCGAGCAGCAGATGCTGCTCGAACGCGAGCTCAGCCGCGTCAGGCTCTTGCTGGCTCACAATTCCAAGGTAAGCGTCAATTTTTACTCTTCCTTTTTTATAATCTCTCTTTCCCTCGATTTTGGCATCTCCAGGATGTGTGTATATAAATAACGTCTCGTCTTGTGGCCTAGTTCGACTCGACCTTTCTCGCTTGTATAACTTTTTGTTAACAATATACACATTATATTACCCGGTATCAGTTCGTTCGAGATTTATTACGAACGTTTTAATACCGTTGACTTTAACAACGCAAGTCGAACGCCGCGAATCTGCAGCCTCGGCGATCGAGCCACGTTTTCGTGTTTATATATCGAGACTGACACGCGCACACTGCACGCGGTGTAATTAAATTTAAAGATCAGCAAATTATGCGTATATTTCACGAATGCATCATAATCATTGGATTTATTCTTCTTTTTCTTGCCAACAGACAAAGAAGCCCGTTTTTTTCCAGGTAAAATGTCACGTAGTAACGAATGAGATGTTTTTCTACATCATGCGAGCCATTATTCTATTTCTTTCGAACGATAATTATTCACCGATTATGATTTTGATGACATTCTCATTTGTGACATTGCATGAAATAATGAATACCATCAAATTTCATTGAGAAAACAAACATTTTAGAAATTAAATTTTAGAAAAATAGGACGAATTTAGCGTTATGACTCATTTTAAAATATCTCGAAATAATCAGACATCAAATTGCATAATCGCACATTGGCGATGTAGCATTTCTTATCAGAAGATTTAATCAATTTTTTTATGCTTCACCTTGTACCTCTTACACTTCAATAGAAAGATATATAGTGACACGTTCAAACTTTTCACGCAAGTAGGACATTCTTAAGAAAAAAAAAATTGTTCACGCTATCGCAGTCTGATATAATAGACGCTCTGAACAATGCAAGCAAAGTTCTGGCGTTCTAAACGTTCGTACCGCACAAAAGCCTAAAACGATAAAAAAATTGGCATTCCGCAGAAACTGGAGGAGACCGTGGCGGAGAACGCGCGCCTCGAGCAAGATCTCGTGGTGCTGCGCCAGAAGCTGCAGGCCTCACGACGCTACCAGGACCAGGTGCCGTCGCGCGACTCCACGGCTAATACGACGCAGGCCCTCGAGAAGGAGCTGCGCCGGGTGCAGCAGCTCGTCGGCGATCTGCAGCGCCAGCGCCAGGAGCTCAGCGTGCAGGTGCGCCAACTGACCGAGAAGAGCCACAGTCTCGTGCAGCAGATTCGACCGCAATCCAACACGTCGTCGTCGAGTGAGTCACCCAGCCAAAAAAGGTACCCTTTACGAGCCTCGATTGTTATTTTGAACGATTATAATCTTTGTAGCGGCACAAGTTCACCAAGCGAAGAAACGCACGCCCAATACTTGGCTCGAGACCGACCTGGACTCGGGCGTGACTCAGGAGCACGGCCATCATCGCGACTTACCGACCAGTCCAGCTTCCTCGACTTCGACTCAGAACTCCTCCTCGACGTTCCACTCGTCGAGCAAGCAAAACGGCCACGGGCCCTATCGTCCGAATCTGAACTCGCCGCAGTACGCGAGCAGCAACCAAACTCGCTCGCCGGTCTCCACCTCGTCGACGTCGTCGTCCTCGCAGTACGGCACTCGTCAGGTGCCCGGACAATCGCAACAGCAGCAGCAACAACAGCAGCAACAGCAACAACCACCGACCTTGTCGCCTCATCTGCGCGAACAGATTCAGCAGCATCAGCTCAAGCAGCAGATGCTCAAGGATCAAATGCAGGGCAAGGCCTCGTCGAGTCCAGTGCCTTTGTACGCCAACGCCATGGTACCCGATCCAAGAAGACAAATGACAGGTAGGCCACAGCTGTTGTTTCTCATTTGAAAGTCATTTTTAGACGAATATTACGATGTTCTGTTATTCGTGGGTTTATGCTTCTCTTACTTTGGAGTAATCCGTCGTTTCAGTGACCGACTTTTGTCTTGATGAAAACTTTACTTTACATGCACTCTTTGTAACTGCAAAACAGAAAACGTAATTACTGCTGTTTTCATTATTTTTTTCTTCGCATTAGAAAATTAAAATGAGTTTGGTGGGAAACCCATGAATCAGAACATTATACATTCTCACGCCAAGCACCGTCGCAACCATATCGTATCGCATCATAATGATAATCATCGACATCAATAATAAAACTAACAAATCGAAAATACATTAAAATATGCTACATAATTTATTACGAATATGATCATTCTAACATACAAACATCGAAAATTCATAATTCACGCACCAAATTTTCATGAAAAAAAAAAAAAAAAAAGATCGCATAAAGTTACATTATCACGTCGTTTAATGATATCATGCCATTAAAATACATCCGATCATCGTGATCCATTTTCTTGATTGAAAGCAAAAAAAAAAAAAGAAATATGATTAAAAAGACCTACTTTCATTATTCGGAAAATAGACTTGGGTGACTACCATGCCGTAGGCACCACAGTATAGTTACCTTGACAGACAGGGGACCGCGTTAGGTAAGAGACATATAACAACTGCAACTGAGCGCTAAAAGAGAATAATTAAATCAGTTTTAATTGTTTTTCTCGTTTGCCCCTGTAACCGTGTGCATGTGTGTGATGTATATCCAAAGCAAGGAAATAACAATTGCATACTCATAGAGAAAGAGAGAGAAGCCAAGATGAATTTGTAAAGAAAAACTTTCCCAAAACGGAAAGCTATCTTGCGCAACGATTAATTCTGACTAATTATTTTACTTTTGTGCGCCAAGTGCAGATTAAAAATTTTTGCATTAACAATTTTCTTAATACTCTGTTACACAATATACGACTTTATATATATAATACGGAATGTATATCCAATAGCTGGCAATATTAATTCAAACTATTCTTTTGTTTCACAAACACTGTGTATAGACATGTTTGCGCATGGACGTTATAATCTATGTTTTAAATATTATACCTATATATTATATACATATTTCAAACACGTTTTGATGTTGATTTTACATACTATACCTTACTAGGCAGTTTTATTTTTCGATATAACAGCGTAGTGAAGATAATTGCAATTTTCTTGAATTTGCTAACACGATAACTTAATCGACTTGCAGATAGTCTCAAGCATTACGAACACATGACTAACGGCGGTCTTATGCTATCACCACCCGAGTATGTGCCACCACCACCCCCAGCAATACCCGACCCCGAGACTATGATGATGAACGGAAGTTGCTACGGCCAAGACGATAACAAATTTTCCGGTAAGTAGTTGCAGGTAATTTTTCTTATCCATCTAGTCGCTTAAGGCTAATGAAAAACCCTTTTTCTTTCATCTCCATACCAAAGGCCTGCTTCACAATCGCGAAAAACCAGAAATCAAAACGGTGCGCATAGTAAAACGCGAGTCCGAAAGACGTCAAAGAGATCGAGGCGATAGAAGCGGTAATCTTGGCATTCCATTAACAAATGGACTTCAGGCGCCAGGAGGTGCAAAGCGATTCAGCGACGACGATTACGGTGGTTCTCAAAACTTCGAGGTACTTTTCATTCAAAAATTATGTGTATAATTTTTTAATACATTTTTCCAATAAATAACCCAATTTTTTCGATGTTAAAGAGCCAACTTGATCGCGTGCTGGAAGAAAGCCCGATGCTACACGCTCAAAGCAACTCGCAACTGTCTGACCTCGACGAGATGCAATTCCAGCGCAGCATGTCACTGCCCAGAGGATTCGGCGGTAAAACGACACCGCAGCAGCATGTTCAACCTGGTCCAGTGCCGACACCTCCTCGAAGCGACAGTATGGCCGCTTTGAGGAACATGATCGCTCGTCGCCAGCGAATCAAGGTGAGTCGGTCTTTTCTCGTCCGAATTTTCCCTTCTCTATAGATAGCACGACTCATGAATCGATCGCTCGTTTAATTGTCCCTTTGTTATTTATAGAGTAGTTTTACGTATACCGCATATACAAAGTTTCAATTTTAATACATTAGTCATATAGAGCTGTGCTTGAAGAATGATTACATAGCGCATTTGCTCGTTCGTGTCAAAATAAATTTTTTCATTACATCTTCATGCATTTTTTATACAAAAACCTATGAAACCCTAACCGCCGCAAAAGGAAAACGTTGAAAGAGTAACATCTCAAAGTAATAACATAACTAATAATTAACAATTTAAAAATTTGAAATTTGCACTCTAACGTATAAATATTATTCATTACAAATATGTAACTTTAAACGTTTTCCATTTATTGTTCAACATTAACACATTGTCAATGCTACGATTATGTCAAATTGGTAACCAACTAATTTAATTTACAACTTATACACGATCTTGGCACAGAATGACAAAATAATTTTTTATGAAATTATGTAAATACAAGTATCCATGTACGTATTTTGATGTTGATAAACAATTTTTTAATTCATCAATTCTCGGTGTACAAATCCCTTTAAAACAAGCAAGGCTGCATTAGCTAAACATACAAAAAACATTATAGATTAGCCCCTCTATAAAACTTATTAAACTTAACATCTCTCCCCCCTTGATTCATTGGTTTTTAATTTTTTTCTTTTTTTTAATATAATTTCACCCCTTCTATCCTGACCTACAAACCATAACACCCACCTGCGTTGCATCCATATCATCACCTACGTCGTTGTCGTCGTCGTCATCGTCGTCGTCGCTTTATCGTCACAGCTCGAGATGAGTCAAGACTCGGACAGCACATACGCCACGGACTGCAGCGCGAGCTACGTCTCGTCGCCCATCAACGGCAACTACGCCGGCTGCTCGAGCAATTACTCGACGAGTCCGGCTTACAGTCCTCCGTACTCGATGCAGAGTCCGGAGCCACCACCGGTGCCGGCGCCTCCACCGGTGTCCTCGCTAATTGCCGCCAAGGTAGCCGGTAATGGACAGGAAGTGCCAGCATCGGTGCCTGCAGCTGCTGCTGCTGCTGCTGCTCCTGCTCCGGGCAGCGGGTCGACGATTTTCAAAAGCGAAGCTGCCAAGCAGATAATCAAGGAGATGAGCGACAAGAAGCCCGAGAGCAGCAGCAACGACGGCCCTGTGAAATTGAGAAAGAGACAGGTGCCAAGAGAGAAGAGGAGGCATTATACGGTTTCCAGCAGCCAGCCAAATATCGATCTAGAAGATGCTTTCGCGAAGATGGTAGTCACTCACGAATTTAATCACGCTCTCTCTCTTTCTCTCTCTATATATAAATATGCCTTTGACTTTTTCTTTTCTTTCGTTGGAATTGATTTTTTCCATCTGTCCGTACTGACTTGTTCGATAAGTTTTGGTTTTATTAGTAAACTAAACATCGAAGGACTGAATCAGATACATAGAAAATATTTTTCCTTTAAAATACGTGACGCAAATACATGATACATGATCGGATTCAGTCCTTCTTGTTCATTTTTATTCGAGTTGCAAAATTCGAATATTTGTTGAAATGGGTTCTCACACTTTTATTCCATGTTTCTTCCTACTTCATAATTCAGGTTTAGCGTTTCTAGAAGACGGTAAAAGACTCCGTAACTTAACGAAATAAAGATCTAATAACTACTTTATAATTCAGAATATAACTTATATTAAGATAACATTTCAGTGATTGCAGAAAAATTAATTGATCTAATTAAGATGTAGATATAAAGTTTAAATTCAGTCTTTCATGAAACTTGGAAACTATATTCTGTTTAATCTGATCTTCAGTTCGTTAAAAAAAATGATAGTTTATGAGTATTTGAACAAACATGTTCTCATTGCTTTGAAGGAGCTTTCGTATAATTGCGAATTTAATTTCTCACTTCCATCTATTAAAAAGTTGCGTTGTGCACGTTACCCATCATTTATGCTGCATGCGCTCTCGCTAACATTTGCGCTTTTATCCAGTTTTAGTCAAGTGCTTTTGCTGTTAAATGTTCTCTCATTTTTAACTAGTGTATAAATGTCGTTTGTACGATATCAGTTGAAAACTACTTCCTTCAATCGAGTGTACATTACCTACTAATCAATAGCTCTAGGTATACATAGATATATGTACTGATGGTTTTTCTTTCATAACTGAAATAAATGAAAATCGACTTCATCAATAATTAGTGATATAAAAAAGGCCTGGAAACGGAAAGCCATTGAAATGACTTGAAAAGTTTGAACCACGAACTTGTTTCTTTTTTAATCGATCGATTTCTAAAGTTTTTATCTCATCTTTCCTCAGGGCATGGGACGAGCTCGCGATGATCTCGATATGGAGAGAGCTTTGCGGCCAAGAATTAATGCTCCCGACGTCGTTAGATCGACGTTGAGTCACAAGGAACTCAAGTACAACGAGAGCACAATCGATAGCCTTTTGGGTGCGCCGAATAAGATCTTCATACCGGAGCGATACGTACCCGAAAAGGTTTGTGATGCATAAAAATTAATGTTACATTTTTATTCGACGAACATTACACGCCAGGAATAAACCGAGCACGTTTTAATATTCCAATGCAGACTCCGGAGCTGTCGGCCGAAGAGAAGGAACAAAGGTTGAAAAAAGCCGAATCCATTAGGAAAATGCTGTCGGAAACTACGGTCACCTCTGCCGATGGAGCTGGTATGAATTTTTAATGACAAAACTTTGGAAATTTCCAGACGACTGAATTATTATGTCATTGTACCATTATTTTCTTAGACGACGAAGATATCGAGAAATCCGAAACGCTGAAGAAAAAAGTTGCTGAGGAGAAACGCCAAAGAAATCATATTCTCCAATTGAATCAAATTTTAGCCAAGCAAGTTATGGAGAAAAGCAAGATGGTTGCGGGTATGCATTCATTATTTCAGAATAACTAACTGACGATTATATTTTTATTATAGATTTGTTTTTTTCCGCGTTTTAATAATAATGCATGATTCAGTTATTTTAGTTTTTATTTGTTTATTTATTTCGTTTCTCTTTTGTTTGAAATAGAACTTAGAAGCGTGTAACGAGCATGATTTTTTTGAAAATTAAATTATTACGCTCGTAAAGTATTTGCGTTTATGATTTTCATGCTCACTGAACAATCGTTTGATAATTTCATTATTCAACGAACTGTGAGCTCACAACAGAAGCATTTTGCATTATCATGTCGAATGTTTGCGCTAAAATAATTATCTAGACCTTTGTTAGCGGCAAAACCAGTCTCATTGCTCAATGAAGTTCGGAAGTGGTGCTTTACGGTTGAAATTTCCAAATCAAAAAAACAAAAAATAAATCGTCTCATTTAGTCTTAAAAATAATTCTGACCTTATGGTAAATTAACGAATTTTCAATTACCTCGAAAAAAGGACTGTATAGCAATGGTAACTCGTCGGAGCAGCAAGCACGCTAGCAGCTTCCCTGCATTGACAATGATTCTTAAATAACGCCGGCTTAGATAGAGAGTGTTGTTGTTTGGAACGTTTGTGCTGTGCATAATAGGTAACCACCATGGCACGTTGAACTGATATGCTTGCTCCATCCTCCCGCAATAGGAACCGCTCGTCATTTACCATCCATCAGGTTTGTTCCTATTTTTGCTTCTTTTTTACTTTTATTTTTGGTTGATTTCGTTTTATTTGCAGCACTTACTATTTTTGTACTTGATTCACCCTCAAAATAAACACAATAATATTAAATTTGTCATTGAAATCTTAGAAGCTTGAATAAAAAATACCACTTGCTCTCAACCCATGACTTTTCAGCCAATGCTCGATCTGACGTCTCCTCATTTGACGATGAATCCACCATTGATGATTCGGATGACTTATCACCATCTACACCTATGCCACTGTATCAGCAACGCGACAATTACTACTCCTGAAGCCAAGACGACATCAATGAGCTTTCTTCGACGACCGTCGTTTGAAGCGTCGCTCGGTGCATCGAAGAGGGATCTCATTGATGTTCATCGGATCTTGAAATTCGAAAATAAACAATCACTTTCACACGTGCAATAAACATAAATTATGAAAAACTATTGTGCGGAGAAACGTGATGGTGGACGAATATTCAACGATTTTTCATGTACATTATGTTATTTTATGGTGTAAGTTGTACCGTTAATTATACTGTATATAATAGTAATAATTTTTGTTATCTTCGTAAATTCGTAATTCTTCACAAAATAAAAAAAGTCGAAATTCCGATTTCATTTTATAAAAGTCTGATTTTTATCAGCACTCAAAAATGATGATCCGTATTGAAGTCTTTTAATCGACAAAAAACTTGTGAGTCTGGACGATAAAATATTTGTACAATTTTTATTAAATCGATGAGTGCCAAATATTTGAAAAAAGTTTTGCTACCAAAATTATCAAATTTTTTATTGCTATTGAATACAATTTGTGAAGAATAAGTCATACAATTTTATAAAGTAAACTTTTTAAGTTGTCATAAGCTATTACCTTTGAGTAAATACTCATCGAGTACCAATAACTTCGGTACAGCTTTAAAGATACGTAAAGCTCATGTATGTCAAAATGTCTTAATTATAGTTACATAAAATGTATTATAACAATTTCGAGCGTGGAAAGTAATTACGTCGGCTGTAATTACTCGTGATTTGTGTAAAGAACTCTTGAGTGGTGTGAAAGATGAATGAAAAATTCAGGGTATGAATAGCAATCTTCTTAATTTTTAACCCGATTTTAAAAAACTTTTAATGTAAAGAGTAATTAGAAAAAAATATTAACCATATACTTTATGTTTTTCAAATTTTTATGAATGCACACTTGTCGTAGACAATAAACTAGTATCAAACATTCATTGATACAGCACGAGGTTTTCTAAAATTTTCTAAAAATACTCTTTATTAATAAAATTTGTTTTAAATTTCTCAAGTATTTCTATGAAAATTCTTTTGTATATTGTAAATACCACCATGTATCAAGTATGAGTGATTCTTATGTTTGATAGATAATTTAAGAATCTTAATATTATCTACGTTTCCACAAATGTACCTTTAAGATGATCGTAGTGAAAATTTTATAAAGAAACATTTTTTATGATATAACAAAACGCACGTAACGTCAATATTTTTAACTCTGCAACCGTTTCCGATGATGATTATCGTTAAAACAACAGGTTGTTGATTTTTTCCACTTTATCGACACCTTATTAAAAAAAAACGCGCGTGTCGTTAATGAGACAGAATACTGTAAATTTTGTATTAAACAAATTGCGTGATCGATGACATATATATATGCATGCTAAAGATAATATAATCATAATAATCGATAATCGTTTAATATAGCACTCTGAAAGAAAAGTATTTGGTAGAAACATATATTAGTACTCTAAAAATTATAGAGACCACTTTTACGTAAGAGAATAATATGGGGAATATTGAAGATTATTCATTAGTCGTAGTCACTTTTTAAATAATTGTTATTTGAATAAAATCATCATAAATATAACATTGTATCTACTGATCTATTTGTGGACTCATCTCGCGGATTAACCCCATCTTAGATAAGTAAATAAAGTAACAAAAAAAGAACTGATATTTTTCAATACCGTAATCAATATTTTTTTTATTTAGAAATAATTTACGTTATGACAAATGAACAGATAAGAAAGATCAAGATGTTTTTATTGTTTTATCCGAAAACAACAATGTATAACACTTAGCGTCACAAGTACGAGGTGACTTAATCAAAGTAATCTCCAATCATTACTTTCCTTCGATGATTACATTTCTTCAAAGACATAATTCAATTGCACCCTCATCGATGCAGGCACACTTAGTTCATGCGCCACGCGCTACTTTCTCTCAAAATTGCACGTGATAATTTGAAAAATGCATAATATTTAATGATCGTGATTTTTATTAACCAGGTGCATACATTCGTGATAGACAGATCATATATAAGTATATTAATCATGATTGTAACGGCCCGATGACATTGAATTTCGGGAAATTTTTGTCATAAGTTCGAGAAAAAAATCTTTCAATAACAAACAAAAAAATAAACATTCAGTCACACCTACAAAAATTTAAATCAACAATTTCATCAATATTTTGACAAGACTGAATCATTTGGGTTTTATGGCAAAAAATGTGTAAAGCGGAAATGGATGAGTGCCATAAGGAGTATATTATTTAACTTAAATTTTCACGTGTCATTCGTTATTGTATAATAGCAAACTATGACCATTGCTTGTGGTATTCAGAGCCTTAATTTGATGGACAAGCGAAGAAAAATTTCCCCTCGATTGCATAATTGGATGACAGTGCAAACTCAAAATTTGAACTAAAAAAACTAAATGATATAATTATTACAGGAAAAAGTAATTTAGTGAAATGATATTAGATCACTACTGATTCAATCAAAAATGTTCCAAATTTTCATAATTTAAATTAAGTTGACCACGAAGTATAGAAAAATTAAACGTACTAATTATTAATTTATTTGATAATACTTTGATAAAAAAAGTATTAGATAAAAATAAAAAAACCATAACAATGTAAGGTGGCTACTCTACTGTTATTAATATTCATCGGACTTTGAAAATAATCAGTATTTTCTTTAAAAATACGCTCAAGCTCAACAATCGCGATGGAAAATAACAAAAATTTTCCATAAACGCATCGATCTTAATCTTCTGACATGGTGTATACGCCTCTAAAGCAGTAAACAAAAAGGCACACAGTCGAGTTGGCACGAGCGTAAATTCGTTCAACTTCGTGTATAGCGGCAAAAACGGCATCAAGACGAAAACGAAGAGCGCGCGAGAGAGAAGATGACGACGAAGAAGAAGCGAAGAGAAGAGTGGGTGCGACACTCGCTCTGGGGAAGGAGGAGGTCGACGAACCAGCCAATCACGATCTGGTCCCTGCACCTGAATTATAATCAGGCTCCTGAGAGAGACTATAAGAAGTCGGTGACACGAGACTACTTTGCGCTTGTAATTTTGCTTATCCATCCCGGCACAAGTTTCATTAGATTCCTCTCTGGTGTCGGCTCACCACCGAGGTGAGTAAACTTTCTCGCACTTCATACATTTTGCCTAGGTAATTACTTTCCTGTGGTTGTGGAAGAAAATTCGTAACATTTAAATTGAAAAATTATAATTACAACTAAGTCGTATTATTTGGAAAAGTTTAAATTCACCGAAAATTGAGTGCATAGTACTCGGTGTAAATTATTTCTATGACTGACATTATTTTTTTATTGAGCGGATGTATGTGGACCGAGCTATATCTACGTGAATTCATCATTTGCTTTTTATTTTAATGATTCATTCGAATCGCTTCAATTTCCGGCAAGTGTTTACATTAACCTTTTACACTACGTATAAATTTAATTTCCGTAAATTGACAAAACCGAGTAGAGTGTTGACACACGATTATGTTGCTAAAACAACTTAATTATTTTGTTATCTGCATAATATTTTTAGTGCGGAAATACTAATGTGTAAAACGATATAACTCTTATGTTCGGATCATATCTAATTCTTCCGAAAGATTGGCTTTATCTGTTTGAACGAGATACGATAATAAGTGTGCAAACATTTCGTTATTAAAGTAAAAAATTATATTAAATAATGTTGATAGGGTTTCTAAATGTAAATACAAAGTTATAAAAGTAATGCAACACGTTGTACACGCGCGTTTTTACCCAGAGCTCATTTGGATCCTTCTTTGAAAAATTTCGCATTCAGACGATGTTTCAAGTATACACGTATATAAAAGTTATCACGAAGGTTTTGCGTTTGATGCACTTTGAATTTTAATTACTTGGTGCTTTTGTATAGTTGTACGGTATAATGCACGTTCTGAAAAAGGAATGTTTTTTTTTCATTCGCGATATATATGAGCTTTTGTTTACGTTACGTCAAGCTGTATTCTTATTTTTGTTTTGTTTTTTATCGGTGACGAGTGCTAGTCAATGTGAAATCAATATAAATAAAAAATTAATGAATTTTTAAAGTCTGACATACCGAAGTATTGCATGAAAGCTTTTATCAAAGGCTATATAAGTTTTGTCCCCTCGACCTTTTTTTAATTATCAAAATCGCATCTGCGACGAGTGGTAAAAATTCACTTAAAAATATTCAAAAACAAACGCTGTTATTTATGCATAAATATATTTACGCGTAAATTATTTGCAGATGCGACGGAAATAACACACAGCCTTCGCGAGTACAGGAAAATGAATAATTTAATTCCGATTAGAGCTCGACTGTAGAATAATTATTTATAAAAGCCACGCCGTATCAAGAAATAAACTTGTTCGTTTTACAATGCATTGACCAATTTAACAATCAAAACAAAGCAACAAAACGATTTAGACAGAAAATTAAGTAGGTGAAGGTATTGCGTAGCTATCAATAATGCATCCTTTGGTGCATAGAGCCCATGTGCGCTCATAATTGTATTCGTACGCAATTTTTAGATACGAAAATTCACATTGCCACATAGCCTTGCAGTAAAGCAATTTTCGCCACCACGAGACGACCTTTTGTATTTTCTCGAATTAAGCGTCGAACGATTTGCATCGCTGTATCATTGTAGATCAAGCTAGTTGGCGTGTTTTGTGGTTGAGCCGTTTTTACAATAGGATATGGTATTATCGCGCGAATTGTCGATTATTAGGAATTGAGCAACGTCGATTACGTTATTTATATCTTTGAAAGCTTGTTGAATTACGTACGACGTCTACTGTTATATCTTCTTTTTTTTTAATTGAATTTAACCGACAGCTTCTGTTACGTTGGTGCCTCTCGATGTTTTTTTTTTATTATTTTATCTTCGAATCGTAATGAATAAGTTGATTCCATAGATCGTATTGTTTATTGGTACAATCGTTTAATTGTTAAACAGCAGCGCGATAAAGTAAATTACGATTTATTCGAAGGTAAACCTTGTCCGATTGTGCAGCCGATTACGATTTTTCAGATTTTCTTCTCACAATTCATACAAAGACAACACGGAGATGTTTGTACTTTCGAGGAGGTTCTTCAGCTCGATATGCAAATGGTCGAGATGCGAAAAAGGCGCGTGATTTAAAAGCAAATGTGTGCGTGGCACGCGCGCGAAAGCAAAAGATACAGCTCTCGTGCGTGTGTGTGCACATTCACGAGTGACAGAGTCAATAACCTGCGGGACCATTATTCGATACGCACTTGATCAACCTTGAACTTGCGGAGGAGACCCTGCGCGCCTGACGCAGCCTCTTCGCGCGTTTTATGTGCCGAGTTTCTTTTGACAAACGATTAAAATTGTTGACTTTTCTCTCTTTTGGAAATACGCCTTTTCAAATGCGAGAATGACATCGAAACACGCGTGAATCGTTGCAAAAATAATAAACTTGTTTTTCTATATTTTCATCGTTTATTCATGCATAACCACGCGAACGAGAAAAAGGACCAAGCTAGAATATCGCGGATGCAAACGACGCGGCTCGCGCATGTACCGGGAGTGAAGCTCATATAGCGGTGCCATCGAGCTGGCAAACGCGAGAAAGAGAAAGAGCGATTCTGTCACGCTTTGACGCGGGGCAGCTTTTATAACGGCCCGCGCGCCATCGTCGTCGCATCGATCACTAAAGTGGAAAACCGGTCGTCGGCTTTTATTAGCGACCGTTGCGCTCTCGCCCACTGCCTCGCTCGCTCGCGATTGATACGACAAAAAATTTAAATATAAAAGGCAGATGAGCTGCGCAGAGAGTCCGGCCGCGAGCGACATCGTACTGAATAACGTAGTATAAAACGTATTTACCAGCGTTATTTTTCAGGAGCTACACTTATGACTCCTTTTCTTTAAACTATGGTGGAACTCACATAATTAGACGTTCTGGGACCCTCTATACGAATTCGAATTATGCGGTAATTCCAATTTTTTTAGCAGCTATGTTATTCGAACGTTTTCGAAATATGGCACTCTAATACACTTAATATTTCCAATATATCCACAAAATATTCTAATCTCTATATCAGAAGAGGTGTTTTCAAGACCTGTAAACTCATTACCGAGCCCAGCACAATTATTTAACAACTGAAAAATTGTCGAGTTACAGAATCTCAATAATTGGTTCATTTTTATTCCTTAAAATTTCTAATTCTCTTGTGCTTTCTGAAAACTCGAATAACCTCCATCTAGCGGTAACGTATGTATACTGTTTTATCTTTTTGACAAGACAAGGATGGGGTTTACCGACGTCTCAAAGAAATTAATTATAACCAAAACTATTTCTAGGGCTCTAATTTACATTTATCCAAAATTTAAAAGCTTTTTGATCGCCTGACTATAAAAAAGTGTTAAATTTGAAGTTAATTATCTCATAATTGAAAAATTCTTGAAAACAATTTAATTAATGCGACTATTTTCAATATTTAAATTGGATTCGGCTGAGACTAGCCAATCACTCCATATTTTATAAGTTCGAATTATGTGATTTTCACCGAGTAACGAACTTGTGGAATGGATTTACTCAACGTTGAGATTTTTTGAAACTGTGATCTATTCTATTACAATTACAATCGGTTTATGGACTGAACGTTGAAAAATCAATCCGTGAGCTTTATTGCTATATGTGACTAGTACTCTGTATAAATCCCATGCATTTTTATGCCAAAACTTTAGGAAAATTTCTCACATCTTGTTTATAGATCTTGTTTATTACGAAGAAAAAATAATTTGTTTCTATTCACTGCCTCTTTTTACAGCAACTTTACCACAATGTATAAATCCACGGGGAAGCTCCTGCTTTCTCTCGGAGCTCTCGCAGCTCTATTCGCCATCACAGCTTCTGCTGGTGAGTACTGAGTACAACAAATTAGAGCTCATTTTTTTGTCAACTCTGAAAATTCAAAATTTTAAACTGTCACCTTTCCTACAGAACAACCCGGACGCGTGGTTTGTTACTTCAGCAACTGGGCCGTCTATCGTCCGGGCATCGGCAAGTACGGGATCGACGACGTGCCGGCCGACCTGTGCACCCACCTCATCTACTCGTTCATCGGCGTGAGCAACGTCACCTGGGAGATCCTCGTGATCGATCCGGAGGTCGATCTCGAGCAGAACGGCTTCAGGAACTTCACCCAGCTCAAGGCCAAGTATCCGCACCTCAAGACCGAGGTGGCGGTCGGCGGCTGGGCCGAGGGCGGTCGCAAGTACAGCGCTCTGGTGCACAGCAAGGAGCGCCGTCAGACCTTCATACGCAGCGTCGTTCGTGAGTTCATTGCACCCATTAACTCGCATTATTACGATATACGTGAAATTAGATCGAAATACATCGAATTATCGTCGCAATTGTTTCGCAGAATTCATGAAGAAGTACGACTTTGACGGCTTCGATCTCGATTGGGAGTATCCGGGCGCGGCCGATCGCGGCGGTTCCTTCTCCGACAAGGACGTCTTCTTCTACTTCGTCGAGGAGCTGAGGCGAGCTTTCGATCGCGAGGGCAGAGGATGGGAAATCACCATGGCCGTGCCCCTGGCCAAATTCAGGCTCCAGGAGGGCTATCACGTACCCGAGCTCTGCGAGTAAGTCACAACTTGGCGCTTTCTGATGTATCACGATTCTCAAATTTGCATTTTTATGTTCGCTTCGTGAGATCGTTCACCTCAAACTTATTATATCATAAGAACATTTACTCTGCCATGTGCGATTAACTATGAAAAGTAAGCACATTCAGCTGCGGTATACTAATTGAGTGATTTATTCAAGGAACGTCGACGCGATTCACGTGATGTCTTACGACTTGAGAGGTAACTGGGGCGGCTTCGCAGACGTGCACAGTCCACTCTACAAGAGACCCCACGACCAATGGGCCTACGAAAAACTCAACGTTGTACGTATACATAAATTTCAAAATTAAAAAAAACATTTAAAATTTTTCCACTTGGTGAGGGAAATTGATGATTGACATTCCTCTCGCAGAACGATGGTTTGCAACTGTGGGAAGACATGGGCTGCCCGGCCAACAAGCTCGTCGTCGGTGTGCCGTTCTACGGGCGCTCGTTCACGCTCAGTAACAGCAATACCAACTACAATCCCGGCACTTACATCAACAAGGAAGCAGGTGGCGGCGCGCCTGGAAAATACACCGGTGCCAAGGGTTTCCTTGCCTACTACGAGGTAACGTATCGTCTCGACCAAAGAATACTTTTAGAAAAGTAAAAGAAAATCAAAAGAAATTAATTGACATTTTTCAACAGATCTGTACCGAGGTGGACGATCCTAATGGTGGCTGGACGAAAAAGTGGGACGAGTACGGTAGAGTTCCTTACGCGTACAAAGGTAAGCGTCGGTCAAGAATAATGTTTATAAACTTGCGAGTCTATTTATACTTTTCCTATAAATTTCTGCAGCAATCGTCGCATCTTTTCCACTCTCTCGGTATGCATTTGCATACAATGACTATTACGAATTCCTGTTTAACGAATGTGCACGCAGACTCACGATTTAAGACGCGAACCGAGCAACAAAAAGAAACATTGAAATGGCATTCTTCACTCCTACTCGTTTTGAGAGAGTTGCCTCTTTAAAATGTAAATCGCATCTCGGCGCGTTCGCGTTTATATTCATGCGTACACTCCGACTGTCAACGTTTCTACGAGACAGTGACTCAAAAATGGTTTTACTACAAGTCCCAAACGAGTAAACATCCTCGGCTTCTTTAGCTTTTGTCATGTGACGAATTAAAAAGAAAAAAAAAAGTTTGTCAACAGAATATAGATAATCTTGATTTTGGAAAAAGCAATATTACGAATTTCGATAACATATACTTAAAATTTTAAAAACTGATACAAAATTTCACATTTACGCGAAATACCATCAATGTTTTATTCATTGCTTTAAACGAGTTTTGATATTTGAAGAACAGTAATGAAGCTGTTTTAGTGTCAGTAGAATAAAAAACACAAAACGATGCATTATTACATTAAAAAAAAATTTAAAACTTTTCTGTTGATACAGTTTTTTTAATTTTTTATTCGTGCTTTTTTAAATCATATTTATCAAATACGTTTTATACAACTTACGATTATTGTTTGTAAAATAAAAATTTTCGTGTTTTATTTTATTATTTCGAATATGATTTTCGTACAAATTGAACCGCAAATGTCTCGCTTTTAAATTTGTAAAAGCTCTTGTACAAAAATGATAAATTTTATTTGTTAAAGGTACTCAATGGGTCGGTTACGAAGACCCGGAGAGTTTGAAAATCAAAATGGACTGGATCAAGTCGAAAGGCTACTTGGGCGCAATGACCTGGGCCATCGACATGGACGACTTCCACGGACTCTGCGGTCGCAAAAACGATCTGTCACTCATCTTGGCCGAGGGCATGAGCAATTACATAGTTCCTACCCCAAGTTACAACACCACTCCTAGGGTAAGCGGTCAAAACTTTATTTTTTTTAAAGGATCTCCTTTCCGATATTCTACAGGACTTACGATAGAACGTGTAAAATCGATGTATCGAATTTTCATTAATATTAAAATTTGTGTTTTAGCCCGAATGGTCTCGACCGAAAAGCACAACACCAAATCCAAATGAAGCTGGCCTCGGCACAACTGCGACGAGAGACACCGAGAGCACGACCCGACCAACCAGGCCAAGCTGGAGCAGCTCGACGAGCAGACCCTCGACGATAACGACGACGAGGAGGCCATCTCGGCCCACCAGCACCACCACCCAAGGCTCTACCGAATCCGAATTCGATGAGCTCGAGAGCGAGAACGAGATCAAATGCTCCGATAAGGACTTTGTCTCTGCCAAACGATGCGATTCCGTAAGTATCGATTACTGATGAGCGTTGAAACGTGATCGCTGACACGCTAGACAACGACGCAAAGAGACACTAGTAGATAAACCTTAATTTTACCACTTCGATCATGTTTCACTTGTTCCATGTCTATAATGAAGCGTAATTATGCTCTGTGGGTGCTAGTTTTTTCGAAAAAAAGAAACAAAACGGGACAAATCGACTAATTAAGTAGATCGAAAGTATCAACGTTAAAAATCAACAAATTTATTAAAATCATATAGCCCATTGTTATTGAGTACATCAAACAATACACAATAAACCAGCCTGAACGTTAGATGACCCAGTACGAATTATACCTTATAACAAACCGCTTCTTTCCAGAAACATTAGTTCGCCCGTACACGAGGCACAACGTACTCGTTTCATACAAATACCAATAATATATATATTTATCGTATCGATTCGCGCAGATGTATCTATGATATGACGAAAGGTGTGCACACACACGAGTCATTTTTACATCGAACGGCAAATCCCGCTTGTGTAATTGCACAGGACTGTGAGCGATTCTTACAATCGCGTGCGATACAACTGCGTGGTAAAATAAATTTGCAGTACGCGTGTTCGAGTCAACATTTATCGTCGTTTTAGAGAGAGAGAAAAGAACGCGTAAAATTGGAAATGCGTTTCCTTTTTTTACGCAGATATATAATTATAGTATAGCGTAATTTATTCGAGTTTTATTAATACAACTTCATTGAACATCGACTCTCTTGCTTTACGTAAAAAAAAAAAGAATTAGTCATCGACGATTTTCTTTCGACAATTTTTTATTCAAATTATTGAAATTAGACTTGGCGAGGCTTGTTGCGCGTGCATACACACTCGACCGAAAAAATAGTTAGGCAATTAGCATACCAGAAGTTAGACTAGTGCCAATTTCCAAGCGCTTACGATCACTCATTACGGCTCCTGATTTTCTCTCATAAGGAAAAAAGGTATTCGATCTTTGATTAGCGCGTCGTGCCAATTATGTAATTCGATCTATATCTTACTTCCTAATGACTTACTTATACACAATTACATAAGTATCGTTTACAAAATACTCTTGTATCATTTGTATCTTCCATAGTATACATTGGCACGAGTGAAAGCTCGTCACAACAATAAATATGATACAGATCAATTAAGAACGGTAATAAAAATTAACTCATCGTGTATAACTCGTTGTTTTTTGTTTGCAGTACTACAGATGCGTCTATGGAAAACCATTGCTGTTCCAGTGCCGCGACGGTCTCCACTACAATCCCGAGACGAACATTTGCGATTGGCCGGAGAGTATCAACCGCACAGATTGCGAGTAAAGTCGGCGAGACGATGAGTCGTGATAACATCGTGAAAACGACGAAGAGGACGAAAAAAAAAACACCAACCACCACCGTATCATTGTAACAACGATTAATGTTTTTTCCCTCTCTCGAAACAATAATGATAACGAAAAGCTTAGGTGTATGGATATTAATTATATCGACGATATTCTTGATGTAATTACGGTTGTAAGTGTCGGTAAGGATAGCAAAAAACCCAACTGCATCTCGCCTGAAAGAAAATACGCAGTCGATAGCTCCAAGTAATGCTGCATATTTTCTTCAGCGAGCTTAGCTTGTAATAGCCTGCCGATATTTCATTACAACTCGCTCGTGATATATACGCATATAAAAAATAATTATAATCCATGCTAATATAGACGTATCGATTAACTTCTAAAACTTAATTTATTTTTCACAGCATTGTAAGATTAAATGTAGGTCCGTAGCTGTAATGAGATTCGATTCAATGTGTAAAATGAATGCGATATTTGTAATAATAAAAAGAAATGATAATTAAAATCGAAAAACAAAACTATAACAAGGTTATCAACATTATTAGTGCCTTTTTTATCTAGTCCACTATAATGTAGTTCATCTTGATCAATGTCGTATGTACATGTGTTACATGCATTTGGAATCGAGTGGTACAATAGTGCACTGCTCAACCGATAAAGCCAATTATTTCGCAGCTCTTTTCTCTATAGCGTGACTCGAACAATACAAAAAAAGCAAGAACTAAAATACTGCGTTTTTTGCGTTATATTGTTATTGCCACGCAGCGTCTGCTAATTCTGCTGCTGCTGCCATGCATTGATGAACATTACGTAAAATGCGCATACAGCTGCGACGTCGTATATTTTTGCCGATCGTCGAATGCATCGAAACGGAAAAATGTATTATATAGTGTACGGCTCTTCTGCAGAATCTAACGTTAATATGTTTATGAATTAACGACTTGTCGCATAGCGGTGATTTGTTCATCGATTACCCGCCACTGTTTCTTTTTTCCTTTTTTTCCTTTTTGTTCTGCGTGGCTTTCCACTAAATATACACGTGTGTACACTAGGGTGTACCCCTTTTTTAAATATTTCGAATAAAAAGAATAAAATAAAATATATCTCAGGAGCCGAGTGAAAAACTGTAAGATGGTATATTTTTGCAGGTCTGTGCACAACATGGGTGCTGAAATCAAAAATTTTTAGCTCGGAGTAGCACGAGGCAAATAAATACTAATTTGGAAATGAAAAGCTTTGCGATTTTTTTTCTCCCATAGGAAAGGTTTAACGAAAAATTTTCTCTGAACAAAAAGTGCTTAATTTTGATCAAAGAATATGTGTGAATTTTTTCAGATTTTTTCGGCCCATTTTTGGATTTTTGTAAATATTGGGAGAAAAAAAATCGCAAAGCTTTTCATTTCCAAATTAGTATTTATTTGCCTCGTGCTACTCCGAGCTAAAAATTTTTGATTTCAGCACCCATGTTGTGCACAGACCTGCAAAAATATACCATCTTACAGTTTTTCACTCGGCTCCTGAGATATATTTTATTTTATTCTTTTTATTCGAAATATTTAAAAAAGGGGTACACCCTAGTGTACACGTGCGATGGTTCAAAAACATTACACATGCGCGTCCATTCGTTGACTCTTAGCGCATGTAATAATTTTCTCGAAAAATCATTAGGTTTCCGCGTGCGATGGTATATTCCACAAGATTGGTAAATAAACTCGTGTGCTTTTAAGCACAGATTAGAAAACTATACAGTTGCACTAAAAACGGAGCAAAAAACCAATTACCCAGAGGTTTTATTTTATATTATAGTTGCGAACGATAAGATTTCAACAAAACGAGCCTCGATAAGCCATATAGAGTACGAGCGAATTCGCTCGTCGCGGTGCTTCTGACGCGTGCCGAAACTACGAGCGTGACATTAATAATAATTATCGGTCGTTTATACATGGACTCGATCATTATATTCGTTAAGCAATGAGAAAAAAATGTCAAAAATGCCGTGTCCACTGCCGAATCGCACTGTATAGTGCCATGCGTCCTGCTGCGCGCGTTACACATTTTTTTCTCTTACCCGCGCGCGAATCTCTATTTTTAATTCGTCGATATTCACGGCCGCGCGTACGTACACACACGTGGTGTATTTCATATACTTGCGGGGATCGCGCTACCTTGCCCGTATTCCAAATGAATTATATGCGCAAGGTAAAGCATTAATGCGTGACAGGGAAAAAATAAACCAAGTTTTCGACACAAGCTGTACGTATTATAGACAAGCGCGAATATACTCCTTTTTTTTGTTGTCCCATGATCGATCATCGAAATATTGAGTCGTCGGAAGAAAGTACGCGCGCGGCGATTACGGCATATGTTGGCGATTCGCGAAAGGATATTTCGGCGCTCTCCGCGTAATCGCGAACATATACACATTTACTATATAGCTGCTATATACCGTTACCGTGAGCTTTTTACACACGTATAAATACAGACACAGACGCGCGTATCGGTGCTTCGCTGCGGCGTTCCAGAAATTCATTTCATACCCATCGTGACCTGGGTTTCGCATCGTGTAATATACGCGTGCCTCGCGTGTACTTGAAAATTCTTTATCTAATCAATGTGTCGCGTAAGCCGCCTCTGCTACCATGCCGAAAACGTCGAGTTAAAATATAATAAAATAGGCGGAATATGTATCGATTGAATCGTATATAGTAGTATAGTACACAGTGCAAACGAAACTGCGAAGGCTGCACAGAACAGTGGCATGTGTGTGCTCTGTCGGTGTCTATAATGTATGTACGTGTCTGCGTGTCTGTGCGCGGCACCCCTGGCCTAGATCAATGCCCCGCGCGCATACGCTAAGTTCACGGCAGAGCGAGTAATACATTATATATACGCTGTATAACGGAGCTCGCCAACCCCAGCGAGCTTACGCGCGGCAAGGGGCAGAGCCGAGCCGACGACGAGTCATAGGCCTCCCCTTGAAAAGGTCCACCGCCCGAAACATCAATAAGATGTGCTTGACGACGACGACGCCATGTACACAATGTGTATATGGTAGTATAATATATATAGCATGTGTGTTACCGGTACGTCAAGCTCGAGACCACCACAGCGGCGGCGAATCGATGAAAAATCGCGTGTGTGTATTAGCAACGGCGGCGGCGCGGCTCGACGAGCTCGGAAAGATACCCGCAGGCGATGGCCGAGCTACTACGAGGCTTACGTTGCACAGCTGCGAGCTTGTGTATTTGACAAAAATCGATCGCTGACTTTATTTGGTCGCGGCCCGAGTCTCGATATTATTACGCATATAGGAGTATGGGATATGGTATAGCCAAGCCATACATCCGAGCGGAAACTTGACTGCAGACGCACGCGACGACGACGCGCTGCGAATTGGTAATTTTTCCTCGAACGAGAGACAAAAGAGGAAGAGACCATCACCCCCGCAGGCCTCAAAGTCCTTGTCTGTACGTACTGTATGCGCATTACGCGCGGGGACACATTAATAGCCGACGACCCCATGATACGACGCGCAAAATACGGCAGCTTCGGTACTTATGGGATAGGCATAGGACGTTGTGCGTCGCTGGCAAGTGCGTCGAGCCGCGCAGCTCCCCACGTGGGACAGCTTTTTCTTTCTTTCTTTTTTTTTATATAAATTGAAATGTACACTCGAGCGTCTCCTACTCCGCGCGCCGCGCCGCCTCCATACCGCGAGCGCAGACACAGAAATATACACACAGAAGCAAACACACACAATTCGTTATTCCGTCTCCGTGAGTCGTCCCGAGCGCACAACTATATCATATACCTCACTCGATGATGGTTCATTAAATTTTCAGAGAGTGCCGCGAGTGCGTATCGTACAGTCGTGATTGTCATACATACCAGTGCCAGCGTTTTGTATTTATAATACCTATGATATATTATATCGTGCTGTGCGCGATACGTCGCTCAAAACTTCACGCACAAGACTGCTATATATTTAAATAGTAAATAGATAATGGTGTACTAGTGGATGGATGCCGCGTGCTTGCGTGCCTCTAATGAACAATTAGACATTCCTTTGTCGAGGTTCGCGCGACGACTCGACGCACTTGTAGAGCTCCCGAGGATTAATTCGATCGCTCTATTATAACGCGAGCTCACCGGCGGTTGCGATTCATGAAAGAGAAACAAAAGCTGCACTGATTTTCCTGTATCTACACCAGTCAAGTGTCAAGGTGAGTTTTCGAAATTTATTTACTTTTTTTTCCTTAAACGTTTCGTATAAATTAATGTTGATCGCTGATAGAATATCGATAAAAATTCGACGAGCGAGCGAGCTTTGAGTTACATCTTTTTTTCGTCGAGCTTTATCGACGACTTCAAGAGAACCGAAAATTCGAACGAGAATATCGTGAGAACATCTCGTAGCTTGGGATAAATTTCCTTTTTGCCCGGTGAGAATTTTCGGTACTCCTAATATATGTTACATAGAGCAGAGGCGATCGGTCGTGAAAGTTAAAACGCTCTTTTTGTATACATCCGATGCTCTTGACTCGTTTTATCGCGTCGAGTCGGAAGCGTCTGCTATAGCAGCATGGCTCTCTGTACATCAATTCACACTCTTGTAATAGAATATGATCGTAATTATCGTAATCGAGTATCGTAATTAAGCTGTATACTACGAATTAATCGCTGTGTGATGCTTTCCTCGAAATTTGGGAGCACTGGTCAAGTATATTGAATACGAGACAAAAAAAATCACGTCCACTGCATCGAGAATTTCTGTTTTCCGTACGATAGTCGGCTCTATCTCTTGTAGTCTGCTGTGCTATTTATCAAAATTGCCAGACGAACAGTAGCACAAGCTCGCACGCGTCCGTGTATTCAAATGATATGTTACAATCGGCATCGCTATAAAATCTAACTGTTGTTAACAGTTACGCTCGCGTTGGAACGATAATTGCGAGCACCTGACGCGCTGCGAGCTATTTATTTTTGTCATGATGCGTGCGTGCGAGACACACATTTTAATTTCGAAAGAGTAGCTTTTTTTGCCCGCGCGTGTTGTGTATGATTTTCACATTTTTCTTTCGGCAATCGGCAAAGATGAATGGATGATTTTCGAAATTTCGGGTGTCCCAACGAACGAAATTGCCGCAGCTGATCTGCCGTCAGTCGGGTGTCTCAAGAGACCCGATAACAATTACCCATTAGTTCAAATTTAAAGATCATAATCGTTGGACGACTAACAATAGATAGTAAAAAAGAACAACGCATAAAAAGTATCGCTTCCAGTTTCATAGTATATTTTACTATATAAGTTCCCGTGAACGGAGGCCAAAAGCATTTTTACGATTTGTTTTTCCTCCAATCCGTCTGTTCTTGAGAAATTCTTCCTGAATCACTGCACACAGCGCTTGGAATATTCATTCTGATCGCGAGCCTTGTCGACGAGAGATACACTCATAACCAAACGTATAAATGCGTTAGTTTGCACTTTTTCACGAGCACTTTTCACACTGCGTATGTATAGTTGATTAGACGTTTCCGATGAGTTTGAATTATATATTTATCGTCTCGCGAGATGCGCTCATCTTTCTCTCTCTCTTTCTGTCTAACGAGCTCATCGTGAAACGCGACGATGATACATAAAGCTCGAAGTTTTATATTTAAAGCGCCGCCGCCGCCACCGCCGAGTTATCGGAGTTTTCTCGCGCGCGCGTAAAATGCACATACGCGCGAACATCTATTTTTAAACAATATGTCAAATAATGCGCTCTTCGATGATTTAGCAACGTATCGCGCGATACATGCTCGGCTTCTATACTTTTTATGCGCTAAGCATACTTCGTTATTATTATACTCATATGTATCGACGAATCGCGTTTCGCAAAAAACAAATGGTTACTCAGCTCGTGTATATAATATCGCGCGCGCGTTCGGAAACGGGCCTCTGAATCATTGCAACACGTTGCTGCAGCTCGGATCTATTGTGATTTTTCATCGGCTTTTTCTTATATAGATAGAGCAGGCGCGAGCTACCGCGAGCCCCCCTGCGCGCTTCGCGCGCCAACCCCCCTCGTTTACAATTTCATATGAGTATATGTTTAATAATATAAAATTTTATATAATACTTCCATTGTACAGACGTTCTCATCCAGTTGAAAGATTAGCATTACACTTAGAAAATAAATAAAATTTAATTTTCCCTGAAAATGAAGAAGTATTGATGTCGGTTTACCAGCGTTACGTAAATGTGTTATTACGTAATCGAAAATTAATTTTTGATCTAAATTCATTTTTTTGTATCTAAGAAGATATTCATTTTTATAAAATTCCAGTTGACTATTTAAATCTTCTTCATCAACAAGAGTTTATAAAAAATCCAGATTCGGTGCTGGTAAACCGACATCAATACAGCTTAAATTTTCAAATTTTAAAATATCATTTATTTCTTTCAAAGCTCTGTTTTCATGATTATCTTTAAAACCTTCCAAAAAATATTTTTTATAAGTTTGCCAAACGTCTCGAATCATTGGTATATTGTTAATAATTATAAACCAAGGGAAAAATTTTCTAAGTTGTTTCGGCATCATTATTAAACAAGCTTCGTCAATATTTTTTTTATTTCTAGATCGCTATCTACTAATCCCATTGCAATCGCCGTTTCTCTAAATGTATCGTATTTAATACCCTTATAAGTTCTTAAATCGTCGAATGATTTGCAGCCTTTAGCTTTGTGTAAAATTAATTTTAAATAAAACCGTTCAACATCTTTTGGCACAACACTAACTATTCTTCCCAATGTATTTGAAAATTGTGATCTCCGTTCCCAAATTCAAAATTTTTTATTGTACTTATAGTCTTGTAAATTATTTACGTACGTGAATTTTCTAGCATGAACATCATTTTTATTTAAATCAAACCACGCTGTTAAAGTAGTACCAGGCTTTTTGGCTGCTTCTACTTCTTCATTTTCAGGGAAAATTAAATTTTGTTTAATTTCTAAGTGTAATGCTAATCTTTCAACTGGATGAGAACGTCTGTACAATGGAAGAAACCAAAATAACCAAATTAACCATAATAATTTTTGGTTCTTGTACAAAAAATCAAAGTAACCATAATTATCACATTTATGACCCTATTATTTAAATTATTTTTGTACCAAATGAACGAAAGGTCACGTGACGTAATTATGTGATCGTCGCGTGATCGAAAGTTCAAAGTCACGTAATGTTAACGTATAGAAAGGTCAGTCACTTGATGATCGCGTTATAGAAAGGTCAGAGTCACGTGATGATCATGTGATGATCGAAAGGGGTCAAGGATCAAAGTCACCATAATAATCACCACCTGATCAAAAGGTCAAGGTGTCGTGATAATCACGTGATCAAAAAGTCAAATTCAAATATTTCGATCGAAAGGTCAAAGGTTCAAATGGTCAACATGGCAAAAGGTTACATGACCTCATTACGTGATCATCATGTGCCTCTGATCTTTCGATCACGTGGTGATCACGTTATGACGCATCGCATGATGAACGAATTATAACGCTCAAGGTTACGTTATCATCAAGCGGTTCGTTACTTAACGTAACGTTACTTAAGCACGTAATCGTCACGTGAACGAAAGGTTAAAATCACGTAATCAAAAAACCAAAATAACCATAATTATCACATTTATGACCCTATTATTTAAATTATTCTTGTACCAAAACGCGCAAGGTTACACTATAATAAAATGTTTAAAATGGCGAAAGGTAAAGAGGTCACGTGACGTAATCACGTGATCGTCACGTGATCGAAAGGTCAAAGTGACATAATCAAAAGGTCTGTCACTTGATGACATCGTTATAGAAAGGTCACATGACCTTTTGATCACGTGATCATCAAGTGATGACGTCATATGATCATTCGACCGAATCACGTGATCATCACGTGATGACGTCATGTGACTTTTCGACCGAATCACGTGATCATCGCGTAATGACGTCATATGACCATTCCACCGAATGGCGGCGATAATGACGTCATATGACCATTTCACCGAATGGCGGCGATATTATCTTATAATATAGAGAGATATTGTTCTTATATATTTCTTTACTCGGCAAAATCGTAAAATTCATATAATAACTCCTCGGCTCGGTGTGGTGGCGGTGGCGGTGCTGCGGCGCAACGAGAGAGCCTATCATTATACACCGAGGCAGACTCACCGATATACATGCCTCGCGTATCGTATACATATAGCTGAAGTATATACGTAGGTGTTGCAAGCGATAAATTATATTGTGCTTTATCGGTGCTATGGAGTCGCTGCTGTTGATGCTGCTCGAAGCGAGGACAAAGTATAGCGAGCTCAGCTGCTAAGCTTCAAAGACAAAAGTCGACGATTCTTAATTCTGATAATAAAATTATCGGATATGCCTTCATTGATCGGTAATTAAAGCATTTCGTTATACATAGTATTACATTACATCGGAATAAGTGACATTCCAGAACTTATTATAGTAGGCGATTGCCCGCGGATATGCATACTTGATCTTGCAAGTTTTGGGAGATTAAAAAAGAAAGACATGAACTCCTGTACGAACAACAAATTCGATCGCCTGCGGACCACGGAATTCGTATGGCGTGGTCGTTTATTTATATCTATAAAAAAAAGTAAGAGAAAATTATCTCTAAACGAATGCCCCCGTCGAAAGAATCCGGAAAGACTAGTTTATGCGTTGTATGGTTGCGAAAAGAGCGAAATATTTTCGCCGTAAGATTTATTAAATAGACTGCGCCGCTTAACGTACCTTGATTTGGCACATTTTTTTTCGCGCATTGTGTATTTCACACACACGGGCACAAAAAATAAGATATGATAAGCATTCGGGACGGTAGCAACAGCAGCAGCAGCAGCAGCAGCAGCACACGTATCGAAGCTTAAACGTAGCGAGAGATAATCGGGGCCGCCGAATTGCTCTCGTTCCGTTCGGCTGATTTTTCTTTCGGGGAAAAACTAAGTGTTTGTGTTTGTGCGCATTTGTGTATTGCAACGACTTTCCCCGATTCGTGCATATAATAAAGATAATTGAGGCCAAAATAAATTGGCTTCGCGTATAAAAAAAAAGGCACCAGAGTTACGCGGACCTCTTAAAAACAAAAACGTGTATGTATGGGTACTCTCGAAAAAAGCGCGCGACGATCTATAAAGAGAGAGAGAGAAAGAGAGAAAAGTTTCACTCGAGCGCGCGGCGGGCTCTCGTTAAACGTCAAACGTGCGTTTCCGCGATCCATCATCCGAGTGCGAGAGAAAGAGAGAGACAAAAAGGTACAAGCACTGTACAACAAAGAGAGGAGCTGTAACAGAGTAGTATACTGCTGCGCATTAATGCCGTTAACTCGCGCGTTAGCTTTTCCTTTCTTTTCTATGTAGAAATGCAGTAGACTGCAGGTATATATAGGTGTACGAGTGGTAAACAAGTGGCTCTCGAGGAGCACGTGAGCTTGTGATACGAAAGAGTGAGAGAGAGAGAGAGAGAGAGAGATGTGCAGCAGTAGCAGATTTACTGCACTCGCGGTATGTAGGTATTAAAGCAGGTACTCGGGAGTCGGGATCAAGGTCGTCCTCGCCGTCGTCGAATCGCTTGACACAAAAAAATCCTAGCTGCAGTCGACTCTTCTATATATACATCAGCCGTTACGTAATTGTCAGGTGCGACAACGTTTCACTCGCGGCCGCGAGACGTTTCGTAATTATTCGCCGTAGCAAGTAGCTGTCTCTGTATATGTAATACAGAAGAAGAGGAGCACTCGTCGATTCTTATTTTTTTTTTATACGAGGCGCGTCTTGAACAAATTCGATGCTGTACGTGACACACCGACAGCTTTTTGTCGCTAGCCACGCCAGTTGTGCTGTCATTAATTTATCGAGCACACCTTCGCGTATAGTAGATATATAACTTGTATGCACATGCCTCGTGTGTGTCGTGTGTGTACGACGAAAAGCTGTACTGCAAAATGCAAATGTTGTGTGTGTACAGCTGCGCGACGCATGCGCAGCTCCGAGCTGACTCCGACTACAGTCCGATCCCGATGCAGGCAGTGAGCCAGTGTGCGAGTGAGTAGCGAGTACTCGGCTCAGGCGCATTAGTTGCTGCTGCAGAGCTACTTGCAGAATATACGTCACACACACATACACACGGGCTGCATCGCTGCAGTAAGAGTGTGCATACTGCATTGGTATAGATATATATGCGCACGACTATAGTATATAGGCGAGAGAGTCGAGTCTACCCCGCCACTCGGCTGCATCTCTCGCGCGCGCAGATCACCCATCCACAGGGGAGCGTGTGTAGTATAGTAATAGCGTCGTAGCGAGCAGCATAGCAGCAGCCAGCAGCGGTGCACGCCAGGCCGATATTACTACTCCTATATGGTGTACATCGTAGACTCCTACTACGAGAGAGAGAGCGAGCTCGAGTGTCTGTGTGCTCGTGAGTTTGTGCGTGCGTGTGTGCGAGTAAGCAGTAGTAGCGGCCTGCGGCGAATCCGCGCGCTCGCGTACTCGACGAGAGAGAGACGCTCGTACTCACACACAGACAGATATACTATATACGGGGATTGCAGAGATAGAGCGAGAGCGAGAGAGAGAGAGCAGCGAGCAGCGCGAGTACTACAGCCCAGCAGCACGAGCTCAGTATAAAGGCGAGGCTCGGCTGTGCTGCTGCTGCTGCCCAGCCAGATACAGATACAGCAGCTCTCTCTTTTCTTTCATGATCCGTCAGTCACTTAGTTCAGAATCAAAACGAAAGTATATACAGCATTTCTGCTACCGCTGTACTACATGAGCTGTCAGTGAGCAGTGTGCAGCTATACGTGCACGGACAATTCGTATAGGTATATAATCAGTGAGTAGTGCTGCGGATAGTCTTAGTTCTTTCCTCTCCGAGTGATCTTACATATATAGACGAACGATAATATACAAAACATAGTGGCTGCACTCCGTCATCGTGAAAATATTCGCTGCACGCGGAGTATGGCGTCGTCGACCGGCGGCGACAGCGGCATCGTATTCTTCTCCTCCTCGTCGTCGTCGTCGTCGTCGTTATTGTTGTACCACGGTAGCAGCGCAGCGGTGCAGCAGCAGCACGAGACGATCATCGGATCGACAGTAGCAGTAGCTGCAGCAACAGCATCGGCGGCGATGTCGCCGTCGTCGTCGTCGTGTTACAATCCGCGCTATCATCGGCCATCGTCGTCACTGCTTTGCATCAAAGATTTTATGTAGGAGGTGCGTACGCGACTCACGCCATAAAACGTATACTACGACCACACGCACACACGCACACACACATACTCTCTCTTTTACATATTATTATGCGCGTTGTTGTTTTTTTTTACTCTCTCATCGCGTCGCAATACGCCAATCGCTTCGAGAGCGAGAGTACATTATATGGGTGTGTGTATACGATCTTTCTTTTTTTTCTCTACTTTTCCATCGTTGTTATTATTATTTTCCTTCCTCGACCACGAGTGTTTTATTACACGCGCGCGCGCCAACCTCGCTTTCGGAGCGCGAACTGCTCTGTATACGCATGCATAATATTATTATAATAAAAACATGTACCTAGCGCACACATTGACAATGGGACGTCTCTCGCTGCCGCTGCCTCGCGTGTCTTTTTTAACGAGATTATAAAGAGCTGCTTTACACGCTCTGTCTGTGGCTACGTATATATACAATGCTCTAGTGGCCGAGAAAGTTGTGCCGTGTTTTTCTATCTCTCGAGTCGCAGCAGCGATATACTCCGCGGGGCCTTGCGCGCTTCTAATAAGGATTATGAAGCTTTTATGTGTGCTAAACGCGCCAAACTTATATATATATCACGCGCGCAGCACACACACATTAAGATTGCCGTGTGGGCACAGCAGGGAAAGCGCCTCGTAATAAAATACAACAACCCGTATCTCTTGTCTTCTTCGTTTGCTCCGTTTGTTGTTTTTTTCTTCGCGCGCCTCCCAAATAGGTAGAGCGGATACAATACACTAAAGTGCCACACAGAGTTTTTACGTCTCTATATTTACGAAAGAGCCAAGAGAGAGCACGAGTGCGTGACATTTGTCTGCTGCTGCTGCTGCTATTACAATTTACACACAACACATACATGGTTATAAGGTACGCGTGCTATACACGGACATTCAACGCAGATCTCAGCTCGGTGATAAACTGCTCCGCCTCTCCCCCTTTTGCTACGGCTCGCAGCAGCAGCACGCATAGCTCGGGCTCTCTTTTCTCTCAAGGAAGACTAGTTTATTTTTACCCTCGTCGCTCTTTTTCCGAGCGCGCGGCAATGTTACACATTATAATATTATATGCGCAACTACATATTTCCCCGCTCTCTTTTTCTCAGACGCATCGCGAATCATCGCACCCATACTCGTTTATAAAGTAATAGCAGTGCACGAATGTTGTTGTTATTGTCGTTTTGTATGCACTCGCGCGAGAGTCGTGTGTATTATAATACGCGAGTACGTGTGTACTATGCGGAGTAAACGATGGAATGCTCGTACACAGCGGAGAGAGAAAGAGAGAACTCGCGAGGAAATGGGTGTGTTGCAGCGCAGCGAACGAGCGAGAAAGAGAGAGAGCGAGAGCTGCAATGCCAATGCACCGATATACATGCAGGTGTGCCCTTATGGTCTCTCTTTCTCTTTTCCTCTCGCACACTACCCGAGTGCAGCGCTATGTGCAACGTGTGCGACTATATATAATATATATACACGATGCAGATAGTAACTAGTAGCATCGGCTCGAGGAGAGGCTCGAGAATCATGCGGATCATCGTGCTCTATCGTCGTGTATAGTGTGTAATGTGCACGGCGCGCGCGAGATCGATGCACTTTGCAACGCGCGCCCGCTCTATTACAGATGCGTTGTGTGTATGCAATATGTATGTGTATGTGCAGCCGCGGCACTGTAGTTTATGTTACACTCAAATTCCGAGCTGTCCAGCCGATAAGTGTGTATAAACACTATGTGTGAAAGGGTGACTAAAGCTTGCTCGGTATTTTTCCGTGCCTATTCTGTATTTGTCGTTCTCTCTCTCGACGCGCTTATTCGACACTTGTTAATGGCTCGCAGCAATGATTTTTCTACATCATCGAAGAGGTGTCACACGACTCCCACGTATTGCGACACAAAAAAATATTTTTCGATATCATTTCGCTCGACTAACATCGTTAAATCGTTCGAGCTTCATTACTTTGCCTCGATCTTTGCAAAAATTTTAAAATCGCGCATCGACACTATCTCCCAACAACACTTGGCGGACAAATTTTATTTTTTTTATCAAGATTTTATCGCGCCTAACGAGCGAGATACGTCGTTTTTTGATGTAATAGCCTTCGGTTGTGTAACTTTCAAACAGAGGCGCTCTTTTATACAATAGAAAATCAATGAACTGAAGTAAAAGTATATATGCAAACAGCTTTCGAGTGAAATTTAATTGAATCATAAAAGTGAAAACGTTTGACTACTATTAACTTTATTAGAACAGCCTATGTGGCTGAATTGGGATCATTTTTTTAAGTACCTGCATATTAGGAGTCATATAATTATTGCTGAATTTCAAAGAAAGTTTATTTGCACAACATTTTCTCCCTATAAATCATAACTAAACACTTTCATTAAATATGCATTTTTTTACAAATTTAAAATTAGTCTATAACAGATATTTTCTTTTACAGGAACTTTACACTGCACGAAAATATTAAAGCTTCAAAATGAGGTCGTTAATGAAAAGAGGTAGAGGATTTGAGAACCAAACCTTGGATATCAATAACAAGGGTTGTTTCCAACAATACGATGGTATAGCCTGTGGACGAATTAGTATACTAGTTGTACTAAGTCTTGTTACATTGATCTTTGTGATTATGAAAATCATTAAATATCACAAGTACAAGCATTCACCATTACAACATTATGCCCTTTTTTATTTGGCAGCTCTCCAATGCATACTCTGGTAGGTTTACTATTATATAAAAATATTTGTAATGAATAAAAATTTTAATATTTTTTGTATGTTTCAGCATTGTATGCTTCCTAATTGGCAATACATTTCCACAATTTTATTTCATTTTGAACTTCTTCAAATTGTATCAATTCATTTCGATATGCTATATTCACTGGTCCATGGCAGCAGAATCTCGACACAGAGATGATATTACTCAACATGTTATAATTCCTGGACTTTTTTTGTATACTCTATTCTGCGTTGCAGTTGCTATAATGGGAACAGTAGACTACAGTAGTAGTTCTTGGAACATATGTTTCAGTGAGTGCCTTTTCATTTACATATTGAATTTTGACTAATTCTAAAAACAAAGCAGTTTTATTCACACATTTTATTCTAGGACCATTTTGGTTGATACTCTCAGGAGCAGACTTTATTGCAGTTCAAATTTTTGCTATTGTTGCTCTTTATCTCACTAGCAAAAATACACCATTGGTAGTATCTGCTTTAATGATGCCCTCAACATCATCTCAAACTAGAGACTTATGGCTGATAACAGCTGTATATGAAATTGCTGCAGTAGTATCTGTTGTTTTTGATACTTCTATGATAATGTGTAAGTTACTTATTTAGAGCAAACCAAATTTAAACAAATTATTGAATTTTCTATAAAATTATATTTTTCAGTTGGTACTGATGAAGGAGGATGCAGCGGAGTGTTTTATCATGACCAATTATATTATAGTCCAATTATATTTGTTGCTACTTTAATCAAGTTCTTTGTGCCAACTTGGACTTTGTTAGGAGTTTTTCAACCAAGCACAGTAAAGTCAAGACCATCTGAGGTAGCTTTGACATCACATTACAACACAGTATGTAAAATATGTTTTGCAATGATTCTTCAGTTTTGTACATGATTTTTCAATAACGTTTTTCATCATTTTAGGATGGTTCGTGTCGCAACCAATTTCACAGAATGTTTATGCCTAATTTCAGTCAAACAATTCCATATCCTGATATGAGTTATCCAACGAGTTCGCCTATGTTTGGTGCCATTGGAGATTTTTCAGACAGTTCACCAGATTCATCTCCAGTGATTCCTCGTTATTGGACCGGATTAGATGACGATTCTTTTTGTGGTTATGACAAACATTTCGTAAATGTTGATCAGCACAGAGAAATGCTAAATAATCAGTATAGGATGGAGCAAAATCGACAGAATCTTGAAAGAAGTTTAGGCTATGATCAAGTAGATAGCTTAAATTCTGAAAATAATTCTTACAACTCTGATAAAAAGCCAGCTCTTACTACAATCAAAGAAGAGAATGTTAGTACGACGGACAACTTACCCGAATAAACTACTTGCATGTGGTTTCAAAATCAAACCTAGTCGTGGAAGGTACATTTACTCTACTTTGTTTCCGATATTTTCTCTCAAGAACATTAACTGTTCTGCAGAGAAAATTATTTTACACATTCCTTTTGAAATGAAAACGAATTGATTGTTCAAAAAGAAAAAAAAAACAAGCAAGAAACAATGGCGGTATTACAAACCATCCTTCCGATTACTGTGATTTTTTGATGCTCAAATTTGTCTAACCAATCAACAATCATGATTACTCACCACCACACAAGTAAGACTACACTTGCTTTGTTTTTGAAGCAATGCTCATAACTGAAACGTGATTGTATTATAAACTTTTTAATTTTTTAAAATTTCACAGTAGCTTAGATTTACGAGAATCTTGACTTTTTACACTTTGTTAGTTTTACATGAAATTCAATCGACAAACTATTATAAACTATAAAAGCATCATATAGTTAAGCAATTGACGATTTGTATAGTAATTATCTTACCACATTAGATATCTAAGTAAGCGTGATAATTATTATTCAATAAATTATTTCATACGTCATCGTAGAGAGGAGTCCTATGTATCTCAAATTCCCGCACGTTATCTGTGCTTTGACAGAGATGATAATAGTTAGGATTTTTGAAATCTCTATGAATGATGTTCAAAATACATAAACTATGGTGCCAAAGTGAAGATTAAATGAAGCATTAAAACAGTAATACTCAATAATTTTCCTAATTTAAGTAAAAATGAGATTGTATTTATGTTAATTTAATTCTGATAAGTACAAAAGTCTTGAAAATAAGACATGAATCTAAAAGTGAATTTTAAATCAGTTCTAAAATGATTCGGAAAACTTTCATTATCATTGGTTATAATGATTTGCTTATTTTGAAATATTTTATTAGGTTGTTACATAAATGGCCTAATAATACTTTTATCATTTTATTTAAGTATTTATTATTTGACTAAAGCGATAAAATACTAAAAACTTTTCGCAAATAATCAAAACTTTAGCTCACATATAATATATGTATTTTAAAAATGTATTTGTATATATTTCGATTTCTCGAATCAAAGTGTGTAAAGTTCTTATAATAAGTGTAAAATTATGATTAATGAGAGGCACGAATGTTTGAATAATTTTTTATATTAAAATAATAATGTATATAAAACGAAATAGATTTATGCATAAATATATATGACGTAAAATATGATTTTATCGGTCGTTATTGCGAAGATAAATTTAGCCGGTATTAAAAATTTGGCCGAATAAGCCGGAATCATTAGCTTGGAGATATATGTAAATCATACATATAATATATGTTATGATATTTATGGCCTCTTGCAATTGATATTATATAGGTATATTCATAAGTTATTGAGAAATAATATAATATATTATAAATATATTATACGTAAGATGGCAAACAAATATTGTCGATATCGATATCTTATAAGTTTGGCAATTATTGAAGCATAAGTCTGAATTAATGTTCTTCTAAAAAGTTAAAAAGAATAGATGCGTTGCTAATTTTACATTTATTTAATTGCATACGCTAATATATTTGTATATATAACCTGTCGATTAGCTTTAACTTGAATTCATTATCGATCAATATAATTGTTGCAATTATTTCTTTTTTTATGCTACCAAATAAACTTTTTATATGTTAAAATATTAAAAAGACATTTTCTCATTTACCTAGTAAATAAAGTCAAAAATATGACATGAATTTCAAGCTCAAATCAACTTTCGAGTAATAACATGAAAAATGAGATGATAATACACTATTTATCAAAAGTCCGCGAACGCACCTAATTATTTTGCATTTGAGAAATTGTGCGAATTTATCTTCAGTGTAACATTATAGAACAAGGTACAAAAAAAATTCTCAAGTTGCTCGTTAAGATTTCGAAAAGAAGCGTTGAATTATTTCTTCATTTCACAAAGAAACTGCACATCAAAGTGAAGACTACGTGTAACTCGTTATCGGTGAACTTCCAGCGGGTAAAAAGCAACAGTGTCTCTCTCCTTTGCCTTTTCTCGGCAACAAGATTTCTCGCTATCTTTAAAGGAATGAAGCTGCACATCTACTACAACGTAACATAGTCGAGTGAATTGATTTAACAACTATGGAAAATCAATTTAATCTAAGTTATAAATTGATGACAAAGAAAATGTGAGTAAACCATACAAAAATGCTCTTGCCTCCCCGCCATTCAACTTGAGTCATTTACTTCATCGACGGCGTAAGATGCATAAACAGCTCCTCCGAAAATAACAATCCCCGTCGACACTTTCAATGTAATTATTCAAACAAGACGAAAAAATTGTTATCACACTGACGGGACATAAAAAAAAGGAGAGAAACAAGAAGAGATACATATTCTTTGCGCGTTTTTGGATCCGTCGTGAAAATTTTTACAGTTTGGCTTTTTTTTATAATTTTAAAAAAATTTAACGTTATTTAGCTTGAAAGTATATCTAGGTATATGTGACCAAAAGCTTGAAAATGCTTTTTTTCGAATTAAAATTGCAACACCACATTAACTGGTGGCTGTTCGAGGGATCGTACATTTTTATTAGGCACATTGTATCGCAACTTTGTGTACATTGTGGAATAAAAAAAGAGAGGGAGAGAACAGACGCTCTTCTCTCAAAGGCGATGCTTTTTTCTCCTTCTTTAACACGCATACGCACACTCATTCACTCACTTTTCGATACTTCGTTTATAGGATGTAAAAAAAAGGGAGTTTTTACGCGTTGAAAATTAGTAGCCTCGAAGCGTAATCGCGACGGGTCACTCGAGATAATTATACGCGTTATAAAAATTCCACCCGCGTCTGACTAAAAATGCAGCTGTACCACTCGTGCTTGCGACGCTGACCGATGCAGTTCTCTCGTTTTTTTTTTTTTTTAGAAAATCTCCGAACTCACTCAACTTGATAGACGCTCAAACGGCCCACCCACACATTTTTCTCACGCAAAAATTTTGAAATGATCGCACAATATAATGGCTATATTGCACTTTGTCTCAGACAACAAGCGATCATTTTTTTTCTCTCTCGATAAGAGCAAATAAAATTTTTGTGCCATCCCTGTGTTTTTAATGTTAAATTTAACGATATACCCTCGCTTCTAGCAAGAAAATTACGCAACCATTTTTTCGTTAAAAATCAAGAAGATATTAAAAAATTGTAGTCGCTCATTAAATAAAAGTAGAAAATGCAATGACAGAGAATAGGAAAAATTTTTACAATGGGTTTCTTCCAAAGAATTAAATAAATCAATCATGGTAAAAGCCGAAGGGTTTGGAAGACAACTAGGTCAATTTTCAAGTTAAATTTAAGAAATTAAAAAAATCATGACATAAGCTACAGGAGTAGAAATATCGCTGTGATTTTTTTCATTTAATGAAATTTCATAATAAGTCATTGTTGTGTTTCTGATTTTGCAATCTAAGAACTATTCATTTTTCTGTAAAAAAGGGTTGATATACATAATTTTCGATATAAATTGATACATAAATCTTTATTTCTTTTTATAGGGCACATGATCCTCGAATAATCATATTGTAAAATTTTATTTTATTTGTAAAAAACATCGTTCACTATTAATCCAGCAAAAAAATAATGTCTTAGAGACAAATGAGCATGACCTATAGATTTCTATGTCTGTTAAACTGTTAAGGCTGGTGAATCTGCCGTTTGACGTACAGGAGTTTGTTCCGTCAAACTGGCAACCGAGAACTGTTCACACAAATGGAATAGATCCTCGTTACTCATACGCTCAGCAACTAAATAGCAAATGTCGTAAGGAAGACTCAATGGACAGTGATCACTCACAAAAAGATCGGCTGCGAATAATATCAAATGTAACCTTATCAAAATATTTGCTATGTGTCTTTTTACTACTTGATGCAAATAACGCATGTTCAACATTGATGGTAAACGCCAATTATTCACTTTTTTCAAAATCATATAACCTTCATGATATTTCATTTGGCAAAGTTTATAGAGCGAGATGTTTTCATTCACCTTCATATTTTTTAATTTTTCTACTTCAAGTGCCAAATCACTCATATACTTTTCATGATTTAATTGACGCTCGTATAAATCCCCCCAAATTTTTAACATTTTTTCCCTCGACGCGTCACGAAATAGGCGCAAGTAATTCATAGACTGGGGCTTTATATAAAAACCGTACTCATTATACATTAATAAATTATGCATACTCGTTTTAAAAGATGATATTTCGTTGGAGCCTATAATAAAAGAAAAAAATTACCAAATGAAATAAAAATTATTAAATTAAAAAATTAAATGCGTCATCTTCGATGTAAGGTATCAGGTGGTCTGTATCGTTTCCTCGAATTTCCATCCAATACTTCAACATCCTAAGCCCAGTGTTCATGTTCATTTGGTAGTCAGCTGACTTCAATAATTTCATCATTTCGATGATGTAGAAAGTCAAAGGATAACTCTTCAATTCCAATGTGGTGAAGGTCGTGCTGAACATTCTGTCCTCGCTTAAACTGCTCAGACTTGCGGAATTCTTCAAGAGTGCCTCGGCTACTTGGACGTGGAAGCGAGAGACTGCATATTGCAAGGGCGAGTCCCCGTGACTGTTGCGTGCCTCGATATTGGCTTTTTTCATAACGAGCATGTCAACGATCTCGTCGACTGGTGTTCTCGAAGAGTAAAAGTATGAGGTGGGTATGACGAATATGCACGCGAGTGCGTGCAAAGGAGTCGATTGCTCGCGATGATCCAGCTGGTTTGGGTTGGCGCCGTGATCCAATAAAATTTTCACAATTTCTTTGTGATGGTACTGGGCGGCGATGTGCAACGCCGAGCACGTGTACGTGTCGAGATTGACATCGACGCCTTGACGTACGAATCGTTCCATCTCGATATGGCCGGCGAAGCAGGCCCCGTGTAAGTACGAGTATCCCAGCTCGTCGCAATAATTGCTCTCTGAATTTTTTAATAGAAAATTAATGAGACTCATAACCTTATGACTATAAGGCTCGCCTTGCTCGACTAAGTAATGCAGCGCTGACTTTCCATCTTCCCATCTGAACTCGTGAATATGTTCACCGTTTGCATGGAGTGCTTTCAAAATCACCAGTATTTTATGTTCCAATGCGTACTTCATAAAATAAATTTCATTTCCGACAGTGGGAAATAAGCTTTCATTTTTCATCATCTTCATGATTTGATTCTGACCCTGAAAAAATTCCCACTGCCACGGGTACTGATATTTAATGTCAACGCAAAACACTTCTCGTCTATTTTCTGCCTCCACATTTGTTTCTAGGCTTTTTATATAGGTATTTACCATTCGAAATGTGTAAACTTCTAACATTCCAATGTGAATATCTCACAGTTTTTTTACTAAAAAAACCTGTGTTTGTTTATTTTAATAGAGTGTCGATTGGCTTAGCAGGAGTAATATCACTTTGAACACTATCGTTGAGCATCTGAGTGCACCAGTATCAAAGGCCTTAGACGTCGGTAAACTTTCATATTTTTGTATGCTCTATCAGCGTACAACATTAGGACATAGATTCATTTTTGGTCTGACAAACCTGTTATGGAATAGCCCTTATATAACCTGTCGATTAGCTTTAACTTGACTTCAATATCGATCAATATAATTGTTGCAATTATTTCTTTTTTTTGTTGAAATATTAAAAAGAAATTTTATCATTCACCTAATAAATAAAGTGCCATGAATTTCAAGTTCAAATGAGCTTTCAAGTAATAACAGATTTCAAACACGAAAAATAAGATGATAATACACTATTTATCAAAAGTCCGCGAACGCACCTAATTATTTTGCGTTTGAGAATCGTGCGATGCTCTCTTGTCAATGCTATGCAATGCGCGCGCGCGCATAATATCAAATGCAAGAGAATCGATTATTTATGGTGATAGCGAAGACGCGTCATCATACATGTATTGGGATAAAACAACAGGAACTAGGGACTGTTGTACGGGGGAATAATATCACCAACGTCACTTGGGTCTTTTTTTTTCTTCGCAATCTATCGCTAATATTTTCAAGTCGAATACAAATTGAATTTTTCAGTTCAACGTGTAAACTCGTCGTAGCAAAAGATTCGTTCAATGACGAATTGTAAATCATCGCGTCAACGATCTTCCGAAATTCACTCAATCGGAATACCAATAATGAATGAATTCACCGAACTTGGAGTACTTTTTTTTTCTGCTTAACTCATAGAACAATACAACATACTGAACTCTTTCGACGTTGCATAATTCATCACAAGCACAAGCTCGCTCGCATCGAGGAGCGAGTTGACAACGGAATAAAGGCCATTTCGCGAGCCATTTAAATGTATACGAAATGCAAATAATAGCAATTATGGCCCGGCACGTGTTTACGTATTTTTTTTCTCTCGTTTAATGTAAAAATACACACACCCCTGAAGCGAATGCAAGCATGAGCACACGCCTTCGCGCGATAAGGCGGATCATTTTTTTTCGTTTTGATAAAAGAACAAAAATCACATCGAAAATAATTCACTGAGAAAGTTTGCGAATTTTCTGAAGTGCGATACGCATCGCTCGCGCGATTATGCTCAAATATAACGAGAGCGAGGCGCGCGCGCGCGTAACTGTACAAAAAGCAGAAAAACATCTCTCTATTGCGATAAAAGTAGTTGACTGTTATTCGATTCGGCATAGCTGCCGCCTTTTCTTATACGTTTCGAGCGATACGCGCTTCTTAACGCCTCGTTTATTCTCGCTGTTGTTCGCTCACTTGCCTCGATGCACATGTACAAAATATTTTTCGCTTATCGTCGATTTTCGACGACAAATGTTTAGAAGAAATTTCTCTTCGTTTTTCTTATTCGTCGCGGCTCTGTAAGCAGATTTACGATTTATTGACACGAGAGACATTTCACCTGCGCTGATTAAAGCGGATACGTTCGATTAGTCGGCGGCGCATGGCAGCGATCAGCCGCTGACGCTCATCGAGCCGAGGAAGATTTTATGAATCGCTAATCGCGTCTCGACGCTCTTCCGAATTACCTCCGGGGCGCGAGTCAAATGGGCGACATTTTTCCTCATTAGCCGATTCAATTTTTTTTTTTTGGTTTCATTACCGCCACTGCTCACCGCTGATCGATCGACCGAACAACGATCATATGCTAATAATTCAATCGGTTGCTGCAGTTCGAAAAACAGCAACAGCGCGAAACAATCGTCGTCGCGTCGACGCGGATGATCATGCGAGCTTAATGCCAACCACGAGTGATGCAACTTGCGACACACGATCGACGCGTCTCGCGGATATACGTAAATATGTATAATCAAACGGTTTTTTTTTTTGTTAATATATTAACAGCGAACGGGTAATGATCGAAAGTATACGAAACGAGAATTAATGATTATCTCGGGCGCGCGCGCGCAAATAGCGCAACTCGCTGCGAGTAGCATCCGCCGCTCGCGCGCGATTCGTGAAATCATCGCTGCGATAATGCAAAGCAAAACACACGCGCATACGATCGCCGAATGTGTATAACGTACGTTGTATATTGTACATCGTTTACAGCTAAGGCGACGATCGAGCGTACTTTGCATTTTCTACAAAAATACGCGTATTATATACGGTTATCGTCATGTTGTATTTTTTTTCTCCTTCATTCGAACAAACACGTTGTATTAAGCATATACCCGCGTGTGTGCATGCGCGTCGAGAAAGTTACATCGGCGGCGGCGGCGGCTGTATATGCACACACGACAACTTGATGTGAGTGATAGTATACGAGTCTGTGTGAGAAAGAGAGAGAGAGACGATCGCATTATTATTCCGATGTAACATGCGGCGAGGCGCGCACGAGTAGTGGTAGTAGGGGATCGAAAGCTCGAGTTTTGCTCTTTTCCTCGTTAGCGCGATACCGAGGCGAGATTCTCCCTCTTTCTTCAGGGCCGCCCGATAAATAAAATATTAGCCGCCGCCGAGTCGCATCGCCGATTTAGTCGTCGTCAAGTAGCTGCTCAGATCAGTGACTGACGTGAATCGAACTACTTGCAATTTTTTACAGTCAGTTATACCCTGCAGCTGATTTTTACGAGACCCCTCGATACACAAAAAAGAGCGAGAGTTTTTGGTGCTGATTTTTATAGCGTTTACAGATCGCGAGCTGGCGCGCAGTGTCGAGTTCGCGAGTGCATCCGGGATTAGCGACTATCAATGATTTTACGGATTTTCCGCCTGTGATATACAACTTGCCAAATAATACCGATTTACGCGCGAGTATCGCGACGCTTCTTTTTCCCGTCTCGATCAAGGAGGATAAAGTGTGCCAATTAGTTATTGTTATTCGAGAAAATATTTAGTGCCGAATATAAGTTGAGAAAGGGAGCGCTTTCCTCGTCGAACGAGATTATGCGAATTGCGCTCGACAAAGTAATCATTGTTGCATCGTGACGATTATCAGCGATCACCATATCGATTGCAAGAAAGAAAACAAGTCGCAAGCCTAAGAGAAAGAAAAAAAATGGTTCAGCTCAGGCGCAAGGTAAATTTATGGAAAATTTAAAAAAAACATCGGCTTGCCGATTTCAAATGTCTAACCTTTTCGCGCGCAACAGCTGATCTTTCCTTCGATTTCATCCCTTCCCCTTCTCTATCTTCTTGTCTCGCGTGACTTCTGCACCTGCAGTTCAAGTCACGCACGTGTTTCGCACAAAAGTCTGCAACAAAGAGCATAACAATGTGAACTTTTTGCGCGAATAAACCGAGTCGCGTAATTCGTGACGTCGATATCAAACTCGTCTTTGAGAGAAATATTATCGCTCGCAGGCCGGTGTGTAAATTAATAAATACTTGGTCGTCTGCTAGAATATGTAGTAGCCCTCGCGAATTTTTAGCGACGCATGAATTTTCGACAGAACTTTCAAACTATTCGACGATCGTTTATGATACAGTTTTTCATCGAGGTTGCGTTATCGCGTTCGATTGAAATGGAATTTTCTAGCCCGTGGCGAAGCATCGCCGATTTGCGATTGTAATGAAGACAGGCCTGCATAAATCAAATGCGCGCGAGAAGGTCATTGAATGCAGCAAAAAAGAAAGAGAAAGATATTTAGACCAAGTTTATAGTTTGTACAACTTTTTCCATTTATCGACAAAAGATGTGCCATTGTTGTTTTTGTCTAAAATGAAATAATGCAAATTCAAACTAAAAATCTGCCTTTGAAGACTGCTTATGTAATATAAAATCAAATATTTGAGAAAGTATTGAGTTGTTTACCGGTGCTCAGAATATTTCCATTTTGAAGTTTGTTTAAAAGTTCACTTAACTATTCAATATATGATATCGCTATCAAATTTAAGCAAACTTTATTTTTTAAAATATGTTGCTATTCAGAGAAAGAAAGGTGGGACAATTGTAAACAAAGTATATTTTTAATCAATTACAAGTAAAGTTTACTCACTGTTTTGTTTTATTTACAGATATTATCTTTAAGTAGCTTATTAAATCAATTGCAGCCAAATGTGAGATGGAATTCTTCACTAGGCTCCAATTTAAAATACAAAGACAAAGAAGCTGTACAGCCAGATAGATCATTCAAAGTAAGATAAACTAATGCATAATATTATGAAAACATACTTTTTTGAGTTTCTTAATTAGATGATTGATAAACCTTGTTTCAGTATGCTGATCTGTCAGTGCGATTGGCTGCTCCACATCAATTACAAGCCAAACCAAATGTCAGTGATTTGGCATTTGGCAAATATTTCACTGATCACATGTTAAAAATATTCTACTATGAATCTCTTGGGGGTTGGCAAGCACCAGAAATCACACCATTTGAAAATTTGGTGCTACACCCTGCAGCCAAAGTTCTGCATTACGCTGTAGAGGTTTGTAAAATTGTTCATTTTTCATAGATGACAAAAACAATTTCATTCATTCATTATTTAGTCTATCGCAAGCACAAAGATTAGACATAAAAAATATGGAAATATGTAATCGAGGGTTTACTTGCAGTAGCATGAAAAATTCGTAATCTCCAACGTAAAAATCTCAAAAGCAAAGAATCGGTTTTCAGATAAAACGTAAAGAAAAGCACGATTAAAATTTCATCACGCGGCTGATGTAAAATTCGCTGTTGCTTGTTCAGATGGCTTTTATCAAAACTGATTTTAGAAAAAATCGTGAAAATAACTTTCACGCGATTAACGCGACGACGAGTAATCTATTGCAAAAGCAGCATCCACAAGTGCACTCTGGCGTGCTGCATTTTTTCGCGACGACGATGGACGTTTTTTGTAAAATTGTGCTCTCTACTGGTTGCAGTTGTTCGAGGGCATGAAAGCTTACCGAGGAATCGACGGGAAAATTCGCATTTTCAGACCGGACATGAATATGGAGCGCATGAACGCGTCAGCGGTGAGGTCGGGCCTACCGCAGTTCAACGGTATCGAGCTGATAAGATGCATGAACAGGCTCATCAGTATTGATCAGGAATGGGTGCCGCACTCGGAGGCGTCGAGCCTCTACATAAGACCGACTCTCATCGGTATCGACGTAAGTATTACGCGCATTCTGTGCACATTATCATTTTTCGAGCGAGCAAAAGAGGCAAAAAAGGTAAAAAAAAAAGAAAATCCGTCTCAAAACATGAAAAGGAGAGTCTTGTAATCAGCTTGTAATTTCACAATAAGCATGCAAGCAATAGCTCGCGCGCGAACGCCAGCCAGCGGCTGTGCTTATACGCGTGCGTGTGTATGTACAGTATGCTAAAACGCCGATAATTTGTGCAGAATTTGTGGCGTGATGTACGATGTCGCACGCGTTTATTATATTATACACACCAACACGCGTACGAACACACGCGAAGCGGCTCTCGTGCGCACATAGCCGCACTATCTTGCTGCAACTCGCCAATATTATCTTTCGGGCAAATTTCGCCTGTCAACTTTTTTACGAATCGCTACCGCCGTTGTCGTATCGGGGGCCTCGCCATCTCGTACATATCAATGTTGTCGGAAAATCCGGCATCCGATTTTCGCGCATACTTTTCTCAATTGTCTTGTACCAATAAAGTGCATGATCGCGCGATTGGAAGATATTGTTTATATTGTTCGCGCGCCGCTCGCGTATATTATCGCACTCTTGTGACAACGATGACAATTTATCGCCAAGTGCAGTAACAACAATAATTATTATATGTGTGTGTATGTGTGTGTGTGTTTGTTGCATGCGTACGCGCAAGAGATCTTGTTCTCACCCCCGATTGTGGAAACTTCGCGAATAGCGAATAAGCTATATTACACGCGAAGATTTTTGTTCCAAATATTCCAATCGCTCTACGGCTGTGAGACAGCTAAAGAGCTCTCCGATAACGATTTATACATGTTTATACAAAAGCGCGATTCTCATAATTTTACTATACCGATACGAGCTGCGAGACTCTCCTCTCGACCGCTCCTTTTCTTCTACGTATATCTTCATCTCCTCTTCCTCTCCTTTTTCTCACTTTGGCTCGGGTAGCGCAACTTTGAGGCTTTGTCTTGGCGCACGAATTTTCAATCAGTCGGATAAAAACGTGTTTTTTGTCGGACCTATACGAGAAAAGTTCATCGATGCACATTACATATCGTCGCCCCAGCGCAGGAAGGTATCTATTTCCAAACTGCAGCAAGAAGGATACTTACTCGCGCGCAGAGGCAAAAAGGTATCTAACTCGAGCGCAGCGGCAAAAAGGTATCTAATTCGAGCGAGAAGCAAAAAAGTAGCTTATTCAAACGAAGTGGCAAGAAAGTTTTGACGCGCCGAATTTAGGTTGGCAACGGAGCCGTAAATGATAAAATTTTGTTTCAACATTCAACATTCAACGTTTAATTCAAAGCTATATGTAAAGCCGATAACTTCTACTCCTCTCAGAACATAGAAAGTTCTCCATAAGAGGCATATTGAGTCGAAATCGCGGCGAGATTGATTTGTTTGCTCGCATTTCACATAGATGAAACTCATTACACTAGCTCAAATGTTTTTCCTCTTTTTTGCTCTAATACAAAACAAAATTTTATCATTTACGGCTCCGTTGCCAACCTAAATTCAGCGCGTCAAAACTTTCTTGCCACTTCGTTTGAATAAGCTACTTTTTTGCTTCTTGCTCGAATTAGATACCTTTTTGCCGCTGCGCTCGAGTTAGATACCTTTTTGCCTCTGCGCGCGAGTAAGTATCCTTCTTGCTACAGCTTGGAAATAGATACCTTCCTGCGCTGGGGCGACGATATATACATCATGTATAGAGAGATACATAAGCCGGCGAGATAAATTCAATAAATACTTGCACAAATATAGCTTTGTTTGCCTCACGCGTTCGATGCTCGGGCAAAATGAGTTCAGCAACACGCTATATTCAGAGAGAGAGAGAAGAAGACAAGCGATCGATCAAAATAACGTGATAGAGCTCGCGCACTGTAATCACTCGTGAAATATGTGTGTTGACATGTGCCTGTGCCTTGTATATCGATCATTATTGCATACGTCAAAATTTACATTGCCCACAGCCAACCCTGGGAGTGGCGGCCTCGGACTCGGCGATGCTCTACGTCATCCTCAGTCCGGTCGGCTCGTACTTCAAGAGCCACGAGGCGGCCCGCGGCGTCTCGCTGCTCGCCGATCCGCGCTACACTCGAGCCTGGCCGGGCGGCTGCGGCGATCGCAAGATGGGCAGCAATTACGCGCCGACGATCCACGTGCAGAAGGAGGCGACCGAGCGCGGCCTCCAGCAGGTGCTCTGGCTCTACGGCGAGGACCATCAGATCACCGAGGCCGGCACCATGAACGTCTTCGTCTACTTCGTCAACGACGACGGAGGTGCGTGTCGCTACAGCTATATATGCAATCTCTTTCTATTCATTTTGACCTCGAATAATGATTTAATCGAAAACTGTTGACGAGTGCAGAAAAGGAACTGGTGACGCCGCCGCTCGATGGACTGATCCTGCCCGGCATCACGCGCAACTCCATACTGTCGTTGTCGCGCGACTGGAATCAGTTCAAAGTCTCCGAGAGAAGAATCACCATGACGGAAGTTTGCCGATTGCTGTCGGAAAATAGGGTAAGCTGCTCGAAGCTCGATCGAGAGCAATCGATTGTGCACGATAATCATGTTATTATGGGGGCTGTTATTGCAGTCTGACGTAAGCGCGCCTCGCTTATTCTTGCGTCCTTGAATCGCGCTAATACGAGCACTATATTGCGCGCGATAACATTTTGCCCTTAATCAATTTATAAACGAGTAACAACGAGATAAACCAGAGACAGGCGCTAAATTTTTCTCTCACGGACGTGTGTTGCAGCTGTTGGAGTTTTTTGGCGCTGGAACTGCTTGCATAGTGAGTCCCGTCTCGTTCATTCAGTACATGGACCAGGAGCTGTACATACCGACCCTGGACCACGCCGAGCCCATTCACAGGACGTTCTTCCAACGCTTGACCGAGATCCAGTACGGCTACGTCGATCATCCGTGGGCGATGCCCATCGAATAAGTACAAATTACCAACGACGCGATCTTTCCTCGCGCGTACTGCCGATTTTTTCTTCTCTCTCTCTCTCTCTCTATCCTCTATATGTCTCTTTTTTGATTGCGAAACCCAAATTTGTCAGACAAAATGCACCAATTTGGCGATTTTTCGATCGACTTCATACGACAATTTTAATGAAATTATAGCCGTTACTGCTTGTGCAATGTATATGTGTAGGAGATATTACCAAATGTAGATTTATAATTGTGTTGAATATAGATAAGTCATTATAATTGCGTTCATTCGATTTTTTTATTCACGAGTGTACATAATCATTTTCAAATTCAAAAGCTGCGCGAAGATAAGCAAATTAATTTTATAAATATAAATGTTATGTTTTCTATGCTTCTCAACAAGAAAAAGCGTACAATAATACGACTATATAGTATTTAAGATAAACTTATAACTACGGTTCATATAAAGCAATGAACAATTGCTGAGGCAATGTTCGACTATTTTCTGTGATTACCGATCCAATCTTATAATATGTTTGCGTTAGAATTTTTTAATCCCTAAACGATAATGTTATTTTTCGAGAGATAAAGATTTTTAAAACCCCCTAGTATTTAAGAGTTAAAGATGTTCATAAATATACGTGTACGATATTTTTTCGGGGATAAGTGCATTTTTCGTGCGCGCTTGTGCAAATGAGCTTAAAATGACGTATCACGAATGCATACACGCATCGCATAGATGCATCGGAACGACGTATTGTTACTAGTTGTTTTTAGAAATGGAATAATATTGTACACTTTTTTTTTTAAAGAAAAAACTCAAAACTTTGTTATTACTGTTTATTGAAGTTTTTGAAAATATTATGTAGTTGTGGAAAGAAACATAATACATTATTTCCTAAAAATAAATTGTTATATTTTATACTAAATATATGTTTTTTCATTCAATCCTGACACATGATCATTATTATTTATTTATTCAAATATCGTAACAATAAATACTGATTTCAAATTGACCGGTGCCTCTCCACTGCCGTAAATCGTAAAATTTTGGTAGGTGAAAGTTTTCTTACAGTGCCACGCAATCTTCAAAACTTTCTAAGATCGCGGAATAATCAAGAAGATTTGAATCTTCAGTTTTGAACAATATTACACACCGTAAAATTGTAAAAATTGGTAAATTATCGTCAAAATCGAGTGTATTTTATACACGGTCTATACGTATACAACACGAGAAAAAAAAGTAAATGTCATAAAAATTAACTCCACGTTTCAGAAAAAAAAAGTTTCTGCTACGTTTGCATGTGTTATCTGGCAGCTGTATAGGCGCGTGTCGACTGCTCCGATTCTAGCGTGTTCAACTGACTTGTTCTGCTGCGCTCACGCCACACGACGACGTTACAATCGCGCAAAAGTCAGTGTACGCTCTGTGGTGGTGTAAAAATGGCGAACATGATGAGGTGCAGCCTCAGAATCCTGTTGAGGAAACAGGCCCAGCCTCTGGGATATCGAGTCAGGCTGACGGAGCTTTATCAACGAACATGCTTTCACACCAGCTGTCTGCTCGACGGTATGACATCGAATTTCCTTCGTTACGCTTTAGCGGGGCCCGTTTTACGCGCTCGTGTGAGGTTAGCTTTATCGCGCGCTCGTCACATATACATTAAACATTTGCCCTTGGCGAATTGACTTTTCGACTTGTGCTTTGCAACTGTCATGAATGAAAAGCTCGATGCGATTTTACGATATTCGCTTATCGATGCTTATTGATGATTGTCATCGTGTTTACGGTTCAATTTGTTGTGTTTGTTATGCAACAAATGTACACACAGACTATGTATCTGTCAAAAATATCAATACTGGCACCCAATATTGCAAATCTAGAAATACATTTTTGTTATTTTTGGAATAATCCAATTCTTTTATTAATGTCAGCATTAATGTATTTTAGTGGCAGGAAAAGAGTTAAATATGCCTGCTCTTTCCCCTACCATGGAAAATGGTACTATAGTAAAGTGGCTAAAAAAGGAAGGTGATTCCATCAGTGCAGGAGATGTAATTGCTGATATACAAACAGATAAGGCTGTGATGTCCTTAGAAGTTGACGACGATGCTGTTCTTGCAAAAATTTTAGTAAGATACTTATGATGATATTTGATGAGAAACTAAGAAGTTTATTACAATTTAAAATATATATTACAGGCCAAAGAGGGAACTGTTGCAAAAGTTGGTGATCTCATAGCTCTTACAGTTGAACAGGGTGAAGATTGGAAGTCTGTCGAGAGTCCTGCCGGAGCTGGAGCATCGTCAGCTGGTGCTTCAACACCTGCACCTTCAAGTTCTGCACCTTCAAGTGCTCCAAATGCAGAGCCTCCAGCTGGACAGTATGTGTTTTATTAACATAAATGTATATTACTTAATTCAACTTACTTATTTTTGATGATCCATTTTAGAACAAACGTTAAAATGCCTTCATTATCTCCAACAATGTCTTCTGGTACTATTGTTAAATGGTTGAAAAAAGAAGGTGATAACATTGAACCAGGTGATGCTGTGGCAGAAATTCAAACAGATAAAGCTGTTGTAACTTTTGAAATTGATGAAGAAGTTAAACTAGCTAAAATTCTGGTAAATATGGTCTTTTTGAACTATCTTAATTATTATAAAGGGGATTTATAGATGAGAAATAATTTTATAGGCACCTGAAGGAGCGGAAGCTGAAGTGGGTGATCTCATTGCAATTGTTACTGAGAGAGATTTTGATTTATCCAGTTTAGTAGTTCCAACAAATCTAAAAGGTGGAGATTCTAGTGCATCTGCTTCTGCACCAACTCCAGCTGCAACATCAGCTCCGTCTTCAACAGCATCAAGAGCTGTTGATCAAACACCACCAAGTGGACAGTGAGTTATTATTTATAAATTTCATTATTTACATTTGCCAAATAGTAAAAGATTTACTATGATTTTTCCAAAAATTTTAGAGTATATGGTTTAGCAGTGAAAAGGTTGCTGGAGGAGTATGGTCTCAGTTCTGGATCTGTTAAAGGTAGTGGGCGACCAAATCGATTGCTCAAGGAAGATGTTTTGGCACACATCGCGTCAAACAATCTTCAAAAAGTTCCTCCTAAAACTGGTATAATTTTTTGTTTATATTTTTTTCTTTTCATTTATGAAAGCTTTGTATTTAATAGGCTGGCTAGAAGCTTCAATTTTAAGAAGATTTTCGTATTCTACGATTAACTATTTTCCACAGTATCTTCACCAACGGGAGGTGTATCGCAATCAGCGGCACCATCCGGACCTGCATCGAAGTCATCGGCAACGTGGTCGGGTGGTCCATCGACCTTCGTCGACGGTCCGGTATCCAACATTCGTGCCGTAATCGCTAAACGACTTGGAGAATCCAAGAGTCAAATTCCTCACTCGTACGCGAGCATCGAAATCAACATCGATAAACTCAACGAACTCCGATCTAAATTGCGAACGGAGGACATCAAAGTATCGGTGAACGACTTCATCACCAAAGCAGTGGCACATGCGCTTCTAGAGTGTCCCGAAGTTAATTCATTGTACCAAAATGGAAAGGTAAAAATCAAAGCCACAGTAATATATATCACTTGAAAAGTAAAATACATCGTGGAGTAATATTTTCTTTTTATTTTATTTAGCTTGTACCCCAAAACAAAGTTGACATATCGATAGCAGTATCGACGCCAACTGGCCTCATCACACCAATCGTGTTCAATGCCGCATCCAAAGGTTTGTCCGATATCGCAAACGATATCAGAACGTTGGCCGGCAAAGCAAGAGATGGAAAACTTCAACCACAAGAGTTCCAAGGAGGAACCTTCACGTAATATCATTACGATCGATCAATAATTTTTTTAGTATCTGAATAGTATTGAAATTTCACTTTTGTGCTTTTAGGATATCAAATCTTGGTATGTTCGGTATCAAAGATTTTAGTGCCATAATCAATCCCCCTCAAATCGGCATCCTTGCCGTAGGAACGGGCCGCGAAGTTCTCGGTATGTGGTTTGCTCGTATCTCTTATATATATAAAAGCTAAGAATATCTCGACTCATCGAATTAATTTTCTGCAGATTCGTCGCTGCAAACGAAAACGATGATGACCGTGACGCTGTCCTACGACAGACGAGCGATAGACGACGATCAAGCCGCTGACTTCCTCGCCGTGCTGCAAGCCATGCTGCAGGATCCATCCTTTTTAGCTGTAGGTAGAGCCCACTCGCTCAGAGCTCGACACGAGTGAGAGAGACGAGTCCGGCGTTAAAAATTGGTGAGATTGTTAAATGAGTTTGGAATTTGACTAATTTTTTTGCCCTTGTTTGGTGTGATTTTTAGCACGGGAAAAAGCGATATAGGCGCATGCTATACTAAATCTTTAGCGTGGCTCCTTCGACACGGCATGAATTTTTTTCATGTTAATAATGTTTTGCCCAAACAAAAGAAAAAACAGGTGATTGAACTCCCATTTATGTTTTAATATTCCTTCTACTAAATTATTCCGTGACTAATTAATTCGGCACTTTATTGCACATTCAATTTTACGACTTCGCTAAATGGACGCATGACTCACTTTGTAACTTCTCGATTTTTCATTTCAGGTATTGACAGAAAAAAATCACGACTGCCTCGCAATCGAATCACTGTACAAATAACCCTAACAGAAAAGCTTGTATAGATATGCACATGATGGTCGAAGCTCTGCATTGTGAATTTGGAGCTTGTGTTACCGTACCTACTCTTAGCAAATATGTTATCTAGTTTATCTAATGTCAATTTCATCGTGTGTCCGATTCAATGAGTTGATCTCTCTTTTCACCTCAGCGCTCGTCAGAATTTTCACGCTAGTTTAATCATCAAAATATCAGTTCAAGAAAAGAAATCGAGTTCGACTTGCATTGATCGGTACAGGGTTTTTATTGGCGTTGCTGCAAGAACTAAAAGTTGTATATTAAATGCGACTGCTTTTTTACGAACACGCGAATGTCATTTCAACTGATTAATGGAAAAAAACAAACGTCAATGTGAAACGACTTTGGTATTGTTATTTTATCTTTGATTCATGCGTAAAAAATAATTCAAATTTATTTTTGAACTAATTATCACAACCTGATTGATCTTATTAGTTGCAATTTTTTAAGTTACCGTTCACTTTAACAATAAAGAGACGATCGTGTTAGTCTGTGATTTGTTAACAGTGAAATTATATGAAATTGTTAGTTTAATCAAATATATAATTAGATTGATTATATACATACATTTATTTATGTGAATGATGCAAATAGGAGAGGACAATGTGAAATAACTGTGGTTTAAAATTTTCAGCTCTTGTATTGTTGAGAATATGTCCAGTGTGTAAATAATAAATTTATCCTTCACAGTTACACATGATGGTGTTTTTATTTGTGTATCAATTTAAAAAAATTCACGGAACCATACTTTTTTAAGTTTATTTATTAATAAAATTACACTAAATACACTTTACATACATTATACTATTCACTTTATAGTATTATTATGGTATGAATATCATAGAGCAATCAAGTGCTCCTTCAGGCACATATACATTTTGCATTTGACAGAACATCTTTAGACAATTTTCCTTGGTTTCTTTGTTACTTTTTTTGGATGAAATCGTGCAAAGTTTTTTTTTTATTAAAAAGGTATAAAAGTCGACGAGTCCAACGCTTAGTATACATACGTCATAGTAATACTTGTAGTAGTAATACATTTTAAATATTTACGAATCTCAAGAATGGAAAAATACATTACTTTATTTGATTAATACACGATTGAGCTTAAATTTTTGTAAAACGTATATTTACAATTTACATTTTTTATTGGACAGGTGATAAAAGTTCCCAAAAATAAGTACAGTTTATAGATTTTCGTAGAAAAATTACAAAATATTGCTTTTTAAATGCTTCATCTTGTAAATTACTATTGTCGACGTAAATTGCACAATTTTCAGACTATTATTGGAATGTTTTCACATTAGAAGTTCTTATAGAATATTTTGTTAAAATGTTTGTCAAAAGTATTAAGTTTATCAAAAGATTAAAAATTATTACAAGCAGCTAATAATAGTATAACATGTATTTTACATTCTCGCACAAGCTTTAAAAATCATATGTACAATTGATAAAAAAATCACGTTAGCTTCATTGAATACATTTTGGATTAAGATTCTTAATCTATACAATGCAATGCAATCCTTTGGAAATGAGCAAATAAAATCAACAGGCTGAATAACATATCTGATAATTTTTTAAATCATCTTATAATTGGAATTTTATGAATTCCTAATGATTCGAAAAGTTCTTATGTAAGATTTTCTGTGCAGCACGAATCAAAGGACATAAAGTAGATAGATCGGCACAGTTGTCAAGAAAATTGTGAGCTAAAAGTTCATTAGCGGAAGCCCTATCATCAACTTCAACAGCTAAGCATCTTTCCAAAAAATTTTGAAATTTGGGACTCAATGTTTCCCAACTTGGTACACTAGGTTTACCTATAGCTGCTATTAGATATAAAGCTCTGAGAGGAGTTTCCTTCATATATGGTGGTTCTCCTTCAATCATTTCAATCGCCATAATTCCTAGTGACCAAATGTCAACTTTTTTACCATACTGCTTTCTTGTAACAACTTCTGGAGCCATCCAATATGGTGTTCCTACCATTGTGTGTCTCTTTTCATCACCTACAATATTTGCACAAAAACCAAAGTCTGTGATTTTTACAGATCCATCCATACCAAGAAGAACATTATCTGATTTAATATCTCTGTGAATAATTCCCTTGGAGTGCAAGAAACTCACACCTTTGAGCACTTCACAACACACAGCAGCTATTTGTGCTTCTTTCATTACAGTTTCTGTTACAACGTCTGTTAATGGACCCCCATCTAAAAGCTCCATTACTACCCATAAATGATCGTTGACTAGATAAGAATTCAAGAAGTTCACTAAGTTTGGGTGTTGGAATTTTTTCAAAACTTTGATTTCTGTCAGCATAAGCTCTTTTTTGAGCTGTTTGGTCAAATCAATATCCTTAATGGCTACTCTTTGTTGATTAGTTAAATCAGTAGCAATAAAGACTGTACCAGAACAGCCTGCACCAACTTCTTTACTCTTGTCAAATCTTGACTGAGGATCATCTTTATCACAAATTTTTCTTAGTTCTGCATAAACTTCTGCATCGCTCATAGAGTCATCAGCAGAGTTTCGTTTTCTTCGTAAAATTGGACTTTCCTCTTTTGGTTCAGCTTTAGTTTCAACAGGTTTATTGCCATTTCTATCTTCTGGTAATAAATCGTAGTCATCTACCTGACAATTGTTGAGATCTTCAAGAATTTCTGTAAATGTTTTTTCCTTACGTTCAATATATTTTCTAGGTGCTGGTTTGGGTGCTTTTTTCCACTTTGGAGGTAATTCTGGTGGTACTTTACGAACTTGACTATCTGTAGAACTGGCAGACGTAGATCCATCAGAATCCCTTTCTTTATTGAATTTTTTTGCTAATATTTTATCTATTTCTAACGACTCTTCTTCAATGATATCTGCAGTAAGGAATGGCTTGAAAATTTCCTCTTGAGGTGTTGGTTTCTTCTTTATGGAGTAATTATAGAATTTAATGGCTTGAAGTGCAGCATCTGGATGTTCATTTTGCTCCGACTTGCTAATTTGGGTATTAAGCAGTCGTATCCAAGAATCGGGTAAGCCTTCCAACTGTCCGGTCTTTTCATTTTTACTCACATGGAATTTGTGTGAGACATTAGTTGGCAGGCCAATTTCGCCGACCGTGTCTACCGATTGTTGGCTGTGATGTTTTTTCTTGGAGAAAAATTTGACGAGATTCAAACTCATATTGTTAGAAGTGATAAAGCACGAATTGTTCGATAAAAAAATATAGATTCAATTATCTCTCCTTAATGAGCCGTTGATATAATTCACTCGGTGGCTTAGAACGAAAGAATAAAAGAAAAAAAGATCGATAATGAGTGATTAAGCATCGAAATCTTTTAAAAATCGTGTACAGTGGATTAACGATGAGCACGCACACACACGTCACACGCACATTACAGGCACTTAAACTCAGCGAAGTGAAGATTCTCTCGGTGGTCGGTAATTATTGCACGACGACGACGACAGACTACGATAACACGCATATATACACAAACGATAGGACGGATATTTTTCTTCTATTTGGAGCGAGGTGTTTTGAAGCAACAATGACAGCGACTGCACAAACGTAATTTCAGCAGCGGCGATGCCATCACGCCCATGTCCTTCTATCTCGTTATTACAAGTAGTATGCAATTACGCGTATATGTGCATATGTCCGCGTCTCTCTATCTATCCGTCTTGCTCTTGACCAAGCGACGATATACTCTTGAAAGATGACGGCGACGACGCTTTCCTCCTCGCTGGTAATATCAACTTTGTAAGCGTAGCAGCACCTCGCTGTACGGAATATTATCACTCGGCTCTCGCGTGTGCGTTATTGCTCTCGGCGAATCGCGCACAAGCTGTGTTCTTCTCTCTCTCTCTCTCTCTCTCTCTCTTCGTCCAAGCGTGTGTGCGCCTATAGCTCTGCAACAACATAAGAGCGAGAGAAAAGATGAGTTTTAACGTACATATACGAGTTAAAAGAATTTGTATTAATCACATTAGATTCGCACCTATACAGCCGCACACGTATGCATGTACACAAAGTGTCATATGCGATACATACGTGCACCTCGTAAACGCATTGTGTCGATAGGTATATGTATACAGGTATATATCGAGTGGAATGTCAATGCCTGTTTTTCTCGCGATATTGCGTTGGCTCAGCTCGAGAGCCGTTGTTTAGATCGATCGTATAATTTTTCGTAAATAACTCACCGCACCAGTGCAAAGTTAACATTGTTGGACGCCGAGGGCGAGGATTAGTGGCTAATTCGATACGAATGCAGTATAAGGTTATGCAGACTCCGAAGTTGACGACGACTACGGTGGGTGTCGAGGGAGAGCGAAGATGTGTGAAACGCACAACACATCTAATATCAAGCGGAAAGCGAAGAGAAAGAGAAAGGAGAGTTCAAAGTGGCAGCAGGCAGCAGGCAGCAGCAGTAGCAGTAGGAGCAGTAGCAGCACTAGCTAGCAGTAGCGAGCTGCGGCCAATGTGTCGATGCGACTTTATACGGAGTCTCTGTTGGTATAATACATGATACGAGTTAATGTAAGCGTTTTTCTACACTCGAGTACGTAATTGCGTGTGTAATGTAAGTGTGTATGTACGGTCTTGCACGCATGTAGTGGATGAATATATAAAGCCACTGATCGTGTCAGCTTTGGAGTGGAGAAGGAGCCAAGAGAGCAGAGAAAGAGAGAAAGAAAGAAAGAAATAAAGAAAGAACGTACGCGTTCAGAGCAGCACAAATAAGGTCGACGAGTGACTTATTATCAGCAGTCGCGAGCACAATGATATTGAAAAATTTTATATTATTTATATGTATCGCAGTCAGTCATTACCTTGTACAATTGCTCGATATCGTGACGAAGACTGCTGCATGAATCGACGAGCTCTGCGCGAGAGCGGCGATCTCACTAGCGGCCGAATGAGCTCTCGGATCCCTCGCGATCAATGCACCATGAGTATCAGAAAGCGGTAGCACCGGACTTCAGTGATAAGCCTGATATTATGCGACATATATGGTATATCGCAGCACCGTTCGGAATACGCTCGACGCGAAAAGACGAGTCATGTATAAATTAATATACTTTTGAAGAAGAGAAGAAAAAAAACGTTTTATTTTATTTTTAAGTGTAAAGTATGTATTTTGGTGATAGCTGCACGACGAGCTCTCACGCGCGGCTAGTACAGCATATGTATAATGGTATATATATCGAGAGAAGAGCGTTGATAATGTAGTGTGGTGACCTCCCACACCGATGAATCGGCGGCTGGCCGCTCTGCGAGTGCGGCGACGAATATGTGACGACGACTCGAGCTCGACTCGCGTCGTCCGCGCGATGTTGTAAGAAGAGAAAATGCTCGTGCGCTTGTTTATTTGTACAGGACAGACAGCTGCTCTCAGACAGGAGGGGGACGACGATGACTAGTACGACATTCGATACATATATCAAGAAGGCATTTCATTGCATGTGTGAGCTCACGGGCCATATGCACAGTGCGACGAGCACACGAAGCGAGCCCAGGCGCGCCGCGCGTAATTTTCAAATTCCAAGCCAAATTATAACAGGAGCTCGTCCGAAAATCATTAATCGATACCTAGTGAATCTTATCTATTAGAGAGGAAGGGTAAGCGTCGTTAGATAGACGACAAATCGATTTCGCTTGGTTCAATGATAACTTGATGGGTCGATCGTTTTATTATTTTTTTTTTTTTCGTATAACAAAGAGACCGGGGAATAACCCGGCTCGTCGATGCGCGCACCTGTTTAAATTACTTAAACTATTAAAAATACATTCAACATTTTTGCGTAATAAACTTTTTAAAAAGTTAAATACAATTCGTAACAGTGTATACAATTATAACGATATATAGATTACAAATTCTGTATAATAAATATGTTATATTATGTTCTCAAAAAAGATTTTGGCAATCGTCGCGTTACAAACGCGTTTCGCGTCCTTTGCTCCATATGCAACGTAATAATCTTCGCCACTAATATTGCACTGGCAAGCTATGATATATCATAAGGTATTTTCATCGAAAGTTTATTTACACGTATAAAAAAGAAAAAAAAAAGGTAATAATCACGCAAGATCACACGCTGTTTGATCGATATCGAGTGTGGAATGTGTTTAGCGTCGAGTTGAATACTTCATATAATATATTAATTACAAAAAAACACACACACTAATATAAATCCAGTCTTTGAGTTCACAAATTGGCTCACACACGTTTACGTATATTATCAGGCAAATAATATTTATGCGTATATTCAACTTTGGGCAAGTGGCGTCTCTTTCGCGGGCTCCGCCAACTGTTCGTTCGATTCGGCCAGCTGCTGCTGCTGCTGCTGCTGTACCGCCACATTTTGCTGGCTACCCCGATCGAGCGAATAGCTCGACTTTTCCCTTTCCTCGCTGTCCTCCGCTGCAGCTATCGAAGTTTCCTTGCTGCTGCTGGCCAACGAGGCGTCGTCCTCGGGCTTGTTCAGTACCGCGACGTTGACGTCGAGCTGCTGATGCAGGGCTCGATCGTGGCTCAACTCTATGGCACTGATGGCGCGCAGCTTGATGCTCTCTTTGACGGGCGGCTCTCTTTGCTGTTCGCCGCTGCCGGTGCAGGCAATGTCGGGCGTCGAACAGGTCAGCTCGTTGACCTCGCCGATGTTGATCTTGAACTTGGTCAAGTCGACGTTGTCCGCGGGCAGAATCTCCTTGGAGCTGAATTTGCGATTGAGCACGTGCTCGTGCTTGCTGTGATCGTGATGATGGTGGTGGTGATGGTGATGATCGTGATCGTCCTCGTCCAGGGTGGCCCAACAGCAGGTCGAATTGTTGCAGGTCTTGCTCTGGCAACGTATGAGGCACTCGGTGTTTGGGTCCAGGTACGGTTTCATCTGCAATTTCACATTTGTTATTTTTTTTTAATCTTCCTCGATAATAATAATATAATGTGCATTTGTCACTTACGTTACTGAATTCGGGCTGAATGGTCACGTGCGTTATACCCATTTCAATGAAGAAACTCGTAATCTGATCGGTAATTCTCGCGCAGACCTGCGAAAACAAAAGTGACTCGTTGTTATGAACGATTTTTTTTTAACTACTTGCGAAAGATCAAGATCCATGTAAATATCAGCAAGGAATCATACCGATGGATCCGCGTAGATGATGTGGACCGTGGAAACGACTTTCTCCCCGTTGAGCTGCCACACGTGCAAGTCATGCACGTTCACGATGTCGGGAAAAGCGGCCAGCAGTTCTTTTTGCAGCAAGTCGATGTTTATGTGGTTCGGTATTGTCTGCAGCAGTATCATGCCGGATTCTTTCACTGCGCGCAAAAATTACAACGATTTGTTTTTTGTTTTTTTTTTTTTTTTTTAACGAGTTCACTTATTATTATACAGAAATTGAAAACAAAAAGTGAGAGTGAGCGAGAGAGACTAAACTGTATTTGTAGCTGAGAGCCATGACGAGAACCGAGGAAATGATGGCGAATATGGGATCGATCTTGGCCGCCAGATCCGACTGCTCGAGATACATGTACATGTGGACGAGACCCGCGTCGGCGATTATGAGCAGACAGCCGAGGACGTCACGGCACATCTCCTGCCAGCCTTGGCCCATCGGCTGCTTGAGCGGGCTGCGCCTCGTCGCGCTGTCCATGCTCACGTCCGTCCCATTGGATTTCGACAGGTTCCTGCGAGCATAATAAACAACACATCGTGAATCTCTTGTTATGAGTTGTGGCGCGCGTCAACATTATTAATTCATCGTGGCAACCGATCTCACGCGCGCGCGCGAGGAAACGATAATTCATTGATACAATGCCGCGAGATGCCGAGATACGGCAGCTGCACGTGTCTTATACCTCTTGAGAATGACGTTGCCGTCGCTGGTGAAGTGCAGAAAGATGCCCTGATTGAAGGTGTAGCCGCCGATGAGGAAGTAGCAGATGGCATTGAGGAGGACGCCGGCCGCGCCGATGCTCATGACCGTCAGCGGATAGTGCATCGCGTCCTTGTGGATGACGTGCACGAGGACCGACATCGAGTCCACCAGTATGGAGAAGCAGAACGAGGCCAGCAGCACGCAGCACACGAGCATCGTCACGGTGTCGATGCGCGCCCAGCCGAACGTGTTCTTCATGCGCTTCTCCGAGCGCGTTTGCTGCGTAAAGCACAGTGATTCATTAACATTTGTATCAATTCGTCGGTCTTTGAACGTTTTGGAAAACATTCGTCTTACTTTGGCTTTTTTCTTGGCCACTACTGCTTTGCTGTTGACTGTCGTTTTTGCGTCCAAACTGTTGGACGACGATTTGATCGACGCCGTCGAGCCCTTGCCGTTCTTCTCGTTGCTCTTTTCCGACTGAAATTATTAGGGCAATCAATTATGTAACGAGAGGGGAAATTGTTTTATCGACTCGATTCTGTAATATTATAAAAAAGAGCACTTTGAATGTCGAGCTCACCTGATCCTGCGATTTTTCCGAAACGGATACGACGGCTTTATTGGTCGATTCGGCAACATCCAAACTGTTAGACGATGCTTTCAAAGAAGCCATCGAACCTTGGCAGCTGTTTTCATTGTCATTCTCGTACTGTAAAACAACGAAAAAACAAACAAACAATAAGAACGATTTTGATTCATTTTACATACGAAAATAATATTGCACTCGATTGTGTGATTTATTTATATACATAAAATATACTGTGTGCAATTATCTGCCAGCAAAATGTTTCCTCAGCATTAATCATCGGGCGAGTATAAAAATAAAAAAAAATAAATAAAAAAAAAGTTAAACGGAGCCGCGATTGGCATTGTTGTAATCGGCGAACTTTTATTCCGCGCTGAAAGCGGATCGACGGGCAGAAAATACGATCTTGTACAGATCGTTTGGCGTGTACAAGCGCATAAATCGTTGTAATTGGCAAAAATTGAAAAGAAAAATAATCTCATCGAAGAGAAAATGTGTAAGCAAGAAAAGAGCTCATCTCCGCAGTACGTCGTAAACAGGCGCGTCTAATGATAAGCGTCCCGCGGACGTGCATACAAGTTCGTCGCGCAGCGAAAGCGGAATCGTGTCGCGCGCGGCACGAAAATCGGCGCGAAAACAAAGTCACCGATGCGAGAACCAAAAGGCACTTACCGATCGTCTCGCGCAACGATTCGAGTCCCTATAATGTACGTTTGTTCGTTATCGAAATTATTACAGAAAATCACTCGGACGCGTTTGACTCGAATCCTTGCATATATTTCTTACAACGCGTGCGGTAGAGTAATGAATTAGCGCCTCGCACGCACCCGTGTACTGCATAATAAATCGAGTCACGCATTAGAATATAATAAAAGTAATCTCACCTTGATCGAAGCTATGCAGCCGAAGAGCGAGACGATGTTGCAGACCATGTGATAGGCGTTCATGCGCAACGTCAGACAGTGGGTGATGTACGTGGCGATGATAGCCACGACGAAGTAAGCTATGGTCAGCGCCAACACGATGTACAGCTGGACCGGGCGCAGCTTTCGGAACCACTCCTTCACGGCCATGTTTGCTTTTTTTCTGTTTTCTAATGCGTCGTTTCTTATAATTCGCTACTGCTACTGCTCGAGCGATTGATATTTGCTTCGTGATGTGCTACGTGCGAGTGATTATCCTGTAAAAAAAAAAGTACAAACGATATTTATTTAAAAATACATCGCGTACGCGTTGGCCAACGCGAGGATTTATATAAATCTAAATTGTTGAATCGCACCCAAAGCCACGATAATAATATATGCATCGCAGGTAGCTGACCCGATTTCGGACCAAGTGTCATAATGTAATTGTTGTACATTATATATAATTACATCATCGCCGCTACGACGAATTACATAATGCGGACCTAACGCCACTGCGCTTACCGATCTCCGATGGGTAAATAAACATTGACATTGACTTTGTTGTCGCGGCAAAGTGCAACAATTTAATTGTATTACATATAACAGATAATCGTTCGCGTAGTCGCTTCCTTTGCAAAATAAACTACGCGCATACGTGTGCATGGCTACACATACTCAATCGATAGTCTCTCGAGCAGCTTCGTATCTTTTATTGTTAAACAATTCAAGTGACGAATTGTAATACTTTTTTTTAAATATCTTGTACGATATAGAAAAAAAAGAAAGGATACCACGGAAAATTTTAACACATTTTTGTTCGCCGAAGCAGTTCTCGCCGCGGCGCATTTGTGTACATGCGCGCGCGCGCAAGCCTCGCGAAACAGTTTCGTTCGATGAAACTCATAATGCAATGCCGATTTTTCCGATAAAATCGTTATTACACACAGGTTGTTCGCACGATTAATCGTCTTTTATGTAATATCCAAACCTCTTGATTTTTCATGCATTACTGAGAAAATTCATGGAAATAATTAAAAGTATATCGCACGCCGGTCAAACTACGGAACGCCGCGCACACGAATGAAAATACCAACTACTGTGTACTCGGACGATTTTGTATTGCAACATATTTTTTTTGGAAAATTGAGTCACAAATCATTGAGCTTTATGTGCGTGGCAGCCTAGTCAACGCAGCGAGACTTGCTCTGCGCTTTTCAGCTATAATTGCATTGTGCTCTTACTGCTACACGCGCGTTTCGATCGATAAATCCGGAGGCACGAGGTGCGTTTTCGCAGAATGTCAACAAAAATTAAAAATTCCATAACGACGATCTGGGCTACAAATGTCGAAATTGCCCGCTACCGCACATTCGGGATCTTATCACTTTGCAAACACTCGTCTCGTTAAATTAAAAAACGTATACTTTTTATAACAATCTTCGCACGCGAGTGAAAAAGAAAATCGTTACCATTTGAACGTCGAACGAGGATGAATATACCAAGTCCGGTGTGTATAATAGGCGTATATATATAGAAGCTGCGCGCGTAATGTATAAAGGAACTGCTCCACACTCGTCGATCGCTCGACGTCGTCGTCGTCGTCGTAATTCGCATATTATAATACGCCTGCACCGCAGCAGTGGCACACACGTCGTTGCGCGCCCATAGCCGATAGGCTACTGACACTTGCGTGCGTGCATACAACATTATGTGAGTCTCTCTCTCTCTCTCTCGCGTGGCGGCGGTGCAGCAGCAGCAGCAGCTAGCCCCGTGCAGGAACAAAACTCAGCTCGGCTCTCGATTCGAGCTCACACTGCACCGTCGCGTCAATATCGTTTTCGATAATTCTACGATCGTGTGCAGCATTTATTTTTATTGTAGATTATGTGTAAAATATATGACACAGGCGATCGTAAAACTCAGTTAAATCAGCTAATTTTTCCTGCACCTTGATCTTGGTAAATTTTCGGAGCTCATAATTCCGCCGTGACCGTTATCGTGAGTCGACGAGATCCTTACAACGATACGCCGATTCGATCGATCAAATGGTGTTTTCTCGTTACACGATCATTTACAAAGGTCGCGGGTGCAAAATTTAATTATGAATCGAAAAACTTGAACAATTAAAGCCGCGATAATATGAGAAAAACTGGATTAACACTTGTCGCCTTGGCGAGAGATTCTCTGCGCGCGTCTTGTAGTAAGTATATGCATGCGCGCGTGTTAAACGTTCGACACATACCACACCCATATAAACTAGTTTTATTAGAACAATCGTGTGCAATCTTTGATTTTTAATAAGCAACCTGAAGAATGCGAAGAAAAAAAATTAATCTAGACCAGCGTGCGCGTGTCGTTCGCGCACGTATGAATGAATAACTTTTATTATATTAATTTTTCCGAACCACGAGTTCTATGCTCGCCTCTACTACGATTGTCACTCGCAAATCATTCAATTATTGTTGTTTATTTTCAAAGTTTTATGCTCCGTTAAATTTATCGCGCGTATTTTCTTAATTAAAGTCCCATTTCCATTCGATTATCCGCCGACCCCAAGATCTCGCAAAGATTTATCATCGAGTCTGCGCGCGAATAAGCTATCGATTAGCAATAATCATGCGACATAAACACATCGACTGAAAGCCAAAGATAAAATACAGAGAAAGAGAAAAAAGAAGAAGAAGACGAAGTAAAAAGTCGCGTGTATAGCTCTTGGAAGCTAGTAGCTCTCTCTCATCCCGAGGACTCGTACTTATACCCATGTGATTTTCCACGTTTGTCGCCTATATCTACGACTGTTAAGATCTGTAATTACTTGGAGTATTGTCCATATACTTAGTGGCGTACAGACACATGCATTTACGTAAGTAGGTTCGAGCGAGAACGTAATTAATTTATGGTCAATCGTATACACGAGCTGGTAAAACATCGGTACTTGCGGATAATTAATTTGAGAAAAAGTATCGAGGCGCACTCGTACGCACACACATACGCGTGTAAATATTCAACAGATCGCCGCTCGCATCGAGAGAAGAAGTTACAAGAAGAAAAAATTATTTGTCACTCGTTTAAAACTAGGTACACATATTATAATCTCGATGTGCTGGAAGCAGCTTGCGTATATTACGCTGCTGCGTATGCGGCATTTAATAAGCATGATGATCGTCGTCGTCGCTGTGTATATTATATATACGCGCACTGCACCACGGGCCTTATCGGATCGTTAAAAATCATCATCTGCCGACCCGTAAGTAGTCTTGTATTCATATACACTTGTGCCGGCTATGTATAAGTGTGCGTAATCGGCGACGGGTTATGATTGTATTACATCGTGTAGTAGTGTATATATACCGGCGCGGTGAACCCGTGCTACGAGCATTTATTTCGTTAAACTCGCTGGACTGCGCAATTATATATAAGCTACATCGTGCACCGTCGACACATAGTCAAATGTAAAATAATCTACAATATTTCTTTCTATTTGTACCTCGCGCGCGCGATATGATTACTTTCCATGTATGTGATACACGCCAAGCCCGGATTATAAAAATCTGAAACTTCGTGTGTAGGATCGTAATAGCTTTTTTGTTTTAACGCGTGACGAGTAGCGCACGAAGATTAAGAAACTCGAGATAGGAGGACATTCGTGTATTATAATGGCAGCTCGTTATCTCGCACGGCACACGCGGATTTGTTGTAACGTATAGGTATGTAACTATACGCGATGGTGCAGGAAAAATCCGAGTTCACGGTTGGTGCATTATATGCAAGAACTACGTACTGTAATGTTTCGGCTGCGAAAGAGATTGTCGCTGCATCGAGGATGCTTACGAGCGCGTATTATTATACGACGCTGCAACCGTTATACGATCATCGTCGCGATATATTACGAGTGTTACGCGCGAGAGACAATGGTGTTATATGCACGTCCGGGCACAGCATCTCAACGAGCTCTGCGCGTGAAAATGGTCCATATCGCGAAAAGTTCGATCTCGATTGCGGCTTGCATTGATTCGTGAAAAATCGGTTGGAAACGACAAAAAAATTGACCAACGTAGCTCGGGTCACCCGATGAAGGATCTGATTAACGATTCGACGATATCAGGGAAAATTGCCGATTTCTTTTTTTGCTGCGTAATAGACGACAATGAGTTATTTGCATTTTCGGGCCGATTTGTGCGCCGCTTGATCGGCACGGATGATCTTGAGGGCTTCGAGGTGCCTCGTTATATTACCGCGATGTACATGCGACACGATCTTCGCGGACACGGCGCCGCGCATCACGTATGCGTGTCTTGTATGTGCAGAGGTGTATACATGCACGAGTGCAGCGGGATTTTCGTCTGTCAAGGCAATTTTAAGTCACGAAATTCTTCCCGGGCCATATTAAGCGAAAGTGCAAGGCTGATGCTCGAGGAATAAGCTCGGCTCGGAGCTGCTTGCGACAATGTGCCCGCGCGCGCAATCGTATATTATACTTGATTTTTGTATGATTCGTACTACAGACGATCGATTTTTTTCGTCAATATATAAGGTGCGCTAATGGATATTTACTTGAGATTCTTTTCTCCGCGAAGATAAAGAAAAATGATAAATCGATACGAGAAGCCGGGCTGAACGAAATAATGCACGAATTTTGTACAGTCTGATAAATTCGATGCAATTAAGTAAACCGTGCCGAGATAACATTAAAAGACTTGATTAAAAGAAAAATAGATAACAAGGTGAGACCTGTAAGAGAGTATCACTTTCTGGAAACCACGTGTTGAACCTTTGAATATATATGAAATTAATAGCTATGAGAAATCGCATTATCGGTGTTAATTATTAAAAATGCCTCATTGTACAGGAATTCACATAGAAACTGTAAAATGCGCAACGCTTTTGAAAGCATCAAGCTCAAATTACGGAAAAAAAACTAATTGTTTACCAACCTTTGATATCGTTAATGACAAGCTAAGACCATCATCTTTTGTCGAACTAAAATTAGCGATCTCCAATTTGCTTTCTAAATCAAAGCTCATGGAGCACGAGCCAGTCCGGTAATCGGTGTTCTTTGTACTTATTAAAAGTGTGTCTTTATTTTAACGCGCACTCACTCACATGCTCGTTGTTTCGATCTAAAAAAAATAAGCGCGGCACACAGCACAACGACGAAAGTGTCTCGGTGAGCGTGGCGATCGACGTTTACTCATCGGCATCGCCAATAGCAGTGCGTCTCGAGGAGAGCGCGGGGTCCGAAGCAGCAGCAGCAACGGCAACGACGACGACGACTTGCCGATCGCGCCAAGTGTTTCGAACACCCGCGCGATCGAGCGAGCGAAGCGAGAGTCTATAAGATAAGACTTTTGCTGCTGTTGTCTGTGTGTAAGTGAGTGAGCGCCTTGTCGTGCACATATTATTACACATACTTTTACAAGCGCACAAGACACACGAGTGCGCCGAGACCAGAGTGAGAAAGAAAGATAGAGAGATTTTATCGTTTGCCCTCGGCAGATTATATAAATATATCAGTCTATATATGTTTCTATAAGAATGTTTATTCTATTCAACAGGTGCGCGTCTACACTCCATATAGCAATCGTTGCCGAGTAATAAGTGCGCCTACGAGTGAATCTCGTGTGACTTATTATAAGCCGAGGCATGCCGTACGCGAGGCTGAAAGCACAAGTCGATAGATTATCGAGCTCCAATGCGATCGTTTCGATGTGGTACGTGCGGCGTCGCATAACGTACGGCACGCGCTTCACAATTACTACTGCTAAAAGATCGGTATCCCGATCGAGCTTGAGATGCGGATAAAATGCATAGTATATATAGTCAAGCGTCGAGATCAATTGGTTCATCGGGTATAAAGTTAAAATATTTTTTCCTCTAAAAGCGCGGAAAAAACATCGAGGCTTATCAAAGTTCTCTTTTTCAAGTTCTACCATTAATTTAACAGCCGCGTGGCTGCTAACTGGCTAGCCACCACTGATGCAGTTGAGAATCGACAGGATTTATATCCTGCGCCGAAGCGTCTCGGATGCGTAAATATTTTATGTACGTAGACATATTTATACTTCGAGTCTGCCAAATGCAATGCCACTTCCGACTCGATTAATTTTCATGCATAATATTCTCCATGCGCCACGAGAACTTTACATGTTTCTCAGCCGCAAGCACGCGCGATCATTCAATGAAAAATTTCTTGTTTGATCAACTTATGAAACATTAGGGTGATCGTAAATTTTTTCTCAGATTCAAATGCAGCTCTAGGATATGATCGGTAGTTGAAATTAAGAGCATAAAACCTTGGCCGTGACTACGAATAATTCGATTCATTTGTCTCGAAATTGTGCCTCTTTCTTTTGCCGATTGAAAAATTGTTGTCCCACTGGCCAACATGCATCTCTCATTCTTCTCTCGAGCGATTATATACGCACACATAGATTGATTATAATTGAATTGGTCAACAGTGAGATCGCTGCGATGTATCGAGCTCAATTTCGTCGCGCCGACCCATAACGCATGCAAATCTTTCTCCTTAATGCTTAATGGTATACACGACTACTTACATAGCTGATAGACACTTTCGGCTCGTTCCCCATCGCCAGGCCAATTAATATGGTCTGTGGCAATTAAAAATCGCTCATTATGGTGAGAGTACGAGATACGGGATGTACGCTTTCATGCAAGCCTAATGAAGATATGAATGAACTGTGCTCGAATTTCTATATAAATTATTATCGATTTTTCATCATACTGATATGATAAGCAGTATTCGTACTGACGACAAATAGACGATTGCACCGGTTCTGGCTTGAAAAATAGGAAAATTTTGTTGACTCGTATGCATCAAAGCTTCATTCATTTTTAATTTAACGATGTACTCTATCTCCTTCTTTGGCCCTAATAAAAATACTCGACATTTTATAACTAGATTTTGGTCAACAAAAAAGTTTCTTAGGCTTAAAAAGGCCATTTAAACAGGTTTACTAATCAATAGAGTAACAGTTTTTCCACATTTTATGGGCATGTTACTATTTTGCCTGGGAACAAAGCAAACGAGGTTTACTTAACCCTTATACCTTGTTTTACGAAGATAGAATTTTAATCAAAAATATAGTAGTATAAACCTAAAAATAGAGATTAAAGCAGAGCCATACCGTTTAATGAGTATAAAATACTTTTAACTTTTTGCACTCGATCTACCCTGTAATGCAAATCAAAATTATTGAGGCTAAATACTTGAATTGAAAATCGAGTCAGAAGTGCAATAGAAAAATTTCCCAGAAAAAAACCTGTTGGCCTATTCCAACTCATTCACAGTGCCAACTATTCTGTTGTAAGCGCCACTGTAAACAATTATGCGTGCAAAGCCATCAATTGTTTAATCTTGTATTTTCTAGCTTATAATGATTATTTTTATTTCATATTAATAGTCCTTTCTCGGTATTATTTTTCAATTAAATTAAAATTATTCTTATTTACGTTCAGCCGTGTATTTCGAATGTAACATATAGCATAAGCGAATAGTTAGCGTTTTTTTTTAATTTGAATCTTTCATATAAATTTAACTATGATAATAGATGTGTTAAAAATATTTTCTACAAATTAAAGAAATACTTATTTATTTTACCAACTCACCCATTAACGTCTCAATTATCAATTATTAACTGATCTTAATAATGAATTTTATTCTAATTTTAATAAAAAAATTGAAATTCTATTAAACGCATAAACACCACTGCACTCAATTAGTTGGACAGTCTAACTTTAAATGTTATTATCATTTGCGACAGATATAAACGGATCATCGATAAGAAAGTGTGAACCGTGTGCAAAAACTTTTTCTCTCGTTAAATAATCGATCAAGATGTTAGTCGTAAAAATGTATAGCCGTTCCCGTTTAACAGTAGCCTGGCAAACATTTATGCCTCGGCTTCGAGAATCAAATTTTAAACTCATCAATCGAAAAACTTGTTTTCAATGCCAATCGGTAATTGATAATTTTCGAAAAAAAGTTCGAAGTTTTCTCATGAGCCAAAAAGTAATTTTGAATTTTTCCCGCCTCGCCACTGCACAGCGCGAATTTTCGCGGTGTCACGCGCACTGGCACACCTGCCTCAATCGTGGCAACATGCGCCTGATTAGCGACTTCTCGCGCAGCAGCAGTACAGCCGATAATACAACACGACCACTGTCTACTGCTAACTGCTGCTTCCATGACGGTGTCATGTGAGAGACGGGAGACATACCCAAGTTTATCATGTGATTGATTATATTCTCCTGCTTAAACGCAGCTACGTACTCGTCGAGTGTAGTTGAGAGAGCTTTTGGGCGAGTATCGATCGCCGAGTATTGTGGTTGTTACGGGCGAGAGTACTCAATCCTGGACCTATGGTAGACGACGAATAGTTTCGGTTAAACAGTAATATCGACTCATTGTGCGTACTTATCGATCCAAACATGGCTAGTGCGAACATTTTCATCTGCCTCAGCTCGCTGGTGCTTTTGGCGATGTCTGCTGTGCCGCTCGCCGAAGCTGGTAATAGCGTTCCTGTCATGCTCTGGTACGGCGAATCATCCAACAATTTGGTGAACCCACTTCACAAAACATCCAAACACGAGTTTGAGGAAACTTTGCTCAAGCGGCTGGGTAAGACACATCCTCCTCTCATTCTCTTTGTCAAAGACAGTTTCTGCATCGAAGACATCAATAAGCACAAGAATCTTCAGCAGCTCAATAATGCTGGATCGCTGACTTACTTGCCATCCGTTGAGTCAGCTCTATCTGTATTTGAGAATCTGTCGCTATACAATATTTCATACTCAACCGAACGTGATTTAGATTCAGTGAGCGAAGGGCAGCTAGCCATTCTACAAGTTTCTGATCTCAATGCTATTCCAGAGATATATAACCTGCTTAGAGAATTGAGTCCTAATTTAAAAGTAGCTTTAACTGGAAAAACTTGTTCGCATACCAATGATAGAAGCAAAAGACAAGCAGTTTACAATGAAAAAGTTAAAGAGGCTCCTGTTCCTGTAATTGTAAGCGAGCCAGGTATTTTATTCTATTCTGGCCAAGCCCCAATGATCAAGATTAACAAGGAAGATGCAGTACAATTGTCCGGTCCTATTTCATCATCAGTTATTCAATTTAATGGAACAACAAATTTGACTATGACATTTAAAGGTGGTAATAACGGTGTACCTGATTCAATTACCTTAACTGCTCATGTTATTGAATCTATAATGTCAGCTGGTTACTACAGCTTTAGAGGCTTTCAATATACTGGTGACTCTAAAACTGTATTTTTAAACAGCAATGAGGATATTTATTTCCCATATAATTCATCCTATCATTGTGGTAGCGATAATTTATTTACATATTTGAGTAAAGCAAATAACACAGTTGATAAAATTACAGTAACTCTAAAAAATATGCAAGTGCAAATGAATACAACAAAATTCGGAGACGATGTTTGGGACTGCTCTGGATACTTTAGTGCACCAATTTGGACTGGAATTTTTGTAACATTTATTTTAGCAATGATTATGATATGGGGAATTTCCATGCTTATGGATATACACACAATGGATCGCTTTGATGATCCTAAAGGAAAAACCATCACAATCACAGCTCAAGAATAATTATTATTAATACAGTTATAAATGTGTACATTTGGTCCAACGACTATAAACCGTTAAATATGAGGTATAACTGTTTAAAAATGATTAGAAGTGTAAAGTTATAGTGTTCTTATTTCTGTAAATTTGAATGAATAAATTGTATGTGCTCACTATTTATTATGTTAAAATAAACTTTAACAATAAGTTACAATGAGTTAATGTTCAGTCATATTGTTGAGATGCATCATCATACAATAAAATAAAGTAAAATAAATTATCTTAATTATTTATTCTTAGTTTTTATTTCAAATACACCAAATGAATTTATTCTTATTTAAGTCACATTTATTATTTATTTATTTATTTATTCTTATGTAACTTTTCAATGTCAGCCCCAATTATTTTTTTACTTTGGACCTTTTTCTTGTTATCATTTTTAATAGCAAATTAAATTTAATAAATTTAGTTTTTACTATAGATGGCTGGAGCATTTATTTGGCCCCATCATATTTAAATAAAAGACAAATAAGTTCTGTACCAGTTAATTGCAGAAAAATACATGTGTCCAACTGAAAAATGAAGAAAAAATTTAAAAAATGAAGATACAGCGTTAATGGTAGAATGACTAAAATTTCTTTGAGTATTAATGATCTGAAGATAAAATTAACAACTCAGCAATGGGTTTTTTTATTATCAATTACTAGATTTAGGTATATTAACTTTATTAGTATCCGCCAGTAAAAGAGGTTTGGCGATTTATAGCTTAAATTAAAAATATTCAATTAAATATCAAAAAGTTCTAAGAAAAGACAATTCGGTGTAAATGAAGGTAAAAACTAACTGAATGTTATTCTATTCACGAAAAACAAACGTAAATAATTACCGTATCACTCAGGATTTGTAAAAAATTAAATATAATCCTTTTAAATTTTGAAGGAATCGATATTATAACACATAGAGGGCGCTACAATGCAGATATCCGTGTCGTGCAATCCGAGTTACGCTTACGTCGCGAAAGAAACGAAATTTACCCACACTCCAACCTCATGTTACAAGTGAACAGTGTACTAGGCGAGACAAGCAGACTATCGCGATACCAGCAGAAGTTCAGTTATATTATGGCAGTGAGTGAAAGAGTAAAGTGACGTGTTATTATCGACTCTAGTGTTAATTGCATCTGTGCTAACGTTTAATTCACAATGGCCATGGATTTTCATGCAATCTTGGACGCTGCCAAGCAAAACAAGGACAAATTTACTAATAAACCATGCCTTCAAACAAAATTTCAACCTGTAAAAAAGGTTACGAAGCAAAGTAAAGCACTGTCAGAGAACATCAAAAAGTTCTTGGCCAAAAAAGAAGAGGAAGATAGACAGAAAGCTCTAGAAGAAAAAAGAAAACGAGAGGTAGAATTTTAAACTTATTTTAGCATTTTTCATTTTGTAATTATTATTCATTGTATTATTCAAGTTTAAAATGTTGAGACTCTTTCTGAATGTCATAATTAAAAAACTATGTGAATACTTTTCTTTTTGTTGTTTTTTAGACATCCACGTTTTTCGAAAAATAATAAGTAGAAAGCTCAAGAGCTCTTGCACATATTCACATTTGCCTATCTTTGGGATGCTATAACCTATATTCTGAAGAATCAGTAGAATTATTTTCTCAGTAAATATCTCACTAAAATTTATTCTGAAACTAATTTTATTATTATTTTTTACAGCAACTGGAAGCTCTTCGAGATCATAAGGCACAAAGTAGAATAAACAAACATCTAAAAGTTTGTAAAGCTGCTAATAAGTCTGTTCTCGATGATGCCGTTAACCACCAAAACACAGCTGTTACCATAGCAGGACCTTCACAATGCGATGAAGATGATTATGGATATGTGTCACAAGAAGCTTCAGCGTTTTATGATAAACTTATGAATAAATACAATGCTATGCCTCCAGAAAAATCCATATTTAGCTCCGATGGAAAAAAGTCAGCTAAAGATATTGCATCAACAAAAGATAGAGTACGTCAAGCTTTGAAAGATCAAGAATTAGAAGAAACTCTTCCACATAGAAGAAAAAGAAGCAAAGGAAATGATGAGAAGGGTGAAGAACGTGAAAACAAAAAACACAGATCATCAAATAGTGACGAAGAAAAAGAAAAAAGAAATGTCAAAGATGAAAAACCAAAAATTAAAAAAAAACCTATGCCACCTCCTATAGATTTTCAATCTTTACTGGCATTGGCAGCCAAAAAACAGTATGAGCCTGTAGCACTTCCTCCACCTAAGCCAAAAGAAGAAGAGCGACCCATGACCAAAAAACAAATGATGGAATATGCTAAAGAGAAAGAGTGGAGAGAAAGAAAAGAACTGAAAAACAAGCAGCCAGAAACATCTAAATCAGGTTCATCTTCAACTGAAAATGGTAAACCAATTTCTTCAGCTAAGACAAGCAGTTCTAAGAGTTCAAGTAATACTTCTGCTGATAAAATTGTTTCCAAATCACTGCCAAGTATACCTAAAAAAGTGAGCGAAAAGTCATTTGACAAAAGTACCTCTTCAAGCAATAAAATAGTTGAAAAATCAAATGGAACAGCTAAAACTAAAAGTAGCTCAAACTCTAGCAACAGCATGATAAGCAAATCTACAGAACGTTTTAATGTTACAAACAAAAATGTTGAACGTTCTAATGGTACAATTAAACACGACAAAGCTTCTAAATCATCCAGTAGAGATGTCCTTGCAGAGAAACAAAGAATGCTAGAAGAGCAAAAGAGAATGTTAGAAGAACAAAAACGTAAATTTGAAGAAGAAAAGCGACAATGGATGTTGCAGCAAAGTAGAGCAAATGATAGTAAACAGACTTTGCCATCAAAGAAATCTACTGATAGTAAAGGTAGAGATTTCGCTAAATCTTCATCTTCAAATGGGAAAAGTTCTGCATTGCAATCGTCGTCGACTAAAAATGGAAAATCCAGTGTCGTTAAATCTCGAAGTGACGTTAAATCTTCAGCTGAAGTGAGACCACGCCAATTTCCGCCAGCAGACGTTAAAACGCGCAAATTCCCACCCGATGATGTAAGACCAAGACAGTTCCCTCCTCCCGACGTAAGGTCTTCAAAACCAAAGCCAAAAAAGAAGAAGAACGTGATTTATGACACAGACGAGGAAGAATATGATTCTGAGTTGGACGACTTCATCGATGATGGACCAGAGGAGGGCGAAGACTACAGTAAATATATTAGCGAAATTTTCGGATACGACAAAAGTAAATATCGACATATCGATGAAGAAGATGATGCAGCGATGGAAAGTAGTTTTGCTCAGCAAATGAGGGAAGAACAGATATCGACGAGGATCGGTATCATGGAAGATTTAGAGGACATAGCTTTAGAAAAGAAAGAAAAGGCCCTGGCTGCAGCTAGGAAAAAACATAAACGATAAATATGTTGTTGATGCGACCAATCAAAATGTATAAAGTTATTTAGAGAAACGAATCTCTAAAGTGTGATAAACTTATAAATGTATAAATCTTACTAAATATAATTGCGTACCAGTATAAGTTTTTTATGTACAAAAGATATTTTTATAAGAAAACTATACCAGTTTACAGAAATATCGCATAGTCGTTTTCGTTCATATTGATGAAAACAACCAATCACTTATTTCATCAATATCTATTTGCTATGAGTTTGCTTTAATTGTCGTGGCGAGACTTTTTCACATTCACATACTTGTAAATAATAAATGATATAATAAAAGAAAGTTATATTTCTTCAAATTTCTTCATGTATTTATTCAAAGTTCAACCACCACACCTATTGTCTATAATACATTATTAATTCAATAAACAGTAAGAATTAAAACTGATTACACGAAAATTTTAACAACTTTAGCACGATATCCCAATTAGAATTTATGGAGTAAAATTCTACCTGTGATCAAGCAGCGATCAAACGAACATCATTAATCACGTCAAAATGTACAAAATTAAAGGGTAGAGAGACATTTTAGAAAAAAAGAAAATCTTGGGAGAACACAGATGTGTTCAGTGCATGTACTGAAAGAGATAAGCCGAGGGCGTACGACCCGTCGGTACCAATCTTCGATCGCCATGGTCGTTTTTCATCACGTAGTAGTCGCGGCCATTAATGGTGTACGTCTTCATCGGAGATTTGGGGTAATCGACCGACAGATGCTGCTGGTACAGAGGCGGGGGTGTGCGCATCCACACGCTCTTCTCGATGCTCTGCGTAATGTTGTTGTTGTTGTTGTTGTTGACGATGCCGCCACCGTCCCAGGACGCCTTCGATCGATTGGTGCTCGCTGCAGCGCTCTGTCTGACTTTCCGTCGATTTTCGTGATACTTCACGATTTTTCGCATTATTCTGGGGAAGGCCAGGTAGAAAATGGTAAATCATTTTCAAATGTATCAAGGATGATTTTTCGAATCTTACCGAGTTAACAATTCGAGAAAGAAGACGATCCCGGCGACGCCCATGCCGCAAAATACCACACGGTAAGTCAGCCATAAGTCGGATACCTTGAGCCGTCGCTCCTTCGAGTCCAAAGTCAGCGGGCAGTACTTCGCCAGAGGTAGTTTTTCCGATATCAAGTGCTTGATCAATCCCCCTTCGACTGCGTTAGTAAGCCTGTAAAAAATGTAGTTGTACTTTGAGTATACTTAAGCTTTGTAAACGTATAATGTCGCTTCAAACGCATTTAGCAGCAATTTTTCGAGAGAAAAATTCGAAAAAGCTGGCCGTGTAAGATGAACGAAGGTTTGCTTTTAGATTTAATTAAAAATGCATGTAAAATTATTAAGCTGAGAGAGCTGCTGTCGATCGCAGAGGCTCTCGGCTACTTCGAGTATAGATATGCCAAGTGCAGAGGCACGATGAGTGGTATGGCAAGAATAGAAAAGAAAAAAAAGTATATAAAAGGTTTCGAATGAATAATCGATGGATTTTCATCGCTGCTATGAACTGCGCACACGCACACAGACAGACAACACACGCGCACACTTGAACAGCATAAAAAAAAAAAAACACCACTCGTAAATGCTCTTTACTCGTAATCGAAATGTTTTTTGATGGGCGAGTCGGCTGGAAATGCAAAACTTCGACTTTTCGGTAGGACATTAGCCTCGCTGATTACGTAGGTACATTTATTCTCCTCTTTTACGCCGGCAAATGTTTTACTCCGATAATCTTCGAAAATTGCGAGCTGAGCGAAGGGCCGATCCGTTATAAAAACTTTTCCAACTGAAAAATCGTACAAACCATCGTTTTATGACTCTGATGTGTTTGAAGTACATTTTTGCTATTTAATCCATATAAAATTACTCAGATATTCGCAGTGAAATGTAAAGAGCTTAAATGGAATTTTTTCATCGAGCTGAATCATTTTCAAGTACTAATGGGCAGCATGAAAAAATTTCAATGTGCACAAAAAAAAGTTTAACGCGTCAAGATGAAAAGAAAAAAAATTGTACGTTGCTGATGGGAAAATATATAACATTTATCGAAGAAGACTTACGTTTTGTCAGGGCTAAGGTAGACTGATAGGACATGTTGTAATCGTAGGATCGAAATCCATATTTGTTCGAGTATTGTCTGAGAATTTTTGCGTCTCCGTAGTCCTAAAATTAATTTTTAAAATATTTCAAAGATTTTTTCGACAACTGACCAGACGGTTGAAAATTGAATCGACGATAAGTTTGAACTTACGTATTTCATCAAGGTCTGTACGGATTTTCCTTCAATAACGAACCAGGAGTGTCCGTAGCGTATGAGATCGTCTATTGAATTTATATCTAGCGTAAACTTTGATAAGGTCAGAAAAGCCGTTAAATTGGCCGTATAAAACGACGTTAAAATCGTTATAAAGATCCACCACGTAGCAAATATTATCCGCGTAGAATCTGTAAATTCACATTTCAACGATATAACTTTCGGGCGCCTCGGACGGACAAATTTATATTTTGATGAAAAAATTAATTCAGTGAGTCGAGAATTTACCCCCGATCGGAGCCGTAGTCGTTCCCTGCTTCAACAGAGCTCCGTAAACGAACCACAGACAGTTGAACAAGGTGAATTTTTTCGCTCGGTCATCGGTGGCGAATTGCATTCTGTTTCAACATTCGACCGATTAGCCTATCGCTATAATTGTCTCACTCTCGCGCGCCACGCGCCAATCGATTAATCGATCGTTGCACAAATATTGAAATGACAAATGAGTAACGAAATTTTTTGTTCGACACCCTTGCACGCGTACCTGAGCAAGATCATGATGTAAGTGGTCGGTCCAACGAGAAGGACCGAGAGCAGAATCAAGATCCAGACTTTGTTGCTAAAGGGCGCCAAGAGGTCCGATCCCGTGGATGAGGTTTGCGGCCTCTTCAGTAAGAACGTCGTGTCCATCTCCTCGAGCGGCACGGAAAAATTGCACCAGCTTCGGAACTCGCTCAGGGCCGGAATGAAGGCGACGGCCACGTCGACCTCCTGCGCATACAAAGGATGTGCGTAATATAGCCGCGGCCATCGGGGACACGTACGCGTCTTTTGCTCTAAATGTACCTTGCGAAAAAGCTGCTGGAGCATTCCACGATTGTCATCGCCGATCACGTCGATCTTGGGGGGCACGATCGTGTAAGTGAAATTCAGCTTCTCCTGCAGGAGCTTGAGCAGCTCGAACGCGTAGCCGCGCCCGACCCACTCGCCGTCCTCCTTGCCGTAAGACGAGTACGGCCAATCCTGACGACGCCCCCATTGTGTGCGCGCCCGGAAATGTGTCGTAAAAATGAAAATTCACGGTTATCGCGCGCGACGGCGCCTATGTATATCGAGGACGAGAGCTGCTGCATGCTCGATGCCTCTCGATATCGTGCATAAAATTAACTCACCGAATAAGTCGTTACGGTAATGTGCGCAGGAAATTGCGTTTCGTTGTCCTCTGCCTCCATTTTCGGAATGATGTTCGTTTCTTTTTTCGTCCTCTTCTTCTTCTTCTTCTTCTTTTTCTTCTTCTTCAACAACGACAATAACTATCGCTTACATTATTGCGTCGATGTCAGACGCGCACCACATCGGAATTACTCGAAGGTCCGTTGTGTATTTTCTTTGTCACTTTATTAGCGGTAAACGGCATTTACTCCCGACCATTTCACCCGTTTGCATTTAAAAGTCTCGAGAACAGTCGAGAGAGAGAAAATTTTCGTGTCTCCCTGTCGTCGTCGTGCAATCTACGAAACTGTCTCGCTACGATTGTACGATGAAAAATAAAAAAAAAAAACGAGGACGTAGAGAGAAAAGAAAACGGCACCAGTAGTATAGGTAGTCGCAGGCGCGCGCGAGCTCAAAAACGTAAAGCGTCGAAATGAAAGAAACAAAAAAGCAGGGGGTAGAAAAAAGTATCCGATAGTCCAACTACGAACACAGTATGTAGCGGTATGGTCGATCGTAACGCGCGCCGTTATATATACACACTCACGGTGCACCTATCGATACAGTGTCCACGTACTACACGGACTTTCGAGCCTGATCAGCGCCGATGCGCGCATCACTTATTCTCGTCCAGCCCTTGCCTCTCTCTCTCTCTCCGGCACCTCACGCGCCGAGCTCGGTGTGTGTGTCCGACAGAAAAAAAAACAACAACCTGTATTGTACGTGTATGTGTGTGTGTGTGTGCGGGTGTGCAGCAGCGAAAGGCGTTTAGTCGCACATACGTACACCCACACACGTGCACCCTCGCGAACGGGCAGCAACGCGTTTTCACTATCACCTACCCGCCGTCGACTTACCAACGCGTGCAAAGCGACGAGCGATCACGTATTGGAAAGCTCCGATGAAATTGCGATAGAAATAAAAGGAAAAAAAATTACTATTACGCAGAGTATCCAGTCTGTCTGTCTATCCGTCCGTGTATGTGTATGTGTGTGTGTGTATGTGTAGTCGCGCTGGCTTCGTTGGTATTAGGTATATAGCGTGTGTAATTTGTGGTGGCGATGCAACACAATGCACGACAGGGTGAGAGAGAGACGGAGAGCAAAAAAAAACAGCCAAGGACGAGCTTGTACGAAGTGAGCTTCCGAACAACGCGAGCAATTATACAGCATTCGATCGATTTTACACACTCGCTTGGACAAAAATGTCATTGAATTATCAATCGCTTTATTTTTAATTAGTCACGCGTTTGAACTTTTCACCCTTCGACGTTTGCACTTTCATATATTTTTTATCGTTTTTTTTTATCATACGCGTACTTTAACCAAAAGCGGATTTCCAAATATTCGTTTGCAACCTATTGTTATTGTTATGATCGTAAAAATTTAAGATCGCTCGTGACACAATGGGGCACGAAAATTTGCATGTATTTGTAAAGTACATACTTTGGTATCATACGCGCGTGACGAGGAAACTTTTTTAAAGCACACTGAATATAGCTGATCAAAACATTAATTTCCTGCAGAATATAATTTTACTTATTACTTATCTTTTTAATTTTTTTATCAATGTATTATCGAAACACTTTATCAAATGAAGCAACAAGAATGTCAGTTGACTAGGCAGCTAAGGGATGCTCCAGCGTTTGAAGGGTGTCAAAAATCGAAGTATTGGTCGATTGAATGAAAAACAGGAATAGAAGAAAATATCAATATTTGCTAAATATTTTTGTTTTAAATCTCCAAAATTTTCTTGAGTTACCATGTGCTGTAAAATGAAATCTCAAACGAATCGTTTATAATCAATATTATTCTTCCTTTATTGTTTAAAATTATATATTATATAGATATTTACTCATTAAAAAAATCAAATAAATATTAACTTGGAATCAGGTAAGAAAAAATAAAAAATTACTGTTTCACGCATCCAGTCATTTTACGCCAAGAAAAAAAGGTGAACACTCATGGATTCATGGATACCTCATCATAAAAATACACATAACATTTTCAATTGGGAAATCTTAACGTTTTCATCATAAAAATAATAGATTATCTCAGTTTTTCCAAAAATATTTGACGCCTTTTACATATCTGGTCATTTTCTATAACTCTAGGTTCAAGTATTTGGGTTTAAGGTAGAACCTATGTTCGCCACCATAAAGAAATAAATTTGAATGGCGATTCATAATTTATTTTGTTCTACAAAACTTAATCAAAATACTAAAAGATACAGATTTCTGCAATCAAATTTTAAATAATGTAATACACAAAATAATTTTTTGAAAACGTTTGATGTTACGAAATTTTTAAAATCAATTGAAATTGTAGTCTCTTCTAGTTATTTCTTACTCGCGATAGAAAAAAATTGATTATAATTTGGAACATTTACAATGTAAAATAATTTAAAACGATTTTGAGTTGTAAAATTTTATATTTTCCAAATGACGTAAAATTGCAATAAAATAGTCACGTGGCTAATAAAATATCAGCTATAGTCAACTGGAATATTTTCATATTCACAACAAGTTCCGAACATGTAAAGTTTAGTTAAATATTTAAAAATAAAAATTACCATGATGCTTCGTGAATGTGTAGCAACTTTCATTTTCTTAATAATCAGTGGTCATTTTATGAATTCTTGCAGTAGGAAAATAACGTAAGTACGATAAAAATCTTTAAACGATTTTACCAATAATAACTCTTGAACGGATATGTTGCAAAGTGAAAAAGACATGGACTTCGAGAAGGACATTTCCAAAGAGGCAGAGATGGATACCGTCCCAAAGAAACCTCCAATAGAACCGGAAACTTTTTACGATTATTTCATGTTAACGTTAAATTGGCCTCAGACCAATTGTTATTTGTACCAAAACAAAAAATTACATCAGAGAATGCTAGCAATTGAGAAAAATTGCAGCGAATGCAACATGCCATTAGACAGATACAAGTGGACAATTCACGGCTTGTGGCCAAGTAATGATAAACTAATATGGACTCCGGAAGCAGAAGGAAAGATACTTAATTGCAAGAAGAAAAGAGATGCTTTCAATATAAATGCTAACACTACATTAGCAAATAATCTAAATACTCATCTGATTACTTTCGGTCGCAGTAAAAAAAATATCGCATTACATGAGCATGAGTGGAACAAGCACGGTACCTGTGTGAAGGATAGAGAAGATATGAACAGCCAAGAAAAGTATTTTGAAAAGACCATAGAGCTTTTCAAGAAATACGACCCCAGTCAATATCTGAAAGATATGGAAATCATGCCAGGACAATCTTACGAATTTAAAAAGCTACACAACGTTTTGAAAGAATTTCTGCATGGGGCTGTTCCAAACATTACCTGCGTTGAAACGGTTCGTAAAAATAAAATTTTTGAATTTAATACTAATTGAAATGTTAAATTTACAAAACGGGTTCGAATTGCAGGTAGAAGGTGATCAATACCTCCATGAGATACGTATTTGTCTGGACAAAGGATTGCTTGAACCAATAAACTGCGAAACTCCTGTCAATCCAGCTGCCCCAACATTAGGTGTATGCGAAGAGAAATATCATGTTATCTATCCAGAAAATAAAAAACCTTGTCCAGGTTTTATCTCTATATCTTAGAATTTTACTTGAAAACTTTTAGCTGACTTGTAAAAATATGTCCCAAAAAAAATGCTGTCAATGAATTTGATAATGAAAACCACCTCAAAGCTTCAACAAACAAAAAATCTTTTTTTCTAGGAGGGATCCCTATTTTTATAGCAGATTGGAAAGAACTGAAAATTTTACGTTCGAATATGTCTTTCATTTTTTTTTCAATGCTATTTGAAAGGAACAACAATAACAAATACATCCCAAATATTAACTTAAGTTTTGCTAAAAAACTCAAACAACATTTTTCAATCGTTTCAATTATGTTTTTTTCTAATATTTTCAATACATTTTCTAGAAATCTGTACTCGATAAATCTTACATGAGATACATAAAGAAAAATTTAATTATTTTCCCAAAATTTGATCTAAAATTAAGAAGGATTTCGAATGTTGCACATTTGAAATGATCTTGATAAATACAATATGAGACATATTCGATTATTTATTTCTCTTTTTGAATTTTCAATAAAAAATAGGGTTTTCTATTTGAAAAATAGTTCTTTGGTTTGCTGAAACTTTGAAATAATGTTAAGGTCAAATTCAAGGTTATAATTAGATTCTTCTTGAAAAAATGGGGGATAGTGATTCTGATTTTTCTTTCGTGCTCACTCCGCGAGTTGTCGAAGGGTTACCATATTTTTAGTGTCACCCTGCTTGATATTTTAGGGTATGATAAATAACAAAAAATAGACTCAATCGTACTTGTTCGTTTCAGTTCATTTGTCAAATAATTCATAATAAGGTAAATGAGTAATTATAGATGTCAGCAAAGAATCCTACTATGCAACGATATGATGATTCATAATTTGTTAATAATTTATAAATAAAACACATCTTTGTAAAATTAGAAAAATCAGCTACGGACATATTGAAACAATAAAAAATCAATGCAAATATAGTTTATTATCGTTTACAATTCAAATTCAAAAATTAAATAATTATTATGTGTAATTACAATGGTACATAGTCTTATATAAGAAATATCTCATTAGATGTTAATAGTCGATACACGAGCCTACAAAATCAATATATGGAAGCAGCAACATATGTTGATATGAATATTCAATGTAATCATAGGACTATTATATATTAATTGTATAAACAGTACTTCTTTCGTCCTTTCCCTTAACATTTATAGAAAATTTTTCAAGATACAGTAGTTTATTAAAACAATAACAATAAAAGTTGTTATCCGTTCCAAGTATTTGATTGCAAAGTCGAGCAAGAACAAAAATTTTGGTTATCCAAAAATAAAACCATTAAAATATATATATTCAAAAACTATACTTGATGTATCCGCGTGAGTTATATATTTTTATCCAAGTTATGTTCAAAGGGAAAAAATAGAAAGTACCATTTAAACTTTTAACTGAAGTCAATAAATGTATCATTCAAGTTTTATAAAAAAAAAAAAATTTTGCATTGCATTGATAATTAATGAAATTTACAATAGTGTGACGAAAAAAATTTCCTCTATAATTAAAAGTAGTCTCAGTACAGTCAGAGCTATTTCCATCGTGTCACAGCCTCTTTAAACAAAAAAATCTAACTCTGAAAATCACGTTTTATAAAATAACTAATAACACAATCGCAATAATTAATTAAGTTTTTTTTTCGATGCGTGACCATATAAACGTACAGTACCAGAGATTTCAAATGTTAAAAAATTAATGTGATCGAAATTTTTTTCCGCACAAATTGTTCACAAAATGTTACGTAAAAGTAAATGATGATTTTTCAATAAAATCATTCTTATCCAGCAGTTGAAATTAGATTGGGAAACCTACGTATTTACAAGTTTCTAAAAAATGTTTTCTAAAACCTTAATTTTAAATGCAACAATCGTGCTTTGATCAACTCGTCGAATTGCATATTAGCACAATAATAACAATTTTACCATCACGATGTTTTTCATAATAAACGTACAAAAATAATTCCATTCTTCATCATTATTATTTCTGCGAATATCTTGCATTTAAATCGAACGATGTAATAATGCAATAAAAACTAAATTAAACGCTTAAAAATACTTCATAAGCAAGAATAAATACAATAGAATAAAAGGTTTACGTTAATAGTTACCGCTTCTTAATTTTTAATAGAATACTATTAAAATTCTCTCTGTGTTTTCATTTTTCATTTAATATATAAAATAATAACGGAATACTGATACAAAATTGCATCGTTTACGTGTCATATAATACAAGACAGCTTCGTCAACAACGATTCACAATATATCCATTCTCTCTCACGACAATATACGATGGAATATAATTCTGGTAGCTTGGCCATATACTTATTTTCACAATATTAAAAATTAACGGGATTTCGAATGTTGCGAAGATAATCTTACTCGCTAAATAGTCAGCTCATAAAAGTTTTATTAAACCAAGCATCGTGTATATCGAAGTGAATTAGTCGCATGAATTGGATAAAAAAAATATTCACGTATAGCGTTAAAATGAAGTGGCTCCGTCGATACTTTCGAGCGACTAAAAAAGAAAAAAAAAGAAAAGGAAAAGAACGTATTCGACAATGCTAAATTCAAATGTTTATTAAAGATATTTTTACTCGTTATACTCGAGAAAAACTTAGCGATGATGAAGATATTGAAATTCAGACGGTCAAGTGAATTTTTAAAAATCATATTGCATTTGTCAAGTTAAGGGGCCAAACTCAACTGTGGAATATATATTTTTCTATGCAAAAGTTAAATCAACAATGTCGGAACGAATTTACATCTAATTGTGAATTTGTAGGGTGTGTACACTTGGACCACCTCAATGCGATCGCGATGGTTTTACAATCGCTTGTACAACAAAATCATGAGTACCGGGGGCTACAGTAAGCTTCGAGTTTCCTGCATCATTACTTAATCGTATTCTTTCATTTTGTCAGGCATTACTTTTTTTGTTGGGCTAGAAAAAATAGCAGGGTACCTAAGTGCGCGAATATGTGTGTTGAGTGGGTGCGCGTAACCTCGATTAGCCGCAATAGCTCAACAGCTCTTCGAGACTGCAAGGCTTCACGCAGCACTCGTCGTGGACGCCGCGTGACTCTCGCCGGAAACGGCCAGCTCCGAATCTGCCGGTGATCATGGCCATGGCGTTTGATCGCGATCTGAATGGATAAGAGTCGTCGTTGCTCCACTCGTTCCAGTCCTCGGTGTCCATTTCTGCAAACGGAGGCACAATGATAAATGATTATTGCATTTTGTTATAAATCAGTAAGAAAATAGATTATTTTTCAAGGAATAATTTAGGATTGGAATTATCGTTCAATAGTTTAGTTTCTCGCAAAATTTAAAATATTTTTACTGTGCAGACTTTGAAAGTTTATACCTCTTTTAAGTCAAGAAGTCATTTTACTGATACTTAATTGTACGAATTATTTTCATACACGATCACTCGCTGAAATCTAACGCGACCTTATTTTGAGGATCTGTCATCGGAATTTTCACGAAGTTTTTAACGAATTTATACGAATCTATGAATCTGTACACGTAAAATTGCGTATTTTAAAATGTGTTGGAAAAACTTGTTGGGTAAAAAATTAAGCTCGTATTCAGTCTCAGTGAGCTAGTTGATCTAAGGCTCAAAACATTTTTTTACAAACCAACGTAATTTTCTTCAAAACAATAACAAAAAAGAAGAATGATTCGATCGTTAGCAACAAAAATAATCGAAAATAATGAAATATTATTAGTGCAATTGCATTGCCCATCGCTCCGACAGATTTCGATTACTCTCGGGTTAATGTACAAACTTGAACGGTGGCGTTTCGAGCGTCGAATCAAAGTTCGCGACAGACCGTCCGTCGCGTGCCTCTCAAGAAAACAGTTCAATTTACCAAAGAGGCGTCCCAATATATGAATAGACAATTCGAATGAGATATCAAGCTCGTAAACGGAGAGCCCAGTTGGCAAGTTAGTAGACAAACAAAGATTGACGTGGACATCCATGTATATTTATTTGTGCGCTAGGACAAACCTTGGCCGCTCTTCTTGTATAGGGGCTTGTTGTAGTGACCCTTGCAGACGAGCTGGAGCGTGTGCGACAGTAGCTTGCCGCAATACTGCGACGGGCCTTGGCGCTTTAGCGGTTGCTGCTGTGGCTGCTGCTGCTGCTGTTGATACTGATAGACGTCCGATTGCGCTTTCGCTAATTGCAAGACGACCAGTGCCAGGAGGGCAAGAATCAAAAAGCCGTTAAACCGATGAGTGGACATCTGCAATAAATATTCAATCAATATAACACATAGATGCGCTATGGTGTACGTTTGTGTATCGATTAGGGCTGTGCGAGTACCCGAGTTTTCGAGTTCGAGTCGAGTCGGGAAAATGTGAGTACTCGAGCTTTTTCGAGTACTCGCAATATATATTTAAGTTTTAAGTAAATAAATGATGAATTACCAGTCTCTAGATCACCTCCTTTTGTATGTTCGTGCTTATAAGTGTGATATTCGCAGCGTATTGGATTGAAAGAAGAAAATAATTTAATAGTACCGTACTTCATCACACTTATAAGCACGGACACACAAAAGGAGGTGGTCTAGAGACTGTGAATTCATCATTTATTTATTTACTTAAAACTTTAATATATATTTCGAATACTCTAAAAACTCGAGTATTCGAAAAAAAATCGAGTACCCGAAAAAACTCGAGTACTCAAAAAATCGAGTACTCGACTCGAACTCGAGGAAAAATCTCGAACTCGACGAGTCGAGTTTTTTCGAGTACTCGCACAGCCCCAGTACTGATGAACGACGTCACCGATTAATTTAATTGATATCGAGGCGATCTATATTGATGGAGTTTTCATGGTTACAATCGGTACGATGGTACGATGTACATTTGTGTACATCGATTGATGCATTTTTTTCGTTTTTCTTTGCGGCAACAAAAATGGCAGACACGTGGAAAGCTCATTACATTTTGGAATGAAAAATTGTTTAATACTTGGAAGTGCGAGAAAATTAACAGGTTTTAAGGTTTACTACGCATCATATTAAAGCAAAGAATATTTTTTTGAATTTTTCATTTTATGCTAGAAAATATACAATTATCTATAGTCGCCAACCATTAAATTAATGCTATAATATTTATCTACAAAAAACTAGCACCATAAGTCAATAAACAAAAAAATGTATTGAAAACGTTGGATCTAACAAAATTGCCAAAATTAATTGACTTCATTCTATTGAAGATTATGTACGCATGACCAAAAAAATTAAAAATAATTTCCGGAAAGCGTATAGAATAATTAAAAGCTATTCGAACTTGAGAAGTTTTTATATTCTCCAAATGACGTACAATTTTAATATTACAGTCACGTTTATAATAAAATATATGCTTATATATATGTTCAACTGAAATACTTTGATATTCACCAAAAGTTCGCAACGTATACAGTTTATGTACAATTTTTAAAACTAATCACACCGCAATGATATTATTACGCCAATTTATTGCAATATTCATCTTCTTAATAATCAGTGATCGTTTTATGAATTCGCATAGTAGAGAAATAATGTAAGTATGATAAAAATTATTATACAAATTTATCCATACTAACTTAAGAATGGATGTGTTGCAAAGTAACAGAAACGTGGATTCTGAGACATTGGTACTGGACATTTTCAAAGTGGGGAAGAATAAACCAAAAACAAATGACATTTTCTACGAGAAAACTTTTTACGATTACCTTGTTTTGTCATTAATGTGGCCTCAAACCAATTGTTATTTCTACAATTCTAAAGATGCAGATAATAAATTGAACGTAAATCTGTTAACGCAACTGATTGAGAAAGATTGCAGTGTATGTGACATGCCATCAAACATATACAAATGGACAATTCACGGCTTGTGGCCAAGTAATGATGCACTGTTAGAGCGTGAAAAAAAAGGAAAGATATATTCTTGCCACAGCGAACACAATACATACACGACAGAGTCTATATCGCATTTAGCGGAGGATTTACGTATTAACTGGATTTCTTACAATAATCAGCATTCTAGCAACAATCTGCAACGGCATGAGTGGAAGAAGCACGGTACTTGTACGAAAAGGATCCAAATGGACCGTCCACATAGTTTCTTTCAAGAGACCATAAAACTTTACCATCATCACGATCCTAGTAATTTACTAGAAGATTTACTAAAAGAAAAGAGAGACGGAGATTCATACCAAATTGAAGATTTACGCAATGTTCTAAAACAAAAACTAGCTACTCCCAGATTCATATGTATGAAAACGGTTCGTAAAAAAACGTGCTATTTAATTCTGACTTGAGTACTTAATTAACGAAAAACGGGGTTTTAATAATAATCCACAGACGGAAAGCAACGGACAGCAAAATCAATACCTGTTAGAGATACGTATATGCCTGGACAAAATTAATCTACAACCAATTGATTGCAGTAACATAGATCGAAATAGATGTGATGATACGAAGCCTGTTATCTATCTGGCGAATAAGAGACCTTGCCCTGGCAAAAAACATATACGTCCCAAAGTACATGGGAAATAAGAAAGTATCTAATGTATTTACTTGCGTGATTTTAATTCGGTAACGAGCAGGAAAGTTAAATCTTTTCATTATCAAAAATTAAATCTTTTAAATCATCGCTTCCTGCTACTTTTCGGCTGACTTTCCATCCCACTATTGAAGAAATTTGAAAAGTAATGTAATTGTGATGAACGTCTTCAGAATTTCGCTCTAATCTTTGTTATGCTCTAGAATGAGCTAGGAAGCTCCAATCGAAATTTTGCGACTGTCAAAATTTATTAAAATTTGACAAGGAATTCGAAAAAAAATTTTTCAAATTTTTTTACCGGAACCTCTGGGTTCCAGGAACCGTTTTTCATAAAAATAGCGTTTTTTAGCCATAGATGCTATCGCCTTCAATTAAAAAATTTGAAAAAATTCAAGGTTATGTATTTTGACCTGAAAAACAAGAAAAAAATTTTTCCAGATTTTTTAAAGCTTCATATCGCCCTAAAAAAATTATTTTCGTAAAAAAAGGGCGTTTTTCGGCTAAAAACCGCCAGCGCTCTGTCTGAAAAAATCTGAAAAAATTTGAGGTTATGTATTTTGATGTCAAAAATAATTGGAAAAAAAGATCGGGCTTTGTATTGCATCGTAGTGCCGTATATGAATTTTCAAAATTTTCAATAATTTTTTCTGAAGGCCTGAAGCACTCGAAAAATCTGAAAAAATTCAAGGTTGTTTGGATTGTTGAAAAGTATTTTTGTGAATTTTTTCAGATTTTTTAATTGCTTCAGGCCTTCAGAAAAAATATAGATAGAAAATGGACGTTTATACCGGAAGTGGGGGGTAGGAGGGGGGAGGGGGTCTAAAATTTTGGTTTTGGGTCTTTTTTACCATGTACTATAACATACCAAAAGCGCGTCAAGATCGGTGACATACGAGCGCAGGTTTATTTAAAAAATTCTGAGCCTTACCCATATATATAAATCGCCGTGCACTCTTGCCTCCCGCGATTTTCCTCGCGGAAATTGCCGCAGCGCTCGCGACTTGGTGCGCACGATTTTGAGCACTGAGCGTTTCGAGCTCGCGTGCACCGAACATGAGCGTCCACGATATGTGGACCACAAACAAACAAAATCCATCTGTATACTCGCGCCAGCAGCAGATAACAATTTCTCTGACTTTACTCGATGTAATGACGAAACATGAGTCAAGACAATGGCGCACATGAACGCGAAATATCGTATCGCGTCGCTCGCAAGGGACAGGATTCATGCGCGTTATCGAGCAAAAAATATAAAGAAAAAAATCAAAGGACAACGTTCGCAGTCGCTACTGTCGTTTGTTCGATCATCCGCGAATGGCGCTTGGCTTGTTTTATCACCATAATGTATGGTATATAAATATCGACCAAATGTAATGTGCACAATGCGCAGTAAACTTTTCGCGTATACTTATACGATCGAGTTCAGAGACCGAAATCGCGTCGTGGTGCGTGGTACACGCTGGATACTATATGTACAAAGCTGGATCGCAACGTTAGCGACCCTTTTCCGTCGCGATCTCGAGACCAGATAACTCGTGGCGCGAATATTTCACCGATGTAGAATTTCTATGATAATACGTGTGTATCGCACACTTTAATTTTATGTACGCACGCAGGCACCAGCGGGCAGGGTGTAAAGCAGTAGCAATTTCAAAAACGATCGATTCGCCACTTATTCCGCCAGTCGAGCGCGAGCTTTTTTCAAAATTCCATGTTATTATAATAAGTCAAGCGATATCGGTAAAGTATATTCAAAAATTGATATTACGAACGGGCGAACGCAATCTTCACCTGAACGGTATACTATACGCATGTATTTCTGTACTACATAAACCGATCGAGCCGTTCGAGCGCTCGGCGTTTTCCAAGTCAACGACTGCTGCAACGACAACAACAACAACAACAATAACAGCAACAGCAACAACAACCACATCGAGATAAAGAGGTGAAAGACTGCATCTCGAACAGGAAATTTTGCACTCGATTTGGAATCGCGCGTGAGTCCATAACAATCGTTATTTATCGTGCATTGAAATATACTCGCCCGACCGATTCCACGGCGCTGCTACACATACGAGTATATACTTAATAGATCGGCGCTGACGATAAGAGCGATATCCTCGAGAGTGGAAAACACGAAGAATTTATTCGTTCGATCACGCCGGGGCTTGTTATTATGCATAATATGGTCACATGTATATGGTGCAAAATATACATATATACGAAGCTGTCGCGTTGCACAGGATGATGATCCGATCCGAGGTAAATCGGTACCGGCTTAATGTTATTATACATGTGAGTGAGCGCGTGTGTGTGTCGTTAAGGCGCCACAAGCGTGTATTTATCGTGCTTATAAACCTGCGCGCATACCTGCAGGCTGCCTGTCGCGCGCCCGACGACTGGATTTTATTTATAAACCGATGCAGATACTTTGCATTCAAAAATAAACTCTTAAACATACATACGCGCGCGCACGCACAGAAGCGAGCACACGGACGGACGCTCGTGTACAGGCGAGCGATATATGCACTCATACTCGCGATCGAGCACATGCACAATCGATTTTTATGTATTTTTCTTTTCAACTCTTTTCTTTTTCGCCTTTTTTCGTGCTTTTGCGTGGTATTCAAGAATTTGTCGTAAATATTTGGAAAATCGAGCGATAAATTTTAATCGACCTCTGCTTCTTTAATATCGTCGTGTTCTTTTTTGCTCATTTTGTTTATTGTTGCTCGATACGTACATGTTATTATTTACATTTGATTGCTCTCAAAACGACGCGGAGACGCGATATACGAAGCCGAGCTGAGATCGACGATTGGCCGGCCGCGGAGAGATAGAGAGCGGATGTCATATACAGCTCGTGTTCTTTGCGTAGGCAGGTGACAATATATGAGTAATTTATTATGACACCCCCCTTGCGAAAAAGAAAAAAATACCAGCGACATTTTTCATGAGGTATTCTAAGAATGCCCAAGGCTTTTTATATGTGTATGATTATTTTTGCGCTATGCCCCCCCGTGATATCAGAATTTATTTTTAATATCGCGAAGCTATCAGATCGCGATGAAAGTTTATTTTTAATGAGAAAAGAAAATAAAAATAAGAAAAGAAGGAACGACGATATATATAATCTCCGCGTTACTCTGTTGCTGCGCTGCGCGTTCGCGAGGCGTCAACGATAAACAGCAACGACAGCTGCAGCAGCAGAAAGCGAGAAAAACGCAAAATGCGAATTGAGAAATTATTCTTGACAGATAACAAACAAAACATTAAATGCCACCGCATTAGACATGCTGGTTTTCTCCCGAAAGAAATAAACACGATTGTACCTGATTCCCGTATTTCCGGTTTGTTTCGCTTCGCTCGCGCGATCGGTTTACTCATAATAAACAAACGAACAAATTGAAGCTCGAAGCGAGATGGTATTCGCGTAAGCTCGTGCATAAATTGCATCTTTCCGAGTAGGTGTATGCAGCAGACAACGACAACGGATGGGCAATGATCGCGCGTGGCGCAGTTTTCAATACAGGTATGCGCGCGAGTATTATTGCAGCTCGTCGCCGCGATCGTGTGACATTACGCGCTTTTGTTCTCGCGCGAGAGTATCGCAACCGGCAGCACCCTACTACCTATAGTAGTGTTAATATAACACTGGCATGCATACAGAGGCCTATCAAGGAATGTTCGGGGGGGAAAAAAACGAAAGCAATGCTGCCACCGAGATTTTGCACTATATAACTATGTGTAATCTACATTGATAACGTTGGCGCGCGCCTCTGAAAACTGGTTCTAAATGAAAAACAAGTTATATAAATAGACGCGCACTCCAGTGGCAGCTGACCATTGATAGCTCTCGGCTTTACTATTACAGGCTGCTGCTGCCGCTGCTGCAATGTTATAGTTCCTCATTGAAAGCTCTCTTGATCCCCGAGCATGTATATAACGTATATACAGCAGTCACGCATCTGCGTGCGATACGATCTTTCTCCCGTTTCATTGAAATTTATTCCGCGTTACTCACTACTTTGTGTTTGATACGAGAGCGGCCGGCGCTATGTGATCGACGCGCGTATTTTTTTATACTTTATTTATTTATTTATTTATTTTTTTATAATATTTCAACTATGCCGATGCCAATGGTTCTTTTTGGCGTTTATAGTTTGGCCACTGCACGATTTTTAGAAATGAGTCAAGTGGCCAGAATTTTCGTGAAACAATGATACGCGAGAATGATGCGCGGCACATAACAAAACGAATAGTTAAAATTGAGAAAAATTAAACTTACTTAGATTAGCTGTGTTGGATTTCGGTGCGAGGATACGAAAAAAGAAATTAATCAAAAATGCGACGAGATTCTGCGATTCGGCGCCCACGGACCTGCTGCTGCTGCTGCTGCTGTCTATGTATGGGTTGTTGACGCAAAGTCAATGACTGTCGATGACGATGACGATGCCGAACGACTGATGAAGCACAGTAAAAGTCATATTCCGGCCCCCGACGCAACGTCAATATAATGTTGGAAAACAAAATTCACGGCTTTTGCGGGCAAATAATGAAGAGAGCGCGAAAAAAAAAATTAACAAATAAATCACGTCAACAAACGCATTTACGCCTATGTATAACAAACAAATAACCAAACGATGATATCATTCGTGTGTGCTGGCGATGGTGCGTATATCTATCACTTTTTTATATCACAGTCAGGTGAACTTTTTTCCCCTCGATTTTCCCTTCTTTATCTTTGCTCTTGCTGCCGATTTTGACCTCCTTGGATAATCGTGATTGATATGTCTGACGGACGCCAAGTCGATCTCTTGAGCTGTTCAATCGTTGCGGGCTGCATCCACGAGAGATTTCGGCTACGATGCATTTATGTCGGTTGTATGAAAAGCACGACGATTACGAGGCGCGAACACTCAACTTGTATATGGACTATGCACACGATCGCGAGAGATGAAATGTGCCTGCGGATCGTTTCCTCGTCAGAGCGCGCGGCTAATACACTTCTGCGGATCGTCAGCTGATCGCTCGGCCTCTATATACATGTACACATACCGATATTACATTCACTGAAGTTCTTGTTTGTTTGTTTTTTCTCTCAATGGAAAAGCAAGAGTTGGAGGGGGATCGGCGATACGATACGCTTTGAAAAAAAATTAATCTCTCTCTCGCGCTCTCTTGCTTTTTCTCTCTCTCTCTCTTTCTCTCTCTGTATCTCCGGCGTCCACGAGTCTCGTTCCTTCTCACGTTTTTTTTTCTATACGCGCGCTTTTTTCTCTCCTTCCTTTTTGCACGTAAGAATAATTTTGACGGACAGAGACGAGGTTGTCAGTTGACAAGACAGCAGCAGCGGAGCAGCATTAGAAGCCGGTGCAGAGCTTACTAAATGAGATGACAACTACGACGACGACGACGACGACGACGACGACGATGATGGAAGTTTTCGCGCGTCAAAAGGTGGTTGTACTCTGCACGCCTGGCTTGTAATGCCACCGTAACAGCAGCAGCCACTGAGACTGTGTGGTGTCCGGGCTCGAGCTCGGTCGCGTGAAATAAATATATATACGCGGGAGCGAAAGAGAGAGAGAGAGAGACCGAGGAGTCGCAAAGTGGTGGCTACGAGGCAAAAGAGAGGGCCCTATGACGACGACGACGTCCCGGTGACGGGATAATAGGTCTGTCGTGCACACGCAGAGACACATGCCGCAGCAGGCATCGTGACGAAAAATGAAAATAAATAAATATATAAGTACAAAAGAAAAAGCGAGCGAGAGAGGAATGAATCAGTAATAATAATTATATATAGCCGGGCACGCGAAAGAAAGAGAGGGATAAGGCCGAGTCGTATATTATGAAGCTGCCTCCTCCTCGACGATGATTTACTCGCTGCACGCATATATCGACCTGCCTTTACAGTTTATTATACACACATGTGCAGTTTGCCCAGCTCGATCTCTGAATCATTGCGAATTATCGTTATCCGTGATACCGTGCGTGCCTTGATTTTCTGCGCGCCTCTCTCGCCTCGCTGCAGTCGCAGTTGCGAGCATAACAGCTGATACGCGTCGACGCCGCCGCCAGCCGAGTTATGCATTTGCACATACTCGACGCCGAGTGCGAACTGCGATTAAAAAGCTCTCGAGCGCGAAAATAGCCATGTATATTATACTGCACGCGATGTCTACGTGTTATGCGATTAGAGGGCTTACGTGCATCGCGGCACACTTTGCCGGCTGATCATTTGCATTTGTCAAATTCGTCAATTGTTCGAGAGAACGTTTTCAAAGCATCGTTTTTGTTGACTACTGTATAGATTATCTCAGAGTTTAGTGACCGAATCTAAATTCTGTCGTGTTCGATACTTCGTATAGTGCTTTTGAGAAATATTAAACGAAATCTTAGACGAAGCTCAGGGACTATGATGTCACCTAAAAAACACAATAAGATGAAGCACACAGCTGTCGAAGCTTAGTTGAAAATCATTCATTATTCTGAAGTTTTCAATAAAAACTGCTTACAGCTGTTTGAGCCGAATTTCTACTGATTTATAATTTCGCTATTATAGAAATTCCCAATTTGCTTTTTGATTATTCGCACTCCCTTTTCGACGTATCACGTACTGATTAACGTCTTTTGAATCGAAGATTTTCTGTACAGCTTTTATTAATAACTAATTCATATTTATGCGTAAATCTTTGTCTCTTTCGTACTTACCAAATTTTAGATTTAATGAAAGCCAATTTTACGCCCCAATGAAAATCGAAACGAAAAAATCTGCTTCATCTCATTGAATATTTTTATTTTTCTCTTATGATTGAATAATCATGTTATGGTTTACTTTTGTGCCATTTGTGTTGAAGCGAGATGTGAGAGAAAATGAAACGAAGTACGTACTCGTCTTAACACACATAACAAATTTATTTAAAAACACAATTTTGAGAACTACTTCTTAAGTTACAATTGAAATAATCGGTGTATGACGTTAGAAATTCGTTACTTCTTAAATTATACGTGCGATGATGAGATCATATATGGGTTGCAAGCTTATTAATCATTGTAAGCACGTTCGGTTCCATTGCAGATACTGAGTGCGAAGTAGCCTTCCGCAATCGAATCCAGATGATTTGCTGTCTGGTTGATACTTGCAAAGATCGCGAAATTAAAAATATCTCAGGTCCAGTGAATCCGCTGCTAAAACTATCTGACACTTTACACTATGAATTTGGATTTTTGCCCGTATTCATACTAAGGGTATACGGTAGTAGTTTCTGTAATTTTTTTTTTTTTTTTGATTTTTCTGTTTCAACTCAAATTCGATAGAGTCGCATGTTTAATTTTTACACTTATCGTGTTTTTGTTATTTTTACAAACTCCGTGTATTGTCTTTTGGTGTCTGAGCAAATCGTACTTTTGTCCAAATTTCTGCTCACAATTTTCGCATGCAAAATCTTTGCGACCTTCGTGGATTGTCAATTGATGTTTGAGCAAAGTACACTTACGTCCAAATTTTTTTTCGCATTTGTCGCATGGGTAATCTGTACGACCTTCGTGGACAGTTTTTTGGTGTTTGTTCAAATTGCTTTTATTCCCAAATTTTATTCCACACTTCTTGCATACGTAATCTTTGAGACCTTCGTGTACTGCCCTTTGGTGGACAAACAAATTCTGTTTTTGTGCAAATTCCTTATTGCATTTGTCACATGCGTAATCTTTCCGACTTTCGTGGACTATTTTTTGGTGTCTGAGCAAATTACTTCGGTCCCCAAATTTCTTATCGCAAATGTTGCATGCGTAATCTTTGCGACCTTCGTGTACTGCCCTCTGATGCATAAGCAAATGGTATTTATGTCCAAACTTCTTCTCGCACTTGTCACATCCGTAATCTTTCCGGCCTTCGTGGACTACCTTTTGGTGTGAAAGCAAAATCCATTTAAGTCCAAATTTTAGCTCGCACTTCTTGCACGCGAAATCCCTACGACCTTCGTGTACTGACTTGCGGTGCTTTAACAAATCTGATTTATGTCCAAATTTCTTTTCACATTGGTCACATGCGTAATCTTTCCGTCCTTCATGGACAGTTTTTTGGTGGGAAAGTAAAAGCCATCTATATCCGAACTTCTTCTTGCACTTGTCACATGTGTAATCTTTGCGACCTTCGTGAACTGTTCTTATGTGCCCGAGCAAATGACATTTATGTCTGAAATTATTACCGCATTTGTCACACGCGAAATCTTTTCGACCCTCGTGGAATGTTTTTAGATGTTTGATCAAAGTGTCTCGTCCCTCAAATTTCTTCTCGCACCTGTCACATGCATACTCTTTCCGTCCTTCGTGGACTCTCTTTTGGTGGGAATGTAAAAGCCATTTATATCCGAACTTCTTCTTGCACTCGTTACATTCGTAATCTTTGAAGCCTTCATGGACTGCTCTTGTGTGCGCGAGCAAATGACATTTATGTTTGAAGTTATTCCCGCAATAGTCGCATGCGAAATCTTTGCGACTTCCGTGTATTGTCTTTTGGTGTCTTATCAACTTCGATTTTTGTCCTCTTTTCTTTTCGCACTTAGCGTGGACTGCTTTTATATGCAAGAGCAAACTATATTTATTATCAAATCTCTTCGCGCACAATTCGCATAAGTAATTTTTGAAAACTTCGTGAAATATTCTATTGTGCTTGAGTAAATTTGATTTATTTTCAAATTTTCTCTCGCACTTGTTGCACGTGAAATCTGCACGATCTTTGTGTAGCAATTTTTGATGCGTACATAAACTCGATTTCTTCTCAAATTTCTTCTCACACTTGTCGCATGCGTAGTCTTTGCGGCTTTTGTGTACCGATATTTTGTGTCTACTCAAATGACTTCGGAACTCAAATTTTTTTTCGCACTTGTCGCATGCGAAATCTTTTTGTTCATTGTGAATCGTGTCTCGGTGTGTTAACATGTTTGATTCTAGTGTAAATGCCTCCTGGCAAATATCACAAACGTATTTTTTGTCGTTTGAAACCACAATGTCGACTTCATTTGAGTTATCTTTCGAGACTAATTCCTCGGATTTCTTACCAATTTTATCCATTTTGATGCCTAAATTTAACGATGGATCAATGTATTAAACGACAACGTTCAAACTAATTTATACTCACGATGAACATGATCAATCATGCCGAGGAACTATGTCAAAATCGTTTATGATAAGTTTGTTTACAATTAAATTTTCGATTTATCTGCTTATTCATTGTTCGTATGATATTTGAACTAGTTTGAAATTCTAATTGGGCGACTATTTCTTGGAAGAATTTTTCTCTGAGAACCAAAAAGTTCTTATAATTGATTCTAATTCGATGGGGTGGCACAAAAAAGTTTATTTTGACGTCTCGATCTCAGAAAACATACACGCAAACCCCTACGACTGACCGCTAGATGGCTTTATTTTAATTTTCAATAAACCACCATACAATGTAACAAAGATCGTACAATAGAGAAGCCTCTTAGGTAGCAGATGCCACTCATAATGCAATTCAATCTTTTCCGCCATATTAGGTAATTATATTTACTTGGCATGCTCACTTTGTAATATCTCAATTCGACCATACGTGCGCGTTTATGAGTGCAAAAAAGAGATCGAGAAAACGACATGGAATAGTCGCTGCTGCTTGCGGCTCTCGAGCGTCTCGTTTAAAGTCTTTATTATATCCACATGTAGATGTCCCTCCCCCCACACGTTTACTAGCTAGATATATAGCTCGCCAATGAAGTCGCCGCGTCGACGACCAGCGAGACGATGACGACGACGACGACGACGTGCTCAAGTGACCGGGTTGCTTTAAATTCAAAGCTGCCATTCGCAGTCTACATATAATAGCGTGTATACTGTACACATGCACGCTCGGTCCGCACAAGTACTCGTCGTAACTATTCAGCTGCTTTTGCATTTATAAGTACTTAAATAGGTGTCTTCGTCCTCGGCGCGAGTCTGCGGTCTACGAGCATGAAAGCAATCGATTCAGGGTGTTTGGTGTATTGTGTCGCAGTGCTTCTTGCGTCATTATTATACAGGCTTATGTATGTATGGAGAGAGAGAGACAGAATGTTGATGGTAATTATACGAGCGAAATCGTAATCGTCCGGCGGCTGCCATACACTGGAAGTGTCTAACGATGCGAATGCTTTCATCAAGGGCTTAAATCTCGATCTATTTTTAAGCTTCGAGAGATAAAGAGAGAGAGAGAGAGAGAGAGAGAGAGAGAGAGAGAGAGAGCATACTAGAGCGAGAGTACACTTGCACCCAAGAATGATGAAATCAATTTGAACAAGCGAGGTTCTCTCATTCTCGTTTCTCTGGTTTATTTTTTAGCCGCGCGCATCCTCGTCTGGATCGAAAGCTGAGTAAACAAATCGTTTGTTCGACCAACACATGTGTAATATAAGCTGCGCGTTGCACGAGGCACATGCTCTCACTTAGGCG